GATAGTCGTTGCTGATGCCATGCATTGTACTAGATGACTCGAGTCGTGCGTTTCTTGTCGGATTTTGAGCAGGTCCCGAGAGCAGAGGATTGGACGGTGGAGGAGAATGTTAATGGTATGGTAGAAACAGCTAGAAAGACAGTTAGCACTACTCAGTCAAAGGAATAGGCTGGGCACACACTTGAGAATCACAATATGACTTGGTGGAGAGTATGGAGGTAGATTCATCGCCGACAGTTTCAAGTATTCTGGTAGATCTTCCCACCAATCGGCCAGACTTCTGCTCTGCTCTTGAACGCAGTCATAGAACTCGGAGGCTGTGCTTGGGCGATTCGGGTCGTAGATGTGAATCAAGATCTGATTCAAGACCTCTGCCAAACCACACATCTTCATGAAACATGAAGTTGAATGCGCCTGCGTGGGTGGATAATGGGCGCCATCTGGGAACGTGACGCCATGAGGAGTCCATGTTTCGATCTCAGCTGTGTCATCAAGAATCATCCGTGGCGGGCTGACGCGCAAATGCTGCATCGTTGGGGCACGGCCAAAGTATAGGGATACCACTTTGTCCCAAAAATAACAACCCCAGAAAAGTCGGTTTCGTATTTCGATGTCCTCATCACTCAACTGGGCGGACCCCGAGTATTTCCGGCTATCAATAGAGATACCCAGGTCGTCCAGCAGCCGGAAGGCCATTCCACTGTATAACCAGGCTTGTGTCCGATTTCCACGGCCACATTCTTGAGCGCTGAGGAGTAGCAATGTCTGAATTGTCGGGATGCCTGCATATCCACTTTTGAGTGAATCAAACACGCCCGTCAATGCACGATGGGAGAATTGGGCTCCCCCATCGTAGGAGTCGAGAAGCGGGCCAATTTGAGGCTCCGCTTTGCACCATCGCACCGAGTGGGAAAGAATAGCGTTCAACAGAATATCCGAGTAGTATGGGCCATTGATTTTCATATCACCTGTTTCCAGATGCATATGTTAGTATTGTCACAGTCTGAAAGAGGGAGGGTCGGACAGACGTGTGAACGCAGGACGATAGACGAAATTCCACAGTGGCTGAATCCAGCACCAGTGGGAGTCGAGAAGATATTGATAAGGTTGCTGCGGGAGATATCAGCAAGTGTGTCTTAACAATCCACCAGAAACAGTACCGGCATAACAGCCATCTGCTCGAACGCCCTCTCCCGCCACGCACTGTTAACCAGGCGCTCCTTGCGGGCTTCCAACTCCTGTGCGTAATGAGAAGTCGACGCTGTTTCGTTCACCGCACCACTCGGCAGTTGGAATAGACTGGTCGGGCCGTGGAACGAGATGCGACCGTCATTTTCCACATTCAGGCCATCGAATTCCCGTGCGAGGTCCTGAGTATCGGGGTCGGCCTTGATCTTAGGACCGCTCGAACTAGACTCGGCCACCGATGAAGGCGAGCTTGCCTTTCGCAATTCCGCTTCGCCCTCCCCGCGGAGCTTAGACAGTGCATCCTCTAGTTGTGCGACTCTGGATTCAAGCTGTTTCGTATAGGAAAGAGTTGGGGCTCTAAAAGAGCATCAGCATGCGGCAATGGCACAGATTAAATAGACCACCCACAAACTATACACGCACGCCTCGCCTCGTGCGGCGCATCGCGAACAGGACGGACTAGCTCCGTTACATTTCACCTGACCAGTCAGCTCGGCAATCTCGGTCATTGTCCGAGAAGCATACCTTTCGTTTACGACAGGCCTCACACGAGAAGGCGCTCTTCCTGGGGAGAGTTGTCTTGGGAGGCTCGGCCATTCCAGATGGAAACCTTTAATTGTGACAAAGAGGGAGACCTCCATCGGGAAAAATGGCAAAATCAGGCGAAAAAAATTTGGCCCCAAATCTTCGTGGGGCAGTGATCGCGGGGAATTGCGAAACGTGAGATAGTGTTGACGTCTGTTTGAGTCTTTTGTGGCTTTTGGAGACTTTGGAGTAGAAAACTGCGACTGTTGGGGAGAATGAGAGCCAATGAAGCCGAGAATTGCTCCACCAGAGAGCGAAAGTGAGGAACTTATTGGATGAGGGCGGTGGGTCTTGGCGCTCCACTGTATAGGGACGAGACTACTGCGCGCTATATCTTCATATTTGCAAACTAACTTATACTATTACAGCCCTATTTCTTGCCTTTCTTGTTTTTCCCCGTCTTGGGTGCATCACGGTCACTCTTGCCCTTCTTCCATCCGATCTTCCCCTCGTGTCGCTCGTTGGCATCATCCAGACGTTTCTTGTCCTTGTTGCTCAGCTTCACGTTGCTCTTCTTGACATTAGGACCGTTCAATTCGACAGCACCAAGCTTGCGGGCAACCTTCTTGTCCTTCTCGGTCTCGAACCATGTGCGCTTTGGTCGCGACATGATCTCGTGTCCATGCTTCATCAGATTCTCGCTCTTGTTGACTTGCATCTCGGCCTGAGCAAACTGCTTCTCGGTCTTCTCCTCTTGCAAGACCTCTTGTACTTCATCAGCCAGATCTTCCGCCTTTTGCGCCCAGCTATCAGCAACAGCTTGCTCAATCACACGACTGGCGATCTTGGCGCCTTGGGCCTTGCCGGCTCTCACGGCGAGCTTGACCACCTTGCGGTCCGGCTCGGCGGCAATGGTGCAGGCACGACCAGAGCGACCGGCACGGGCAGTACGACCAACACGGTGAAGGTAGATCTCATGACTCTGAGGGGCCTCGTAGTTGATAACGGTCTCGACACCCTTGATATCCAGACCACGAGAAGCGACATCGGTAGCGAGAAGGAAGGCAACCTTGCCATCTCTGAAGTTTTCCACGGATTTGATACGCTATATCAGAGGTTAGCGTGTTACATAGATTAGGAAATGGTTCGAACGTACCTGCTCTTGGCTCAGACTACCGTGAAGCTCTCCAGCTTTCAAACCTAGTAGTCCGAAAATGATACGGACACGGTGCGCTTCCTTCTTCTGCCGGAAGAAGATGATAACACGCTTTGTGTAAACTTCTTTACACAGATGCAACAGATATCCGAGACGCTTTTCCTCTCGACCGGGACGAAGGCGCACAAACTCTTGAACCAGGGTTGATACAGTGTTCTTCTTGGCGTCCACCATCAACCGCATGGGGCGATTCATGCCAACACGGATAAGCTTGTCGACAGAGTCTGTCATGGTGGCAGAGAACAGCATCGTTTGACGCGACTTGGGAATTGTGGTGAGAATCTCATTTAACTCGTCGGCGAAACCGTCTTCAAGCATACGATCGGCTTCGTCAAGAACCAGAATCTCCAGAGTGTCAACTGTGAAACTCGGCGAGTTGCGCATGTGGTCAATGAAACGACCGGGAGTGGCAATGATAACATCGGGGCGCTTCTTGAGCACATTCTCCTGCTCGCGAAGACTGAAACCACCGATCAATTGACAAAATGTGACGTCTGTGAAGGTGGCCAATTTGACAGCAACATTGTAACACTGAACCGCCAACTCACGAGTGGGCATCAGGATCACAACACGGCTTGTAGGAACCTTCCTAGGACGGAAGAGAAGACGCTCCAGGATGGGAACAACGAAAGCAGCGGTCTTTCCTGAACCAGTCACGGCACTACCAACAATATCCTTGCCCAGCAGAGCAACGGGGATAGCCTTGCGTTGGATGGGCGTCGGATCGGTAAATCCAACGGAGGCCAGACCTCGAAGGATAGGGCGAGAGAGGTTGAATTCTTGGAAGGTCATCTTGGCCATGGAGGCCTTGAGGTCGGTCTTTTCTTCGGGGGCAAAGAATGCTTTGCGCTTCTCGGCTTCCTCGGCGTCCACTTCGCTCTCTGCGTCAGAGCCTCCGTCGGAGCCGATATCATCTGGGTGACCGACAGGTGTGGCGACAGAGTCATTGTCAGATGCAGCATCGTCGTCATCTTCATCTGCGTCCTCGTCCTCGGACTTCTCCTCGTCGTTGTCTTCCGGCCCAGAGCCAGCTTCAGGGCCTTCTGCCTCACTTTCCTCCTCGCCGTCCACACCCATACCGAATCCGTCAGCGGCCATGAGCTCGTCGTCGTCAAACTCCACCGGCATGCCAGCTTCTGATGCGGCATCGTCCTCAGATGCGCTAGCGGTCTCCTCCTCGTCCTGTGTCTTCTTCTTTTGCTTTTTAGAGGCAGCCTCCTTCTTGGCTTGCCTCCGCTCAATGATATCGTCGATGTCCACTGCCTTCTTGTCACCGGACTTCTTCTGTTCATCAGCAGCACCCCAACCATCGAAGCCTTCGGTGACACCCTGATTGGCTACGCCGCCGACATCGAACTCGAACTCTGGGTTTAGGACTCCGTCATCTTCTGTCGCATCCTCTGCAGCATCATTGTCCTCCTCCTCGGACTCGGGCTCGGGGGCGGCGTTTTTCTTGTTCTTCTTGGCGTTCTTCAACTGCTGCTTTTCTTGTTGCTTTTGTTTCTTGTTCTTGGGCTTAGGAGCCTCGATCTCGCGCTTGCGCTTCTTGTTGTCGGTTGGGGCATCGCCCAGCATTTCGTTGTCCTCTTCATCGTCGAATCGAGGTGCGTCTTCGTTATCGGAGAGCGTGAAGACGAAATCGTCGTCTTTGGAACTCCTTGACGGAGCCATCTTGGAGACTGTGGCTTAAACCAGGGAAGCTCAGCTAGCAGGAGAATTCGCAACAAGATCAAAAACCCCAAAGAAAAAAAAGAAATCCTTGAAAACACTGCAAGCAAGTCCCGCTGAGAAAATCGATCAACATGCAAAAAAAAGTTCCCCGGGCGGTGACGGGCAGTTGCTGATGTAAGCAGAATACCGACACCGGGGGAATAAGGCCAACATCGAACTAAGTTAGCCTACTGTAGTTAACGTTAACTAAATTAACTTAACTTAGCTATATTTACATGTACACAATGGCCCAATGGCTAAAATTACTTCTAAACCTCTAGAGGCGTATAAATATCTAGCTTAGACATTGGTTACTACATAGTCAGAGACTACAATGCTCCTTTATTCTACTTTTTTTTCGCTATGACTTGCGCCCCTCGTTTGCTTCCAAGGTTGGGCGCACCCTTGTTCCGCTCCTCGCCAACCACTCCTTAATCCAGGACTCCTGATCCTCCGCTGGGGGAGCACAAACGAGTATGGTAAGGTTGCGCCCATAGCCTGGGCCATATTCGACGTCGTCGGTCTCACTTTGCACAAACTCATAGTACTCGCTCCTTTTGTAGCTGAAGTCAAGGCAGGAGAGGGTCATGCCAACCAGGGCTCGGCCAATGTGATCCTTCTTGTAATCTTCCTCTACGAAGACGAGCAACTCGCCCACACATGTGTCTGCATCATTGGTGGGTCGATAGAACCTGACATACGCATACCCGACAGTCGCATCAATCCTGCACGGGTCAAATCCTCATGATCTCCGAGCAGCGATCAAAAAAGGAAACCTACTCTTTCGGCAGAATTCGTGAAGGTCGTCATAACCCTCAAAAGTCCAAGGCTCAATGTCGCCACACAAAGATGTCTTCCGTGTATACCAGTTCATGATTTCGACAACCCCTCCAATATCGAGGTCCTCTGCACGGCGCAGCTAGACGTGGGGTGGAATGGCTTTTGAATCAGGAGGCCGGTCCCGCCAAGCTTGATATGGTGCATCGCAACGCATTTCGGCTTCCTCACACTTTTGTTTCTGATAGTCAGGTCCCGGTTTGTAAATGAACCCAGCAACAGTCTTGTGCCAGTGAAGACGTGTGGCTTCATTCGTCAGATCACTCGGGGCTGGAAGGTGCTTCAAGTTCGGTACAATCATGGATGACTCTCCATGGGCATCGCGGTTCCGTCGAAGAAGGCAGTGTGACAGATGCCTACTTTGTGAAAGCCCAGCGGAAGCTGGTGCCACCAGTGCCGAAACTGTTCCCTGGCATCCTTGTTAGGGATCACCACGAGGGAATCTCCGTTAACTCAGGAGTCCTTCGTGGGCGAAATCTGAGGTTCCCAATCATCAAAGGGGAAAAGTGAAGAGTCATAGACCATTTCATTATGGCGTGATGTGGGTGTGAGCTTGCCATTCTCAATAATAGGGAACAGACGAGGAGAGCTTTCGTATGCTGCAATTGAGGCTGGCGCTGAGAATTGCACCAGCACGATACTCCGGCGTATCTATTTTAACCTCCGACCAGCTGAATACTAGGTAATGCTGTCAATCTTGTGGCAATGGACCTCGAGGGGTCGCTCGGGTTCTCGGATGCAGGCCAGGGCTCAGGGGAGTCCGCATTCTTGTCATTCCGAGGCTCCGCAAGTGTTTGGTAGACGCCTGAGATCTGGTCGACTCCAGGACTGTCTCTTGCTTCGGGAAGCTTCTCGGGACACGCATGGTTCTCGTCACCCCTAGCCCAATTCGCCGGTCGGAGAATAGACCTCTTCGGGAGAATCTTCCTGATCTTGTCAAACTCGTCCCACGAAAAATCTCTCATATTTTAGATAAACTTGTCCCTGGCTGCTTGGTCCATTTCCATCAAATTCTCGACTCCTGGATTTGGGACGGGTTCCTCGGCAGTCGCCGAATTCGCCATGGAGTCGGTGTTGTCAGAGGACTCGGACTGGGCGGCAGTGTCTTCGCCCAAGGGCTGAAGATCATCGTTGTCCGTGGAATCCTGTGGTTCGCCATGACTAGATCTATGCGATCTATATTATGAGTATCACAATACCCGGCAGTCTAAAAGTACCCACATTTTGGATAAAACCAATTTGCTTGATCTGTTTGCTTTGCAAATGAGGGATGATTGCAGGCAGAACTAATCAGCTCGTCAGTATATTGGTCTTGTTCTCAAGGATGATCGTCAACGATGGCCTTCTGTTCACTCACATTGATTTATTGCCTTTTGCAGTTATGGTACAGGCCTTGTCGTTTTCTATCGTTCGATGTTAGCGTTGCAATCGGGGTGCGCTGGGATCATAGGGTTGCAGTACCTGAACATGCCAGGATATCAGCCCTGAAGTAGGAGAGAACACGGGATGAAGGTCGAGATGAAAGGAAGACCGAAGGGCTGTAGAAGGAGACGGTTAACGACGAGGCGAGGTGAGCGAGGGGTAATTTGAAGTGGAAGTTGGCGAAGTAGACGACCTCGCCGGCGCGAAGTACGCCGTTTCTGATGTTCTTTTTTCTTCAACCATCGCCACTTTGTGCATTATGGCTCCTCGCATCTCCTCTTAACCATTCATTAGCGATCTCTTAACTGTCTTTACCGGTTTCTTAGGTATCTGTTTAACTATCTTTTTAATCACATGATATCCTCTCTCGCTATAGTACCCACGCCTAGTTATTACAAGTTTAGCTTGAAGGAACTACCTGATATTGTGCTCAAACTCATGTTTCTAGTGCTAGAAAACATGAGATAACAATTCAGGGGGGCTAAAAAAAATCAAAATCAAAATCCTGTGAACCCGAGTACATAGACGTAGGTATCTGCGGCCCACCATATTTTCTCCTTCACACATCTCCGCCATGTTATCAATACTTCGCAAGGCACGCTTAAAAGACAAGGAGATGCGAATATTAATGCTGTATGGCCCCTGACCAACCATTGAGATCGAGCTAATATTTGTAGGGGTCTTGACAACGCGGGCAAGACGACCATCGTCAAACGGATAATGAACGAGGATGTCACTACGGTCAGCCCAACCCTAGGCTTCATCATCAAAACTATTGACTTTATGGGGTAAGTTCCCGTCAATATTGCAGGGACGATTTCTAATATGTCGCAGATACAAACTCAACATTTGTGAGTCCGCACTGCAGGAGACCGCAGTCGGGGACTGACGCCACTAGGGGATGTCGGAGGACAAAAAACTCTCCGATCCTATTGGAAAAACTACTTTGAAAAGACCGACACGCTCGTCTGGGTGGTGGATGCCACTGATCGTCTTCGCGTGAACGATTGTCGACATGAGCTCGCGGGTCTGCTGCTTGAAGAGGTTCGGAAGTCCCCGCAGTCGTCGGACATTCACTGACTGGACGACAGCGACTCACGGGAGCCAGTTTGCTGGTCTTTCTGAACAAGACAGACGTGGAACATTGCATGGACGAGCAGGAGGTTCGCGAGGTAGGCTTTCTTTGCCTCCCAAAGGGACCCGACTGACTTCCACAGCGACTGGATTTGGATTCCATCAAAACTCACAAGTGGACTATCCTACCCTGCAGTGCAATGACCGGCACAAACTTGAATGAAGGTTTAGAATGGGTGGTACAAGATGCCAAAGACCGGCTATTCCTTTACTAACTGGCTATTCCTCTACTGACTCTGGTGTCATCGTTATGTTCAAGCCGGTGGACCAGTTCGATTTACATTTGGCCTCTCTGGATCTAATTCTCTCCGTGCTTGCAGTCCAACTCTACAACATTTACATCCGATAGGCTGAAGTATACGTGTCAGATCACTGAACTTGTATTCCGAGAATGCAAGGCACAACATGATATATCATTCCGCCTCTGCACCCCTGAACCCAGGAAATAGGAGACAGCAATGAAACAACAGAGAACTAGCAATATAAAAGAGCAGAAACATGAACAGAAAAGAACACAAAAAGAACAGAAAAATCAACGTAGAAGCCGGGAGAAGACATCACTGCGGGGCGATCCACACGTAAACAAACACCTAAAACGCGCTCTAGGGGATGCACCTATGCATGGAATAGCTAGAATTGTGGATAACAACGAGGCACCTAGTTTCTCTTCATACTGTAGCAAGTGAAAATCTCGAAACTCAACTGATGTGCGCCGATCGAGCCCGATTGATTCCCGATTTAATTTCAACAGGGCGGAGAACTCAGCCTCCCTCTCTTCCCCTCCACCACTACGCACACCATGACTGAAGGCTCGGATGTCAATGATTTCCTGGAGCGCATTCGGGAACTAGGCGAGCGGCGCGACAAGGAAGATGAAGAGCGCACCAAGAAACTGGAGGAAGAGATTCTACAGGGCCGGAAAGAAAGGCAGGCCCGGAGAGCTGGTACACCCCTGTCCCCCGTGGTACCGGTGGCAGTGTGCTAATGGGATGCAGAACGAGCACGATCCCTCGCCCTCACAGATGATTCACCAACCCTCCATGTCGCGCGACTGAGCGCTTCCTCCATCAGCCCTGGCTCGATCAACCCGCCGGAACACCTCGAGCCGACTTCGCGACAAGACACACGGGATCTGGAGGACAAGTCGGAGAACACCGCGTCCACCGAGAGGCGTGGATCAGATCAGGATCCCATGGATTCGCCTCGAACCCGCCCTCCGTTGTCTCGTAGCCGAGCAGGGACCTTGTCATGGCAGCAACGCCCTTTGTCGCGAGAGTTTGGGTCTCCCACAGCCTCCCCAACCCGCTCTCCGACGCGTGCAAGCCACTTGAGAAACTTGTCCACGGCATCAGATGAAAACAGGCTGTCCCGCTCCTTTGGATTTGCGCGCCCAACAGTCTCGTCTCCCCACAGCCCGGAACGAGGCGTTGGCTCGGCATATCGTAAAACAGAAGAACGGCCGGATAGTGTCACAGAGTCAAGCGCCCCTCAGCTGCCGACACCGAGTATGGACCATGAACCGAGTGTCGAAGTTGAGAAGCCAGAGGCAGAGAGATCGCCATCCATTCCAAGAACCGGGTCTCGGGATAGCAACACGAGCCATCGTTTCTCTGTGTCGTCAGTCTCTGGGCTGGGGTCGCCAGTGCATCTGTCAGAGGCTCAGAAGCTCGAGCCACCGCAGGCTGATTCTTATCTCGAGGATCCTATGCCGGAATCTCCAACCCAGCGGCGAATGTCTCCAGAGCGAACGCGGTCAACATCGCCCACAAAGGGGCTCGGGGGGTTCGTTCAAAGTGCAATGATGAGACGGTCAGACAGTGTGTCGAAAAGGTGGAGTGCTCAGATTCCGCAAGGACTGAGTCGGTCCAACTCGATCATCTCAAATCGCAGTAGCGTAGCAGGTCCAAGTTTGAGTGAAATGGCCCCTCCTTCTACTCGGGGAGTTGGCCGCGAAACTCCCACTCTTCCCCGACGACCAGGCTCCAGCCACAGCGAAGCACCCACAGAAAGAACCGAGAGACCAACAACGCCTTCTGGCCCCCCACCTGCACTCTCAGATAGAGACAGCGTGCGCGCCGAGGGAAGCCCGAGCAGACCAAGTCGACCCCTTCACTCCAGGTCTGCCAGCTCAGTGACCGCAGACGGCAACGACGCTCCGTTTGTATCACGCACTATGGACCCAAGACGCTGGAGCCCCAGCAAGGCTACCTGGCTGGAGAGTGCTCTCAACCGGCCTGAGTCGCCGCGCTCTACCCGACCACCCTCGCAGCCCTCCTGGGCCAGGGACCGACAGTCTCGGGGCAGTGTCGACATGGGACGGGTGAGCAATTTCAAGGAAGTCACTCCCATCGGTTTGATGCGAACACCCCCGCCGGGACTTCAGTTCAAGAGACCCAGTGTGTCCGGTCCGTCGCTGCCTGAAAGCCCGGGAAACAAAGCGAAGGAAACTGTTCCTGAGACCCCATCTGTTCTGGGTACTCCCGTTGCCAGCAAAGTGAAGGAGACGATTCCAGAAACTCCCTCCGCCCCCGAAGTCCCTGAGACCAAAGCGGAGGAGATTCCAGGATCTCCATCAGTTCTCAAGACTTCTGATACCAGCATGGCAAACCAGACGATTCCTCAGTCTCCTTCTGTTGGTAGCCCTGAACCCGTCACATCGAGAGAAGCAGCTCCAGAACGTCCCTCGCCTGCTGAGGAAACCCCGTCCACGCCTGTCAAGGAGACGACAGAGGAACTCAAGTCTGTCTCTCTCGCTGAACAAAAAGGCGAATCACAAGAACCAGCAGCTGAGGCATCCGCAGAGCTTGCAGAACCTGAAGTCGCCCCAGAGCCCGAATCGGCTCCGACTCGCAGGCTACCTCCCTCCTCTTTGAGCCCCAAACCGAACTTCTCCATATCTACGTCCTCTCGGGAGCCCATTTCGCCCAAGCCGAAGCAACCACAGTCTCCAGTGGTCGATTTCAGAGCAAATCTTCGGAAACGAGAGGTTGTCAAAGACAGCGGACCCGAAAAAGAACCAGAGTTCAAAAACGTATTTGGACGGCTCAAGAAGACCGAAACCCGCAATTATGTTGCCCCGGACGAGCTGAAGGGCAATATCCTACGCGGGAAAGCTGCTCTCAATGTCACCGGAGGACCAAAGAAGACCCAGCGTGTCGATGAGTTCAAGGACAGCCTTGTGAAACGCAAAGACGAAATGAAGGCCGGTGGAGGCTCTATTAGACGAAACACTGTTGGAGAGAAAGATGCGCCGCCAAAGCCCGCCGATGCCGTTCCGGAAGCTATTGCTGTGCGACAAAGCATGACAAGATCAAAGAGTATCAAGCGAGTTTCTGTCGATGAACCAATCTCTCCCTCGCAAAGCATCGACTCCTCACGAACATCGCAGGATCGACAATCATTTTCGCCGTTCCCTACTTCGCCGTCGAAAGACATCAGTTCGTCGAGAACGTCTCAGGAACGACAGCCCTGGCCGCCATCTCCTGCAAATGACGACTCCGCATGGCCCTTGAAACAAACTGGCGCGTCGCCTGTATCCCGGGAAATCCAGCCATTGTCGCTGTTCCCTGCCGATAAATCCGCCGAAGAGAAGGAGATGGAAACAGTGACTCCGGCAACGGACTCCTTCCAGGACACTCCTACGCCAGAACCTTCGCCGAGCCAAGAACAAGACCGTGCGGTGGTGGACCAAATTGAGCCAAGCATCACCAATGCACAGGATGCTCCCACCGAGTCTATCTTTCCAGTCCGTAACTTGCCACAGGTCCCCATTGGGCAAGCTACTGTGAACCCAAGTCTGGCTGGAAAGGGCAAACTAGCAGGCCGAATCAATCCCGCGCTGGCTGGACTGCTGTCTCGCGGCCCGCCCGTGGCCACTGAAGGACCGAAGAAGGATCTCCCGACTCCGGTCTCTACTGAAATAGATTCTGCCTCGCCCTCTGTGCCTTTAACCCATGTTACAAAAGGACGTGCCAGAGGCCCGAAGAGACGACTTCCCAAGGCAACTACTGCTTCGACCCCATTCCCTCGGGATGATTTTGAGGTTGGTGCTATTTCATACTTTGAAGCCATCCCATCACAGGCTCCTTCAATCCCTGTCGAGTCTTCGGACGACACGTCGGATCGCCTCTTGCAACCTGATTCAGATCTGATTCCTGACACCGAATTCCCTCGTTCAGGCAGCCCGGTCTCCACCCAACTCCCTGTGAATAGTCCCTTGCAGGAACTCCTCGAAAGCGAACCCACTCCTCCAGTCCCTACTGCGTCTTCAGACGACATGTCAAATCGCCTCTCTCAACCTGAATTGGCTTCCCTTTCTGACACCAAATTCCCCCGTTCAGGCAGCCCGATCACCACCCAACCTCCTGTGAACATTTCATTGCCGGATACGGATACTCTCGAGAACAAAGGCGCGCCCTCGATTCCTGTTGAGTCTGCGGACGATGTATCGGATCACATCTCGCAACCTGATTCTGATCTACAACCTAACGCCGAAGACGCCCCTTCGGTCAGCCCGGTCACTACTCAATCCCCAGTGAATATTCCATTGCAGAGTAGCCTGAAGGGACGGCCCGAGCAACGACCTCAAACACGTCCTTTGACAACGGATTTTGATATATTCCCCTCCCCTGGTTCCTCTCCTAGTCTTGAGACTGCATCCCGTGCTCTTGACAGTCCCGGAGGCATGAGTGCGACAGACAAACCGCCCGTCCCGCCGAAATCCAGTCCGCCCACGTCCCCATTGCCTTCAACGCCAAAGTCACTATGGGGCCAGCAAAATCGGTTTGCTTCGTCGTCTCCATCCCCTCTCCGAACAAGCTACAAAGAGAATCGCATGGATACGCCCCCGACTCCTCCGCTGAAGAACATCCCCGGTGTCACTGTAGCCGTCGCACGGGACTCTGTGACACGTGCCACAAGCCAGCCCTCCCCTCCTGTGCCCCCAAAGCAAGACGATTATATGCTTCACAAGCCAATTGATCCGCGCCGACTATCCCGTAAGATGTCAGCACCGTCACTGGTTGCACAAGCTAGCGAGGCACGAGAGGTCATTGCGGGATTTTTCAAGTCATTCCCCAACCCTCGAGATCGCATGGACATCGACCCGCAGCTGATGTTGATGAAGAAACCAGAGGATTTTAAGATCAGAACTCTCAGGCTGCAGATATGGGAACTCACGGGCGATGGCAGACGCCAGGAACTTCCCTCTCATCAAGAGTACATTCTCTACCAAGGCAGCATGTATCTCTGCGTGCATTCCTTTGAAGCACAGGGAAGCAGCAGCTCGGAAGTTTATCTCTGGTGTGGAGACGATGTCCCTGATGCTTCTGTGGACAATGAACAGATGTTCGCTCGCAAAGTAGCCCGTGAAAATAGCTCCAAGGTGCAGGTCATCCGACAGGGCAAAGAGCCCGTTCGCTTCATTCAAGCGCTCGGTGGCATCATGATCACCCGTCGAGGATCCAGCTCTCGCCACAACTCATCGGCCCTCTACATGCTTTGTGGCCGGAAACATTTGGGACAGATGACCTTTGATGAGATCGATTACTCGCTGCGCAATCTCTGCTCTGGCTTCCCATATGTCGTTTCAGCTCCCTTTGGCAAGCTCTACCTATGGAAGGGCAAGGGCAGTGGACCTGAGGAGACGGGTGCCGCTCGTCTCATTGGGATGGACCTGGGTCTGACTGGGGAGTTTGAAGAAGTCGCCGAGGGCGAAGAACCGGAAGAATTCTTCGATGTCTTCGCTGGTCCCAGAGAGGCTGCTCCGTACATGTGCCAGGATTATTGGCAGCTCAAGCCGAAGTATTCCCAGTTCCGCACACGACTTCTGCGTGTCGACCACGAATTAGGGCAACCGACTCGTTTCTGGAATCTACGCCGCCCCGGATCGGGCTCGCCCGTGGTGAAGCCCAACGACTGCGTCCAGGAAATCGAGCCTTTCTGTTACCGCGATCTCACTGATAAGGATATCTATGTTCTGGACACGTTCTTTGAGATCTACGTGTAAGTATATTCCCTGCCACGCGCACAACCTTGTACTAATCCCTTCATAGGATCATCGGCGAGCAAGCCTCACAAAAGTCGGCTGACTTCGCGTCCGCGGTGGTCTTTGCACACGAGTATGGCATCCTGGCCACCTCTCTCCAGGATCGACCTTTTATCCCCAAGAGTTTTGTTGCGCTGGGTGGTGTCGCCGACCGCTGTCAAAGCGCATTTCGCAAATGGAACCCACGCACTGTCAACGCACCTTTTGTGTTCCCTCTGGATGTGGTCATTGAAGCCATGCGAGCTCCAGGGGAGGAGTGAGGTAAATTTTATTTTCTGTGCATATTCCGGCATTTCCCCGGGGGAGTCCTGTCTTCATAGAGCATCTGGGATGTAGATATAGGGTTACGCATTTGAGGTGTAATTAGGCATCTCGGTTGAATATTGAATTGTTATTTTATTTAACCAGGAGCATATAGTATAATAGTAACTTTATGGTAACTTATAAGTTAATGTGTATAGGTTCTCGGTAGTATACTCCGTCTGTTAGACACGCCAAGGAGTGGGAGTGGGCTAACACGGAGATAATAGAAAAAACCGGACCCTCATGTCGCCATCTCCTAGTGTCTCCGAGTTTCTCCCCCAATGTACACATGTAATATGAACATGCCGTGATTTTTCTCTTTAACATGGATCCCTTACTCCTCAAGGACCCTGCGGTGCCATTCCGCGCGTCCACCGATCACCTGCATCACACGTGGGCCAAGACGTTCTTCTCGCGCCCGGAGCTGTACATCCGCCCTCAGACTATCCCCGAGGTTCAACAGCTGGTGACCCTCGCTCGTCGTTGTCGTCGTCGACTTGTCACTGTGGGCAGTGGCCACTCGCCCTCCGATCTTACCTGCACCTCCTCATGGCTCGTCAATCTCGATGACTTCAACCGCATCCTAAACGTCGACTCCGAAACCGGCTTGGTTACCGTCGAAGCGGGCATCCGATTGAATGAACTGGGCACACAGCTGGAGAAGCATGGCTTGTCACTCGCGAATTTGGGGAGCATTGACAGCCAATCCATTGCGGGTGTCATTGCGACGGGCACACACGGCAGTTCCCTTCGCCATGGACTGCTGTCGGAATGCATTGAATCGCTCGGCCTGGTACTCGCCAATGGCCAGCTGGTTCGTTGCAGCCCGACAAACAACCCGGATCTGTTCCGCGCCGGACTGGTCTCACTCGGAGCCCTCGGAATCGTTGTCGAGGTCACCTTCAAGGCGACGCCAACATTCAACGTTGCCTGGCGCCAGGAACGGTATTCGCTGTCTCGGGTGCTGAATGACTGGACCAAGGGGCTGTGGACAGATCACGAGTTTGTGCGCGTGTGGTGGCTGCCATATGAGAAGGGTGCTATTGTCTGGCGCGCTGAGAAGACCGACCTTCCCCTGCGTGCACCCCCCAGAAACTTCTACGGAGATTCACTCGGCTATCATATCTACCATAACCTGCTTGCGCTGTCTTCCTATATCCCGCGCATCTTGCCCTGGGTCGAATGGTTCGTCTTTGGCATGCAATACGGGTTCTGGCCTGGCTCAACTGTCACCGAGGCCGTTGAGCCCGCACGCTCAGGACTGTTGATGAACTGTCTGTACTCACAATTTGTTAATGAGTGGGCACTTCCTCTGGACAAAGGACCTGAAGCCATCCTCCGCCTTTCGGCCTGGTTGCACGGCGATTTGAAGACAGCGCAAATCCCATTCTCTTCCAAGGGACTGTGGGTGCACTGTCCGGTCGAGGTACGGGTCTCGGACACATCGCTAAACACAAAACCCCGTCCCTTTTTGGACCCGACTTCTCGCGATGGACCCACGCTTTACTTGAACGCGACTCTCTACCGGCCCTACTTCCGCGACCCTCCTTGCAGAGAACGATACTATGAAGCATTCGAATGGCTCATGCGGGACATGGGCGCCAAACCACACTGGGCGAAGAACTTCCGCACATTAGGCTCCTCCGAGTTGGGCAACGCATACGGCGAAGACATGGACTCGTGGTTGAAGGTCCGGCAAGAGGTCGATCCGGACGGCATGTTCCTGGGCGAATGGCATCACCGCAATCTACCCCTGACCAAAGCACCTGACCCAGACGAGCGGCTGCCCCTCCTGGAGCGCGAGCAGGAACGTCGCAAATTGAACATTAGTGGCGTCGGTGATGGTATCGAATGGGTAGGTGATCGCCGGTGGCAGGTCGAGTCGGACCACCCGGCGGAGATAACTTATGACTTCCCACAGTCCTCTAGTCCCACGGTCAGTGAGGAGAGCTTTGATTTGCTTGCAAAGGGGGAAGCGAGCATCTTGCTCCCCGGGCATGAGATGAGCAATTAGGCTCCCATCGCAAGCAAACAATACCGGTGTCGGTCGGATGCAAGCGCCGACTTTCCCTACCCTGGTGATCATCTCTGACACTTCTGACTGGCTCGGTTGCTGTGCTTATTGTGGCTTCTTTATTTTTCAATCCTTGTTCTTTTGTTTCCGGTTCTGCGCTTAGGGTTTTAGACCAGGCAATCTGGTATGTTCGGGCTTAGCGGACGACAACGAAACGGTCTTTTGAAATTTCTTTTCACCTTCGGTTGACTCAACCTCCTCCTTGTTGTTACTATTTGCTTGCTCTTTCCCCCTGGTTTTTCTTGCCAACGCAGAATCTGACCTCATGGTCTCCGATGCTGATCGGAATCTGTCGGTGAGAGACCTGCGTTTTCGATGCATGGTGCTTGTCACCGTGTCCTTTCATAGGGCCGTTGATCTGGATGAAATCAATAGTCAATAATTGTACCTTGACCATCTATATTGCATGACACAGGTGTCGTTTCTGGTATCGGGGAGAGGCGTCTGTCTACCCTTGTCCTTTATCTCTTGTTCCCTGTTCCCTGTCACCTGTCCCATGTCCCAGCTGAGAGATCTGAGAAACCTCCAGTTTGCACAAATCCATTACAGAGAGGATCTAGCCACGGTGGCAAACCAGGCATTCAGTATTGACGTCCTTACCTGTAAAGCCCAATGGGACAAGAGTGATACACTGCAACTCGCACTGCCCTACATCTGGCGTATACGAGCAAGCTGAAGATCAATGCAAAGATCTAGCCTAGACAAATGTTCAGATTAGGGCTGCCTCTCTGAGCCCAGGATATCTGTTTGTCTTGTGCAGGCTGTGCCAGTGCTATACATAGAAGGATTTCGCAAAGAGAAACAGAGCAACAGGCCCCGCTTCAGGCTTAAGCGCTATCTCCTGAGAGAACAAAAAGACAAAAAGACCAATTGCTGGGCATTTGTGACACGTTTCGGTGCAGACTGGGATGTTTTCTATACTTCGGTTTGTTTGGTTTGTCTTCCCATCTCTCCGTCTCTTTCCCTCATCATCTCCTCATCTCCTCATCTCCCCATCTCCTCTCTTCCTCTCAGCATTGACCCCTCCACAGTACTTCATGCAGGTTGACAGGGGCCTTGATTGGTGCAATATGTGCTCCCAATTCCATCTTCCTCAGCCGCCAGGATCACACGTGTTGGGAGGGGGAAAACCAACGTGTGACGAGACGTTGTAAAGTCCTCAATGCATTGTATTGATGCTGCCCGAAGAACTTGCGGCTCGGACCGTGCTCAACTGCGCCCAAATGGTCCCCAGCTAGCATCCTTGACTCTGTCGCGCTTGTCTGACAGACTCTCCACGTCACTGGTAACTATTCCCTGTGCTTATATGCGGGGCCTGTTGATATCAAGGCCTGTCTCTCATTTCACCCCCACCTGCTCCCTTTTTTTATTTTATTCTTTGCTGGCCAAAGTTGTTCCCTACTTCCTCCGATCTCTATATATCTCTCTTGAATACAATCCTGTTACCTCTCTGCACCTCTGCTATTCCTGCGACATCTATCTCCCCGGGCCGTGTTGTGCGCAAGATGATACAGTCCAATATGGCATGGCAGCCAAAGCTTCGCCCCAAGGGCATTCCCCATAGTATTGACGACTTTACGGCTGTGACCTCACTATCCGAACTGGAACACCGGACCAGGACGGGCGAGGACAAGCGCGACCAGCGCGTCTTCCGGGTCAAGCGCAAACATGTTCTGAAAGCGTGCGATCGCTGTCGCGTGAAAAAGACCAAGGTATGTCGACAGTCCGGGAACTGTGGATATTTCCTAACATATCCAAGTGCGATGGGAAACAGCCTTGCAATCGCTGCTCAGTATACAACCACCCATGTTTGTTTCGCGAGCGAAAGGCTACCCAGACCAAAGTATACTCTCGGGGGTGAGTACATTCTTTCAAGACTTCTATCTTCTAATCATGAGCGGAAACTAATCATGCATCAATATAGCTTTGTCGAAATGCTCGAATCCCACCACTCGCTGGTAGTCAAGGCTCTTCAGAAACTTTACAAGTTCTGCATCAACAACGAAGGTTTCCCTGGCGAGCCTCTTGCTGAAGCACCAGACGGCCATCCTCTCACGCACGCAATTCTCGATCGACTAGGGCTAATCAAACAAGCCGAGGAGAACGCTGACGAACCAGATGAAGATTCCGAAGACCTGCGATACCTGCGCATGCTATCAACGTCGACGGAATGCAGCGTCACAGCCGAGCCCTCCCCTGAACCTACGACTCCTCCAGAATCTTCGCAAACAACGCTATCACACTCGACATGCCCTATCCCCACACCCATGCCGGCTCGCAGCAATACAGCCGAAAACTGGCAGTGGGATCTCCAGCCAGTTCAGCAGCCAAGCTACAGCTATCCCGACGCGGGATACCATGACCTGATGGCCCTGCAGCGGTCGTCCATGACTGCACCGGATATGTGCACTGATATCTCGCCTCACATTGAACTATCGGCTGGCCCTTTGCATCTGCCGCATCACCAGCAGCATGACCCACCGTTTTCATATGTTCTTGATGGCTGCTGTGATAGTGCGACTGCACAGCCTGATATTAAGCCTGTTCTTACTCGACATCATAGCCTGACGAACACGCATCCGCATCCGCACCCGCATTCACATGCGCATCCTCTGGCGGGCAATTTGTCTGGTGATATGATTCGCGACTTTCATTTCCAGGCGAACGATTCTGGGTTCTACCAAGGATTTACACCTGGCTGGTCTTTTCCTCCAGGTTAGATCTGGTTTCATCTACTGTAGTAAATTTGGCCTGTCTCTCGTTCACGCTGGCTCGGGGTTGAGTAGAAGCTGCTGAGCAGCTTTTTATATTTCACTTCTTACCTATACTTTGCTATTTTTTTCAGCGACTTTTTCTTTGTCTCCTTCTCTCTTGATCATTCTCGGTTCCATCTATCGCTCTTCTATACCCCCACATCCATATGTGAAGCCAGAATCAAAACCACGCCTTGGATTGTTATTGGTCTTGAATTTGAACGTTATCAGCACGGAACGTGGAGCACGGAACATCCAGGATACAAGACAGGGAACATGTCTGGCACATTGAGCTCTTGCCCTGATCATTCGCTTTCGTCTCTTCTTTCTCGGGCTCAGATCTTTGTTTGGATCGTCTTTTTTCTTTTTTCCCTGGGGCTTTTCAAATCTGGTATCTAGTTTGAGACACACCCTATCAATTCAGGTACTAGTCCTCGGCCTCCGAGTTTGTCCCAAGTATTGAGTTCCGATTGCGTTGGTCAGGGTCTAGGGACCCTGTTTTATACAAAGTTGGAGAGTTTATGTATGATACAGCTGGGTCTACATGCCATGTGTACATTGTATAGTATATTGAATTTTCTGATCATTTACCTAATCTATGAAAGCTGTTAATCCACGATATCGGTATGCAATTATCACATCAAGGAACCCCAACGTTGAAAAGAACAGTATATATACCCTGGCATCGACCTGAATACGTCTACAAAGCCGAGGTCGGTACTCCAGCACGAGATACAGCAGATCAGATCGAGATCAATGTATACATCGAGATCTCGAGCAGTGAAATTTACCACACCTCGCACAGATCGATCTAGTATCAACCTAGAAAAAGCAGCCTAGCAAGTTCAGCATCTCAAATCCAAGTGAAACAAGTTAGTACATTATTTTCCTTGTTCAGGACTGGGATGAAGCTCGGCGTGGGGGTTTGTGACACCTTGACCCTGCGCGTGAGTGGCTTCATGACCTTGCAGTGCAATGACACTAGGTAAAGATCATAGTCATGGCGATATACGCCGTGTCATCCAGACAGTACTGCATGAAGCTATTGTCACAATTCACCGAGACTAAAAGAAACCCTCCAACTATTCTTATCTGATGTAACATTTCGAATTTAAATTTAAAATTTTGGGTAAATTCCTCACGTCTATTAACCAGACAGGAATAAATGATAGATGCACATTCACACGAGGGAAAAGAAAAGAGTAATAAACCAAATAGAAACCCCGAAGCTACCCGATGAATAGTAGAATGACCACAAGAAAAAAAAGACATCATGTAATTCAACCTTCCAAGAGACAAGGCATGCCAAGGTCTACGTCACACAAGTCTCAAGTACAACCGATCAATCAATGCAAGAGAAAGGGAATCAATCCTCGTCCTCCGTTTCCGTGTTGGTGTCGCTGGTATCGCCTGCGTCGCCCTCGGTGTCACTCTCGCTGGAGTCGTCGAAATCCTTGGGCGTCTTCTTCTTGGGTGGTTGTCCCGTCTTGAGAGCTTGCATTTGGCCGGCGATGGAGTCTGGAGAAGTGTTAGTAAATAATATTCAGACCAATGGATTGGCGGAAACTTACCCTCATCAGGTTCACTGATGTCGTCGTCCTCTTCCAAGGCGGCGGCCTTGGCCGGGTCCTCAATGTGCAGAGTAATCTGTGTTGAGTAGTCGAGACCCAGGTAGCTGTCACAGAGCATGTTGAGGACGAAGGTGTAATCGCCAACCTGCGGAGGAGCCTGGAACTGCATCTTGAGAGTTTGGACGTTGAAGGTGGGCTTGCCGGCCTCGTCGAAGATTGGCTTGTCGAATGTGGTAAAAGTAAACGGCGGGACGGCCATCTTGCCCTGCTTGGCGTCTGCAAGGAAGATGTTCCAGCGGGGGGAGTGGTCGCGGGCGAGGAATGGGGCGTGGGCGAGGGGTGGCTGAATAGTCTCAATCTTGTTCTCGACCTTCTTGCCATCCACAAGCTTGGTAGCGCGGTTCTTTGCGGGCTTGCGTCCCATCAGGGCCTCAAGGTCATCCTCGTCGGGGTCGATGTCTTCCAGATCGACTTCGTTCACTGGCGGCACGGATGTGCTACCGGGAGGAATGAAGCGTGCCTTAACAACCAGCTGTACCAGACTGCTGGGGGTGATAACCTTCTCGCCCATGACTTTGAAGAAGATCTTCTCGGGTTGGAGAACGGGAAGTTGCTGGGCGACGGAAATAGCGTCGGCGTATTGCTTTTCAGAGAGGAGACCAGCGCCGACAGTCAGACTGCGTCGTTGAGTCTCGGTAAGGGTCATGAACTTTTGAACGGTGAAGTGCTCCTTGGCATCTTCGCCTTCGACTGACTTGACGACGGCGTCGCTGAAGTTGGGAAGTTGCAATAGCGGCGAGGAGCCCGGGGAAACGGCCTGAATGAGATTCTGAGAGGTTTTATAAGCACCAACGATAGGTCCAATGCTACCAAATGCAAGGGAAATGGCAGTGAAAGCTTCGGAGAGGGAGAGGGCGACAGGAGCGGCTTCGTATTTTTCTGGGAGAACTCAGTCAGTACAAGAAAAAGAATGAGAGATGTCTGCTCGACTTACCAGCATCAAGAGAGGCGTCACCAAGATCGATTCGACCCAGGTAAGCCCACAGCAAAGCCAATGCCTTGCGACGAGAGGAGTTGTCCATCTGCTTCAGAGCCTCGCGGTCCTTAGCCGAGAGGAACGAAGAATCATCTGCCAACACTCGCTTCTCAAGCTTAGCCAAACCAGACTCAGCCTGAGCACCCTTGAGCATGTCCTTGAATTCCTCGCCAGAGGACAAGGCACTGATGATGCCACCTTCGGGCATATCTTCCTTGTACTCGCGGAAAATGTTTCCAGCACTGGCGACGAGAACACGCTCCTTGGTGTAGCGCTGTGATCCATACCACCACTTTCCAACAATATATGGAAGAAGGACACCCAAAAGAGCACCGTAGACCATCAAGACGTACTTGCCATTGCCCTCCATGACAATGAACTGGGGAAGGGCAATACCAATGCTGAAGCTCTGCTTGCCGTCGGGGTGGCCATACTGAAGGTAGTTGTTACGGACCTCCTCGTCGGTCAGTGCCTTGTAGGCCTTGGTCAGTTCGACGAAGCGCTCATTGAGCATATCCATCGTCTCGTTTTTCGAGGGATCAGGACGGATTTTATCCGGGTGATAAATCAACGACATGCGCTTATAATGTCTTGAAATAGCTTTCTCATCCGCGCTCTGTTTGTGAATAAAATGTTAGCTCAAGTGTTCCTGTATCAGCAGGCCTGCCTTGAACTGGACAACTCACCCTTGAGACACCCAAAATGTCATAAGGATCATACGCCTTCACCACGGTCCGAGCCGTGACGACAATTAAATAGACCATCCATGCCATGATCGCATATCCTAGGATCACGGTAACGATGCGCTTAATTCGGCGCTCTTTGCGCAGACGCTTGCGCTTCTGCGCGTCGATGAGATCGGCATGTTGGGGTTTGAAGTCAGATTTGATGCGGGGAGCAGTGTTCTCGAGCTCTGTAGATAGCGCACAATCATTAGACCCGGTCAATCATCACTTTCCAGTCCAGACTCACCTTTGCTAGGACGTAGGAGGTTATAGGTAAGAGGGAGTGTGACCAGGCCGGTCAAAGTGAGGATGAAGAAGGGGAAGAATTGGCCCTAATACTCCAGTCAGTAAACTTGCTTCTTCATTGCTGGCGTAAATTCCTTACCTGCTCATCGTATGTGTAGTCTGACGACATCGTGCGGCGCGTTCAAGGTACAGCGGTGGCCGCTGTCCGCGGAATTTAAAGATCGTGTTGCACAAGGCTGTTGACAGTAGCCACTTGGGACAGGTAGAAGGGCGCAATAGAGAGCTGGGAGGAAATATCAGGAGCTTATTAAGAGCCCAAAAGCATGGCCCACCGGAAACAAAGGAGTGATGAAGGGAGAGACAATATCGCACTTCCTGATCTGGTGATGACCGTGTCCTCAAGGGTCTCACCGCCTGCCCTAAGTGGGGGCTCAATGGGCAGATACTTGGCGGTGAACAAGTATAACCTGAAGCCGTTCAGCTAGTTACTACTCTCCGTTACTGACTACTATCTACTGGTTACTATTCAGCTGGTAACTTTTATGTGTACTTGTATGTGAATATGTAAAGATTTTGTGCTCAAGGCTACTATAAACAAAACTCAAGAACTACAGTCATGAGAAATATCCAAAGCTCAATGCTGCCATTACCACTCCCCTTCAGTTTGGGATGGACAAAAACAGATACATCACACACAGTCCTCCCCTAGCCACTCTACTCATCACTCACACCTTGCCCAGAGAGGGAACTCAAGTGTCAACAACTCAGAGGTCGGACACGAACTCAACCAATACAGGCAAAGCGTGAAGCATGACTCAACAGTGACTCATTTTTTGGTGTGTGACCGAATCAACAGACCAGTATCACGGCCGGGTCAATGGGGACCAATCCAATGTCTGAGACATCTTCATTGCTGCAAGTCGGGGACCCGGGTATCCGTGGGATCTGTGTTCTCGTCATTGCGGTTGGGCGCGTTTGAGTGGGCAGACGCTGGGCGTTGCCTTTGGTGTTTTTTATGTTTGTCGAACGCAGATCATAACGTCGCAAATTCATCAAATAGTGGTTTTTTGTCTTTTTGGTGACCGAAAAAGTATGAAAGAAAGGAATCCGCTGGAAGTCTCCAGGCTGAATATCTGAACATTCAATCTCCAAGGGCATGGCCACTTGTTCTGGGGCGAGTCAGAATGGTGATCAGGGCAAGTGTAGAGAGTGATACTCACGAATCGATATAGTCAAGTCCGCCAAAGTACTCGAGCATCCGATCACAGAGACTCATGTCGTCACCCGGCTCTCCGCCGAACAGACGATATTGTTCATCGTGGCCTGATTCCAGCCCCGTTGGGCGTTCACGGGTCTGCCATGCTGTATACCCAAAATGCCATATCGGGGCGGGGGGTACAGCTGGGGATCCACATGAAGTGCATGGAGAGTTGTCGATAGACACAGGCTCACAGAAGATGTTCTGGGGTGTCTGAATGGATGCCGGGGTTTCGGGTTGAAAAGTTATAGATCGGTTGCGTGAACGAGGACGGGTGCGACGTCTGTTATGTCGGCCCATCCTAAAGTGAAGTAAGAAAAGTAAAGACTTTTAGAGGAGCGACCATCACCCCTGAGGACGAGATGAGGTGAAAAAGTTGAGTAGCAGGGGTCGAGCTTTATAAGTAAAAAAAGTTGCGTGAGTCACTATAAAACGACCCACTCTCGGGTCCCACCGAGAAGATCTCCCTAAGGGATGCCAAGGTCCTTTGATGACTCGGACATCGCGTGATTTGCAGACTTTAGACTTTGAGCACGTTATTCCAGTTGGAATGCTAGCACGCTATCTACTTTATATGCTAGCACGCTATATCTACGAGCCATATGAGCCATATGACTACTATGATGACTACTATTATGACGACAAATATGACTACTATTATGACCACCATTATGACGACAAATATGATACAAAAACTCAACACATGACGACAAGCCGATGCCGGTGCATTAGTGCCGGCCCGGCTGGCGATCGTGTCAGGCAACGGAGTGGGCATCCCGATTTCTCCCTACGGAGAACATGGTCTGACTCCGGCAGAGTTTTCTCTCCTTGCATATTTCATTCTTTGTCGGGTTCTAGAATCAATTTCTGAAAGAAAATAAAAGAATCAACTAGAAATAGCATAGAATCAAATAAAATCAAATAACAGAACAAAGAATACAGTACAGTATTCTCCTAAATTAGCCCCTAAATAAAGACCCCCTTGCCCAGGTGAAACCACTAAAGAAAGGCAAACATCTTAATTTCAATGCTCTCCCTGGCTGCCCCATCTTGAAACTCAGGGTCGACAAATGCAGAGTGTGGGACGCTGACCCCTTTGTCACTGTCGAATTGTGTAAAGATCAAAGGCTCGTGAGGCTGCTGACGGCCCAGATAGTACCATCGCTGGTCTGCACTGAAGGCATACCGGCTTAGTTCATTCCAGCCACGAGCCAATATCAGCCGCGTGGGAATGTTGTCGCGTGGATTGACCGAGTTCCAGTCACAAACTGCAAGGGGATCTCGCTGGATGGTTTTCAACGGTCGCCACACATTGATGATCAGGACTCGGCCAGCTAGGAGACGGGTCCGCTCCTGTTCGTCGGGTATAACGGACTCCAGATGGTGCAATGCCCCTTCGGCAGTGAAGTCTGAATGCACGCTATGTGCGGGTGCGCGATTATTGGCATGCAAGGACGCATCTGTCGCGAGGCATCGGACTCGATGTGCAAAGGTGACCGTCCTGGTTGCCCCAGTTCTGCAATATGGTTCAGTTAAGATAAAACACAGTTAGGGGAATTAAAACTGACATTTGGCGAACTAGTTCCTCTGTCTTAGGGACGAGGGTGTCTTTAACCTGTTCTTCATCTGTGGCATCCCCAGGCATATCATGTGACACATATACAAAGCCATTTTTGTCCAGCGTGAAGTTGGATTCCTGGCCTCGGATGTCATGCACTCTTACTCGGTGCATCTGATCATGAGCCCGCATTGCCTTGAGACCCTCCTCAGGGTTCCCATTGGTGAAGTCGATCTGGACACGATTGTCGCCCCCTGATGCTCTCCAGAACATAAGTTCCGTATCGACATGCTTCACGGAATGTCCAGAATGATCCCCCATGTTGAAAGCGATCGCAGATCTCGCTGCATGTATTTAGCGACCCACCGTCAGGGGGAAGCCGGGGTTATAAGTACCTGCGTCACGGGCGAAAAGGGCTATCGATGACCGGCAGTCTCAGCATCCGGTTGATGTGCATAAAAGGCATAGATCTGAAGGATACCGTCATTTCGATGGGGGATTAGGGGGGCATTAGAGCATTGATGCTCGCTTCCAGACTGATCAGCGCTGGACCAAGACAAATATACGAGTACGAACCCGAGGTAAAGTGGAGGGGTACATTTCCTTGAAACGGAGGCATTCACGTTTCACTTGGTATTATTTACAGTAGACATGGCTTGAACTGGCTTACTTGGATGTTACTGTCAGTCGTGGGGCAGATTCCATACATTAACACACGCATAAATATATCTATATATACTGTTTGGCGAATGACATTGTAGTATGGACAATGAAACATGTACCCGCATGGATAAACATCTGACATCTGTTGACGGTAAATTCCCAAGGCATGCAACTATCAAACCTGCTTGGCCCTCTGTGTCACTGAAGCGTGTGGTTCGGTGGAAATGCTTAGGCTATTCCAGGCCAAGCCCAAATCCGACGATTTTCAAGTGAGGTTGCGTTTTGTTCAAGCCGAGGATATCATAGCAGAATAGAAACCAAAGTAACTTATGGTAGGTCGAGTGAGAGAGGTATGTTCAGGTAGATTCATCCCATCGGTCAGCCTTGGCGGCCATGGAAATTCTCTGAGTGTGCCAGATATCACGGATACGGCGGGAGACGTGGTGTAACCAGGCCATCGTGGAGTTGGATATAGTTTGGTGGTTTGGAGGTAATTTGGAAGATCAAGTCAGTTCGATCCAATGTAGATGATTTTGAAACACGAGTCAAAAGGATATAGCGGACTATATATACTATCAGACATCTAACAATTTGTAAGATCAGGTTTGTAAGAAGCCTGGTCGTTTGGATAATCTCCCAAGTCTGGAGCTGGGGATGTTTGCCACTCCAATGTATACAAGATGTTTGCCACTATACAGATATATAAGCCGAACCAAACTTTGACGTGGGTCTCGGTCTGGACAACCGAGCTGATTCATGAAAACAGAGGCTAAGAGGCTACATCCATGAGGTATTGTATATGCTATTTCCATATGCTGTATACTATCTATACTATTCACACTATTCTCCACGAATAATGGCAAGCATTTCTTCACCCTTGGGTGCTGTAGTGAGGTTCTCATAGCCAGTAGCCGTCACAAGAATATCATCCTCAATACGCACCCCACCAATGTGTACATATTTATCTGCAACGTCGAAATCTATGAAGCGGGCATAGGGTTGATTGCGCGCATCGGCAAGAGCCAGAGGCGAGAAGTACAATCCTGGTTCAACGGTGACAACCATGCCTTCTTCCAACACCGGCGCAGAGGCAGTGCAAGGCGAAAGGCAGGTAGTGGCCCAGTGCGGGCGGGTCCGACCAAACGCCATGATTGATTTTTCGGAGACATCATGGACCTCCAACCCAACGTGATGTCCTAGTCCATGAGGGAGGAAGACCCTAGAAGCACCAGACTGGCGGATCTCAAGGGTTGTGCCGTTCTTGAGCACACCAAGCGCCATGAGTCCCTCAATGGCGATGTCATGGGCTAGATTGTGGAGAGACAGATATCGGACTCCTTTGCGCATCCCCCGGATACACTCTTCCTGCATACGCTCTACGAGCTTATAGATATCCCGAGCGTGGTCGCTGGGCCATTCGCCAGAAAGAGGGAAAGTCCGCGTCACATCACTGGCATAGCAGTCCCACTCCGCACCAGCATCAAGGCAGACAAGAGGCTTATTGCGGAGGGATTCATTATTCCGGTCGTAGTGCAGGACTGCCGCGTTAGGCCCTGATGCGGCGATGATCTGGTACGCCTGATTGCGGGCGCCGTTTGAGACGCAGGTATCTAGGAACGACCCTTCGATTTCCGACTCATTGGAAAAAGTCTGGATGCGTTTAAGAATTTCGCGGTGTGCAAGGCCCGAGACCTTGTTCGCTTGGCGAATCATTCGGATTTCATATTCATCCTTAATACCTCTGGCCGCATCCATCGCAGGCATGAGCTTCTCCAACTCGAGAGGCGCATCAGCAGGAAGGTGATCCGGCTTCTCCGATTGATGAACAAGATACAATTCGCTTCCCTCCTTGCGCTCATCCAGCCATGTCTGGAGTCCTTCTTTCAGCGCAGTTTGATAGTGCACTCGGTCCACATCATATTGATCCAATGCATCTTCCCTTGAGAGGGTCGGTCCCATCCAGATAGCCCGATGGAGATCAAAGTCAGGGACATAAAGGGTCAACAGGTCTCGTTCAATATCGTATGTTAGCGAACAGTCGGGCTCGTTGACTCCGCTCAAGTAGTAGAAGTATCGTCGTTGCCGGAAGGGGCGCGTCTGGTCCGAGTCGCGTAGGTTGATTGTCGGCTGCCCAGAGAGGAAAATCAAGCCACTTGAAGCCTTAAGCTTTCGGGCAACATTGCGCGCGTGATGCTTAGCTAGGGCGGGTTAGCTGAGAAGAGGGCGAAGGGGAAGGTCTAGGGGGACGGACCTGGGTACTTATCGCAGGAAGTAGGAGTTGCCAGACGGATGTCGTAGGAGTCAACTGAATTGATCATGATCTCACGAGCCAAGGGGTCATGAGTGCCCTGAGAGCCCCGAGAGCCTTGGGCTGAACTAGTCGCTCGCATAACTGGATGAGAGGGGTCACTTTAGCAGCAAGGAGGGGAGAGTAAGCCGAGGGGTATTAGTGCAAAGTTAGCAAAGAGAAGGGAGATATCAAGGCTCAGAAGCCAGGTTTGTAGGATTACAGGAATCCAAGAGGAGAGGAAGAGCAAGTCAGCCTCAAGAGAGAGTTGGAGACCCGAAAGCGTCTTAGATAACTTCCCGCTCGCTCTCTTTCTCCTCTCACTCAACTTTCCAACTTTCCAACTTTCCCAACTTCTGTACTTGTTCCTCGTTCCTCGTTCTTCCTCATCGCTCTTAGCTATTCGTTCCTCTATTCCTTATTTATTACAATCAATGAACCATGCAGGGTTCTGAGGCGAGCCCCGGGCTCCTGCCATCAACCTTGAGAACGGTGATAGGCACTCCGACGTCACCGCTCCTCTCCCCGACCGACCCGTCTCTTTCACAGCAACAAATCCAGTCAACCCTCCAGAATGTTCTCTCCTCGCTGTCAGAATTTCGTCCTGAGGTCGTGGCCGCCAGTGGCAACTCGACCGGCTCGACCGGCAAAGGCATCCTGATTGGGATCTTGTCCGCTTTTGGCTCGGCCGGCGTCGCATTTATCGTGCTAGCGATCTTCTTTTTCTTTAAATATACCCGCCGCGGGCGGATTATGCTGGATCGCATTGGTCGGCCTGGTGAATATGACGACGAGCAGGCGTTTGCGCGCGAGGAAGAGGCGGCGCTAGAGTCTATGGATGACCTGGCGCGGTCGGAATACTTACGAGCGAAAGGTACGGCAATGCACTAAATCTGCTTGATCGATTTGCTAATGGTGCGCAGCTTTTGTACAAGGAAACCCGCCCGAGTCCGTGCAAACCGACATCTCGTTATCACAATTCCTCGCCATTCAAGAGAAGGGTGTCTCCGCCTGGGAGTTCCAGCCGGAGTTGGAGATTGCAAACTGCTTTGTGGAAGGGCGCACAGAAATCGAGTTCTTCGACTCCGAGTGTAGTGTACAGACCAACCTGCCCATCCCGAAGCAGAATGAGGTCTACTACTGGGAAGCGAAGATCTACGATAAGCCCGAGTCGACCATGATCGGGATCGGTGTCAGCACCAAACCGTATCCTTTGTTCCGAATGCCTGGTATGTTCCCACCGAAAGTATTCTTTATCAGGCAACCTGCTAACAAATACCAGGCCTCCACAAATCCTCTGTTGCCTACGAGTCTACTGGACATCGCCGACTTAATCAACCATTCACAGCAACCCCATACGGTCCCCCTCTACTTCAAGGCGACGTCATCGGTGTAGGCTATCGCCCCCGATCAGGCACGATCTTCTTTACTCGCAACGGCAAGCGGCTCGAAGACGTGGCTCATAACTATCGTTCACAAAACCTCTTCCCCACGATTGGCGCCAACGGACCCTGTACCGTTCACGTCAACTTTGGTCAAATGGGATTCGTCTTCATCGAAGGCAACGTCAAGAAATGGGGTTTGGCCCCTATGACTGGCAGCCTGGCCCCGCCCCCACCCTATGGCAGTGAGCAAGGCAGCATCCTCCTCGAGTCGGGCCGTGAGAGCGCGGCTCAAATCTCCCACCGCGTGTATCAAAACGCCAATTACGCCGCCTCAGGTTCAAGTGTTAGGATCCCTCCGGCGGCCAGCCCAGGCCCTGCTCGATCTCCAACTGACATTTCCCTCGCCCAGCTGGCCCACATCCCTTCCAATGAAGATGCTGGTGAGGGATCTAGTCGTTTTGCTGCCGACGAAGAGCCTGGTGCTCCAGACGATGAAGAGCCTGAGGTCCCACCACCAGAGTACTCCAGCCCTGGCAGCAGTCGCAGGGGCAGTGATGCTTCCCTAGAATATCCCTCCAGAGGCTCTGAGGGATTCCACTCTCCATCAAATGAATCCAGCGAATTTGATGGGCCAAATCTGCCCAGTTACCAGACTGTCGTAACCAGAGGTTGGAACGAACACTCAATAGAGGGCAATGATCCCTGATACAGCGTTTTTGTCTATGAACATAGCTTCCCTTGTTATTTCTTTGTTTTATTTAGCGGGTTCACGGGATGGCGTTACAAGCAACTCGGCGGATTTTTTTGGGATTGGGAATGTGCGAGGGTCAATGAATCATGTATAAGGACGCTGTCCATTTCAATTACAGTCTAGTGCATGTACATGTAGACAGTAAGGAGTGAAAGTAGACATCGTATAAATGCCCGGTTGCCCCAGAGCTCAGATCGCCTTCTGCCAAGACTCGAAACTTTCGATCTTCCTTTACGTCTCTCTCTCTCTCTTCATTACTCTCTCTGTGTATTTCCAGCATTTCCATTCCATTCATTCATTATCAACGTGTGTCCAGATTGCCGTGTCCGTCCGGATCTCCACCCCCGAAGGTCTCTCCACTGTTTCCGGTCTCCGATACAGCTGGATGGTCCCCACCGTCCCGCGATAAGAGATCCACATGACAAAAGGGCTAGACTTCCGCCTCAGCCTTCTCTCTAACATCACTTCTGGCTTCAGCTTATGGTATTTCCCATACTTGGGTTTAGAACAGTCCAAGTCGCAAGATTACCTGTTTAATTTCCCTTTTTTCCCTCTTCCTGTTTCGCGTTTTTAGCCGCAATTCTGTCGCAGCTGTGAAACAGTCTGCTGAAACACCTCTAGTAGAGGTCAGTCTCCCCGGTAGCCTGGCTCCGGTTCAGTCGTCAGCTCATTGTTCATGTCTTACGCCTCCACGGAGAGTGCAACAATGGCCGACAAAGCCGCATTCCAAGTCATTGTCTTGGTAAGTTTGATTGGTTTCTTGCAGATTCCACCTGCAGAGCCATGTGTCGGAGTTGATACCCAGCCCGATCATTGGACCTCGTCTCCCACTTGGCTTTCGGGGCTTTGGCAGATGGATCCTCTTACCTCTACTTCTACATCTTCTGCAGAATGCTAACTGGCTCAGGGACCAACGGGAGGACCCCGGGAAGACAGCGTCACCGGCATTCTGGTCCGATCGACCTCCACAAAATGGTCGCCAGACTCTGTGGTAGCCGTGGATGCGGGTACCCTTCTTGCGGGAATCATCCGATTGCTGGAGCGATACATCCCCGAATGCAAGGATGATCAGGGATTGATGACAAATGGGCCCTTTCAGGGGCTTGAGCTGCCCTACCAAACTGCACAGGCCAATGCAGCTCATATCTTTCGGGAAATCATTGGCGCTATCCTCATTACTCATCCTCATCTGGATCATATCTCAGGATTGGCCATCAACACTCCGATCTTGGAGGCGGGGGCTGGCCCAAAGCCGGTGGCTGCGTTGCCATCAGTGTTATCCGCCATCAAGAACCACATGTTTAACGATATCATCTGGCCGAACTTGTCGGATGAGGATGGCGGCGCCGGTCTACTCACATACCAACGTTTGGTAGAAGGTGGAAACCCTCGCTTCGGTCGTGGTGAAAGCAGGGGCTATGTGAGAGCCTGTAATGGCTTGTTGACGAAATGCCTCAGTATCAGCCATGGGAAGTGTAAACAACGGTATCATCCCGAAAGTGGTGTGCATCATCGCGCTGGGAGTACTGTCTTTGCAGAACATCAGTTGATGATTCCTTCAAGGGCCATTTCTGTCGACCAGACCGATGGCAGGTATGCTTATACCTGGAACCTTTTTATCAGTTAAGTTGCTAACACGCGCAGTTTCTATTCCCCCGCTCGCTCACCTCGTATATTCCCCTCTAACCCCAAAGAAACCCCTGTGGCGACAGTTGAGAGCTCGGCATTCTTCCTGCGCGATCATCATACCGGCTACGAGATCATTGTGTTCGGTGATGTCGAACCCGACTCCGTGTCTCTCGAGTCTCTCAACAAACTAGTATGGGAGGCGGCAGCACCAAAGATTGCTACAGGTAAATTACGAGCCATTTTCATCGAGTGTTCATACAACGACAGCGTCGACGACGCATACCTGTATGGCCACATGTGTCCGCGACATTTAGTCGCCGAACTCAGCGTGCTAGCCGCCAAAGTTGCGGAAGTGCGCGAAACGAACACGCCGGACAAAAAGCGCAAACGCGAAGCCCCAGCCATTCCTGAAGCTCGCAGTGAACAAGTGAGCCCTCGATCGAAACGAACCCAGAGTTACGCCGACGAGAAAACGCCGTCTGTTCCCCCTGTCGAACCTCGCTCACACCCGAGCGAGTCGTTTGAGCTGCCTCACGTACCCGCAGCTGCGCCTCCGGGCTTCGGCGATGATGGTGATCATGCAGATGTTATGGGCCCGGAACCCAGAGGCTGGGATGATACCGAGCCTCTTCCGCTGGAAGGACTGAAGGTTTACATCATTCATATCAAAGAAAACCTCACTGATGGGCCGCCTCCCTGTGATCAGATTCTAAGTGAGCTGAAGGCTCGTGGCACGGCGGCGCATCTGGGATGTGAGTTCTTCATTCCTAATCCCCTAGAAGGGATATGGATATGAAAGACATCGGTCAGGTAATTAGAGAGGCGTTCGGATTTACTTTTCCGTTTCTAAGCGTCGGATTTATTATGTCTGTGTACAATAGCTAAACTTCAATTCTCGATGATCAACTGCATCTTCATTCACGGCGCATGTCTTCACTAGCCCTGTACCGTTGGAGGTCCGTTGGGATGTGTTGGACGATACTTGGTCGGCAGTGCCTTGAGCTGTCCATCAGAAGAGTAATAGTTGTTTAAGTAAAACACAGGATATAACGTCGGGATAATAAGCACGATCAACGAATCCGACGTCACAGAGCGTTAGCTGACTGGGCTAAGATGAAGCTTGCTCCCGATCAAGTAATTCGGGGCTATTGATCGACATTGGGCAGAATGTAAGATGCCAATCCCTTCTATCTTGGAACCAACAGTTGCACGACAAGTCTCCGAGGATAATTGGACAAAAGGTCAGACGGAATGGCCCTACAAGCAGACATTTGATGGTGAATATGCCGAAGACACCAAAGCAGTGATGGAAGTTTCAACACAAAAGGGATGCAAGGCCCCATATGATGAGTATATGAACCTGCTAGCCAACGACTGCGACACGGACAGTAGCAACAAGCACGGTGGTACCGTCTCCACAGACGAGTGTTACATTTTTAGTTTGAGTGTGACGTCCGAGTCAAAACTAAGCTGTCAGGTGGCGAGCAGGCAATGTCGAAGGAAGAATGTGTTCATTATGTTGGCCAGATTGTGATACAAACAGTGGGGATAAGCATGGTGGTATATTCGATGTTGGAAACTGCATGTCCTTCAACATGACGATGTATAATCCGTGTGTCGTGTTCGGGGGCTAGTACATGTCTAGTCTTGCTATGGAATATGTTAATATCTCTCGTAGTCGCGTCATGATGAATGTTTCCATGGCATAAAGCTACTAGGGTAAATCATCGGTCACTTGGTTGAGACTTTGTATGCCTCTATCGACAGAGTGTGGCTTATTTAACAAACTATTATTCACAATGGCGAGCTGCAGCTTTCTTCGCGAATTCATTTATTCCGACTTAGCTTGGCCGATAACATCCTCCCAAACCGATGCATCATTGGAAGGAATCCTCAGGCCCTTCATCGTGGAAGCAACGCCCTCGTCCTCACGCTGGGGCCGGCTACCAGGTAGATCCAAGATAGCTTCACCATCCCGAGCAAACGCAATAAGCTCCTCCTCAGTACCCCACTCACTCATGGCCATCACACCGATAGGCACACCGCCATCGGGGCTGTAACCAGCAGGACAGCTAATTGAAGGGCAACCAGTAAAGTTGGCCAACCAAACATATTCCATATTGCGGACAGAAGACTTGCCATCCGACAAGCCCCGAGACAAGTCTGCCTCGCCGCCATCAATATGCCAACCGGGAATGGGCGTCGTAGGGGAAACGATGAGCAATCCGGGGTGAGTCTTGAAAAGATGAGCCAAATGCGTCATAAGCAAATTGCGCAACCGCTGGGAGGCAAGCAAGTCCTGGGCAGTGATCTGGTACATTCCCATGGAGACGAGCATTTTGTTCGGGGCCGTGAGCTGTCGGATCTGACTCGCATCGACACCTGATGCAATTTCCGCCATGATGGTCAGAGCGTGGGCTCGCTGACCTTCCGGAAGGTATGGAATTGAAATGTCCACAATGGTGTACCCTTCCTGGCGGTAGTATTCGAGCGCTCTATCCAGGGTAGCGCGCACCGGGCCCTCGGCGCGATCGATCCAGTCGCGAACGATACCAATTGTCTTGGTCCTCTTGGCGTCAGAAGAAGCCGGTACCGGATTGGGGAATTGTGATGAAATCGGGTCTTCTGAGGCAGGTGCTGGAGTGGCCATGGTACGGTAGGCGAGGGCGAGGTCATCGATGCTGGCTGCCATGGGCCCGAGGACGCCGACAGTGGGCGCAAGACTCAGAGACGGCGCACCAGACACTCGGCCATGTGAAGGCTTCAGTCCCCAGATGCCACAGAATGATGATGGGATTCTAATTGAGCCTCCACCATCTGCGCCGAGTGCGATCGGCACAAGTCCAGCCCCGACAGCATACCCGGAGCCACCAGATGAACCGCCACAGTAATAGTCCTTGTTGTGGGGGTTTTTTGGCGTCCCATAATTTGGGTTATTGTTGGTAGTATCTGAAAATAGTCAACTACCATTTCATTTTCCGAACATCAGAAATAAAGTACTCACCAAGTCCCAGTTCGTGCATGGTGGTCTTTCCAATCACTATAGCTCCAGCATCCAGCCACTGCTTCACACACCATGACGTCGCATCAGTGCCATGCTTGAAATCCAGCTTGGTTCCTAGTGTGCGCTTATATCCGGTAATGTGCACCTCGTCCTTCACTGCGACCGGTACTCCATCCAGCGGACCTAGCGGCTGGCCCTTCTTGTATCGCTCGGCGGATGCTTCCGCCGCCGCACGGATTGCATCAGATTGCGACTCAAGGAAAGCAGTTGCGTGTTTCCCAACCGGCTGAACATCACGTCGGATCAGAGGGAGTAGCGTCTCAATGACGGCGATCGGGGTCAGCTCCCCGGATGAGTAGAGCGCATGGTAGTCGGCAGAGGTGTAATATCCATGATCTCCTTTTCTTCGCTCCACAGGAGCCGTCGTTCTTGAATCGTCTTGGCTAGCGTTGTCGATGGGAATCACAGTTGGATCGTAGCGACCGGCGTACTGGCTGAGGTGAGGGATCTCGCGAATGATGCCAAATCCGGCATTGCGCCAGATATGGCTCTGGATAAAGCCGATATTATGAATCCTGGGACGAAAAACTCCGAATTAGTGTGTCGCGACAACACAATGGAGCTCTGTGCAATTTACAATGTTGCGCCGATGGCCAAGGGTGTGCCGCGGAAGACCGGAATGCTCTGCGTCTCATTCTTATATGGCACCGAGGGGCCTTCACGTGGCGGAGGATAATTGAGGAATGCCTGTGAGCTCATGGTGAATGGGTGTTGAGGTCAACATGAGAACATGAATGGAAGCTCAAGTGGAGGTGCCGATAGCTTATCACATGCCGCGGCTCAAGTCAGGTCACATGTTCTACCTGTTAAAGTGCAAATACGTACATGTATTCCATATATTTGTTGTAAATCTACAGACTCAGCTTAATGTTGTACTTGTCCATGCCCAAGGCAGCCCCAGTGAGCACTGCTGCATAGACAATCAGAATCCCCATGGCTTGTGGGGTATTGAGATCCAGCGTAGGAATGCTCAGGTTTACTGCTCCAGTAAGCAAGTTCGCAATCAAGAAAAGCGCAAGGCCCCCTCGGTTGAAGGCGTGTAGAATACGACTGGTCGCAAAGGAACTCTGCTCTACTTCACCATCCTTGCTGGTGGCCCGGTGGACCGCCGGGAAGAACACGGTCTCGGTCAAACAGAACAGGAATAGCTGTGCGCTGTTGAATGCTGACACCCAGAGGACATACGGCATGTTAGCCAGTCGACGCGACACAGGAATATTGGCGCCGTAGCCAAAGGCGTAGGTGGAGTTGAAGAAGAACAAGGTCGACCAGAACAGAGCTTGCAGAACCAAGCTTGCCAGGACAGATCTCCGTGCCTGCTGAGGCGACTTGGTTGCCGATGTTCCACGCGGAATGATGCGAATTCCAACACCACGTCCCGCGAGGAAGATTGCAAAGTACCCAATAAAGGAGAAGACACCTTCGCGGTTCTTAGACAACAGATCTGGTCCTCGAGGAGACACGAGAATGTATCCCTTGAGGTCGGTTGACTCCAAAGCAACTTGATAAAGGACCGCAGTGCCAAGTGCAAGTGCCTCGTAGGAGGGAACCAATGTAGTCAAAGAATCGAAAAGCTCCACAAAAGGAGGCAAGAAGCCAAGTGTGAAGAAGAAGTTCCAGTGCACGCCATATTCCGTCACATGTTCCGCATAGTCTAAACCCTTTACACTCCACAGACGGATGAGACCCAGTACAAGTAAGGGAATGGAGTGACGAGCCGAGCCAATCAATCTTTTATGCAAGGCCACTTTGGGAGATTTCGAGTTGCGGCCTTTGAGAACCGCTCGTGCAGAAACAACTCCAGCGGAGAAAACGAAAGATCCAACCCCCAAGTCCATCAGAGAAGTTCCCCAGTTCTCAACCTTGGCAAAACGGCGAGGAAAAGCGCGGAAGTCGACAGCCAAAATAGCAACACAGGTGACAATCATCATGGCTGCGCGATATGTCGTCAAGAATGGGTGGACGGGTAGGGACATGGATTCCTCCTGGGGGAGTTCATGTTTGGCCTTGGATTTGCGGGGTGGTTTCGCCTTTTGGGGGGTGCGTAGGCTTGGCCTGGTAAGGAAAAGAAGTACGGCGGGGGAGACGAGGAAGATGTTGAGGAGGAGCGGCGCCGAGGAGTATGCTGTTGTCGCGAACAAGATGGCCAGAACATTGAGAAGGAAATCTGTCACGAGTGCCGCAGGCCCGTAGGGTGTGAAAAAGGACAATCGGGATTGAAGAGCTGACCAGAGAAGGACAGATGTCTGGGTTGATCGCGCAGATTAGCAAGATAGCAAGGTCAATTGGAATTGGAGTCTCTCACTGAGGCAACGAGAGTGACTGCATTGATTTCAAGGATTGTGCTTCCAGCAAGATTTGACACGAATGCCTCCTTGCGAGCTTTGTAGCTCGGATCCATACTGGGCAGTTCGAATGGCCAACAAATTGGAGAATGACGTGGGAAGAAAAGAAAGTTGGAGAAGCTCCAAGTGTTTACCCGCCACGATCACCTGACCCCTAGCTACGATATCATTTTTTGGAACATCTGTCAATTTCACTGATGACACAGTGTCAATATTGCAATGCATTTCACTTTTAAGTCTGTGGTACTGGATGAATAGACAGCCAACATCATGACACGTACACACATTTGACCCTAAAACCCCCACCCGGCCTGATAGAATCAATGAAATTCGATCCACTGTCAGGGCTTCCAGGAGTAGAGGCACAACCCTCTCCCGTAGGATTCAAGGTATTGATAACTCTAGATGCCTGTTTGAGTTGCAATCAGCTTCCCCACCGTGGAACACAGGCTACCGTTATTGACTCACATGCAGTCTACCAGAGATCAAGTATTGAAACTTCTGTCCAATCCGCAATGTCTCCGGTTATCTTCCACTAAACGCGCGAACTCTGATACATCACAAGTCCTGTGTCCATACGGATTTAGGTTAACTTTAGCCGTACACTAAGTCCGGAATTCGGTCCGTAATGATCGGCCATGACCCCGAACTGCGTATCAATAAAGAGTCTGTGCAGTCCGTAGGGCAAAGCATTTTGGCGGCCGTGCCCCTGCCCCCTTGGCTGATTCCCACTTGGATACAGGCTGATCTTCTATACTACATGTTCATATTTGACACTGAATACAAAAGAGGTACTCTACCCCGTTACAAGGTAGAAGGAAGCAACAGGGTGCAGCTTAGGGTTGGGGGTCACTTGGACGTTGTGTTGGGCTCTTTCCACGTGTACAGAATCACTGGGGCGACTAGAATCCCATTCATACGCTCCTCGTAGAACGGAAACCATGATAAGTTTACTTGCATAAGATGTTTGTGGGTACGAAATTTGAGGTCTCCGAGACCCGTCTTGGTTCTTAAACGAACAAAAGCAAAGTCTACATATTTACTGACCAGTTTTCATCGATCATCAAGCAGAGTACCTTTTTTATGGCCATAAATTTCAGTTCCATTATCTAGTCAAAGGAGATTCATTCGGGTCTGGCCGTATTGAAGGACTCAAGAGTCATATCAGCCGCGGGCACGGGGATCGTGGACGGGGACGGACGCAGATCCATATTGAGTAGATCATCCACATCACGCCGTTCTGCGAGCCGCAAGGCTTATAAATTGAAACGTTTTATTCTTCTGCACTTGAGGTGAGGATGTTCGCTTTCTTGATCTATGGGAAACTAGGAAGAGGTAGGGCTGATGTTAAAACAGTTCCATCACGCACGATATATGAAAATGCAATTGAAAAGACCAAATTTTGAGGATTGCAAATGACACGAACAAATCCAGACCAGCACTAGTCTCCAGACGCAAGTCGAAAAAAAAAGCGGACCTCGACATGGGGCCGACTCACCGTAGTGGCCGGAACGCCAGACGCTATATCTAGAGGCTACGGAGTTCGTTTATTCCTCCGAGCTCATTGGGTCATTCGGTTTCAAATCAACATGATTGCAGATTTGATTCGCCTTGCTTCGTTGCGGATCTTAGAGACATGAGTACCGTATTTAGCGTATTTAAGGCATTTTAGTTCCCCAAATACATACCCCAGTCGCTATAATCCCTTCCCATGCCTTTTTTTCCCTCTCAGCCTCGGATCTACTACCGCTTGCCTGAATCCTTGCTCGGGTTGGAGATAGTCTTGCCCATCTTTGCGCAATCCACCACTTCCCTTCATGTTAAGTCCCTCCAGGTATCTTACGCTGGGTCCATAATCATCAACGGGTGATATTTTGTGAACGAAAATTGGGAAATTGAGAGCACCATTTTCAGCCATCGCCTGGTGTCCACCTTCAAGACCCAAAAGCTGAGAGTATGAGCCCGAAAGAGGAGCCGTCGCTCAAGAGACGCGAGTCTCGTTCGGGGTCAAGGAAGGTCTCTTCATTGTCGGCTGAGCAGCTGGAAAGAAAGCGTGCCAACGATCGAGAGGCGCAACGGTCCATCCGCCAACGAACCAAAAATAATATAGAACAGCTTGAGGCTCAAGTTTCCCGCCTCCAGTCCCAGATAGAAGATATGCGGTTCCGGACTGAGAGATATGACGAAGTCATGCAGCTAAATGCCACCCTGGAAGATGAAGTGAGCCGATTGAAGCGACAAATTGCTTCTTTCACTGGACGACCTGAATTTGCAGGCAGCAGTGAACAAGTGGCTCGGCTTCGAAGCGGATGGCCTCTAGAGGAAGTCCCGAATAATGCCTCGCCCATCATTCCTACGACGGGGTTGCTCTTGTCGCCGCATTTCTCAGAGGCATCTCACCCTCGAACATCATCTGCTCTCTCATCGTCGAGCCGGGCATCTCATCCGCATGACTGGCAACGACCATATCCATCAACCAGGTCACCCTCCCTTGAGGAATCTTCCGAGGACTTTCCCAATCGCCTCGATCCATACGTTATAGAGGGTCAAGTTCATCAGGGGGCAAGAATCTTGCCTCCTTCGATTCCGAATTCAGCACCTCAGATGGGCTTTAGCGCAGCCTCCGCGCCACCTCAAGTTGAATCTTCATTTGCCCTGTTTCCTTACAGCAACCGGTCACTTTCCATGTCTAATGCCACACCTGTTAGTCAGCCAGCTCCTTCTCAAGACTACCAGATCGAGGCGCCGCCATACTCGCAATCTATACAGTCCCAACGAGACTTGACATTTCCCTATCCATGGGGCCCCCAGTCATGAACTCAATGGAAGAGGCCAAGGCACCCAAACGAGAACAAATCTTCTTCGGAGAAGGCACTTAGGCGTTGTCCATACAACAAGCGTAAACCTTAATTGGAGGTACAATTGAAGGTACAATAGCCTTGTGAGGCCTTTGTGAGTTGGACAAAGAAGCCCTTGCTTTGATCGAGGAAACTGACTCGGGATCGGAACCGAGAATAGGCTTAAGCTGCAACTAGGACTCGGAAACCCACAACCGAGGTTACATTTAAAGCACATTTAATCGGAAATAATAACCGGGGCTAATACTCTATCTATGCGGAGACTTTCCGGTCTCCACCATACCTAGGGCTGACAGGTCTATGCTGTCAGCACTCTTTTTCACTTTTATGGACCTAGGTCGAAGGCCATGTGCCTCCAAAGGTAGGAATAGTATCAATTTGGTCCACGACCGTGATGTCGGATTGGTTGAGCACTGCTGAGATATTATCTGAAACCTTGTTGTGAACTCAAGACTCATATACATGCATGTTTAAGACAGCTAAAAATCAATCGATCTATTCATGATCCGTGGTGGTTCTGATATTCGGTATATCCCACGGGGGAGATAGGTGTACATCCAAAAAAAAAATGAAAAACACGCCCAATGCGCTCATTCAAAAAGATAGAACAATTTATAAACATAAAATCAAAACCTGTGAGATGGTAACTATTGCGTGTATTGCTTCTGGAGCAACTTAGCAATGGTCTGCAGCTGAATGTTGCTGGTACCCTCGTAGATGGCGCCGATCTTGCTGTCACGGAACATCTTCTCGGCAATACCCTCGCGCACAAAGCCCATGCCACCCATCCACTCAACGGCAGAACCAGACACGCGACCAGCGACCTGGGAAGCATAAAGCTTGGCCATAGCGGCATCTTGGACGAAGTCCTGGCCAGCCTCCTTCTTACGAGCGGCGTTGTAGACGAGAGCCCGAGCAGCGGAAATCTCAGTGTAGGCCTGTGCAATCTGGTGCTGCATGCCCTGGAAGTTACCGATCAGCTCACCAAACTGGCGACGATCGTTCCAGACGTATCTTTTATCGTCAGCTAATGGGTTCACAGCTTGTGAGGCGTAGGAAAGCTTACCGTGCAGCATTCTCCCAGGCACCAAGGGCCAGACCAGTCATCTGGGCAGCAATACCAATACGTCCCTCGTTCAGCACGCTGATAGCGTACTTGTAACCCTGGCCCTCCTCGCCGAGCAGGTTGCTCTTGGGAATGACACAATCGTCAAAGTTGAGCACACAGGTGCTGCTAGCGCGGATGCCGAGCTTCTTCTCCTTCTTGGCAATCGAGAAGCCGGGGGTGTCCTTCTCAACAATGAAAGCAGTAATGCCCTTGTAGCCCTTGCTGGGGTCAAGGTTGGCGAAAACAATAAAGATGCCAGACTCCATAGCGTTGGTGATCCACATCTTCGATCCATTGATCTTGTATCCGTCAGCGGTCTTCTCCGCCTTGGTCTGCAGCGCAAAAGCGTCAGAGCCGGAAGCCGGCTCAGAGAGACAGAACGAGCCCACAGTGCCGGTAGCCAGCTTAGGCAACCAGGTGCGCTGGGACTGTGCGTCACCGTACTTCATGATCGCAGTATTCACCAGAGTGTTGTGGACATCGACCAGCACACTGACGCTAGGGTCGACGCGAGCCAACTCCTCGATCGCGACGATCGCCGCGGTAAAATTCATGCCTGCACCGCCGAACTCCTCGGGCACCTCGATGCTCATCAAGCCCTGCTCAAAGAGCTGCTCCACAATTTTGGGGTCCATAGTCTCGGCTTCATCCATATCCCGAACCTTAGGGCCGATCTGCTCCTGCGCGAACTTTGAGACCGTGTCGGCCATGAGAGATTCCGTCTCGGACAAATGGGTGATGGGCGTCGGGGCCAGGGTAGAAAGGTCGGCTTCCCGCCGGCGAGAGGTAGTAGAGAATGCATATGCACTGCAAAAACGAAAGAATGCGTTAGTGAAGGTGTTTCTTGTAGCGATAGTGCTCGTAGCTGGTACCTCTGTACGGGCCGGCCGGTAGCCAGGCGTCTGCCGGCCAACCGGGCCGAGGGGAGGGAGCGCGACAAAGGTCGCATCGCACGAATAATAGAGGCCATTGCGAAGTGAGGGGAGAGGTAAATATGGAGAGGAAATGAAAGAGAGAAGCTGGGGAGAAAGTCATAATCACGAGCGCGGTGAGCCTCGGCTATCGGCGGCGTTGGAGTTTCGCGGGGAGCGCAACTTGTGGGGCTCTTTCGGCCCTAGGTTGTCCTGTAGGCATTGTATTATTTGATGTGTTGATGTTCAATGTGTTCAATTAGTATTCTAGTAATAGCGCTAGAGTCTATATATGAGTAAATGTCAATTGCCTCTCGCTGTCGCTGTCGATATAGAGCTCAATTTAGGCATAACTAAATGCAATCTTGGATGCCGTCTGGCATGTGATCTGTGCCGGACGATTCGTAGATCGGACTACAGATCTATTCAAGACTTCGCAAATCCCCCAAATTGTGTTTACACCTCTTAGAATTTGACGTAGCAACCTGGAGGAGTTGTATAGGTGACGCTGGGAGTACATGTACCTCGGTGGGTGACGCTTTAGCTCTCGCTAGTTATATTATAGTAATTTTGATCTTATACAACCCTCCGGGCATCCTGGGTATGTTCACGAATTAACTCCTCCCCAGATACGGTGCTATCGGTAGACGATGGACCCCCATGAGTGTCTACATCCTCAAAGTGAGTCATGATATCCGTGGTAATAACCACATCTTTAGAGCCAACAATTTGCTCTTTGCTTTCATTCGGGCCCGCCGGCCGTGTGAGCTCCATCCACCCCAGGTCTTCTTCCTCCTCTTGTAATCTATTGCGCCCTCCGTATGCGTTCGATCTGAAGTTGGAATGGTTCGTGGGGTTCGACTTGTTGGTACCATATGCTGCATGCCCACTTGATCCGCGGATATTGTATGGAGTCGACGTCTTCTTAGAAGTGAGACCAAGGCGTTGAAGGACCCTCTCCATGAGTGGTCGGATTGGTGGCACGCAGCCGACGACGATGACGATCCACGCTTCCGTGGAGGCCCAAATGAGAAGGGAGGATTGAGCCCCTGTTGAGATGAGAATTGGTAAGTACATATCTGCCACGTGGAATGCTCGAGGAAAATCATACAGGTGATATCTGTCGTCTCGGTCAACGCTTTCAGTTCGTATGTTTTGACCGCTGAGCAAATTGCAGCCCTGATTACCGATACTTGTCAGTTTAGCATAACGGTTATGGGATATCAGATGAACTCACAGCCATCCTAATCCCATCAGTATCGAGAGCGCAACCTTGATTCGCAACTTCATCTGAAGCTTCCAAAAGAGATGGATAGGGTACGATGCTAAAAAGGCGTCGGAGAATGAGTTGAAGCCTGAACGGTCAGCCAGAGAGAGACAAGTCCGGTATTAATGAAACTCACTGGCTTGGAAAAACGAATAGTTCTGATTCAATTTGCGCCCCGGGTCGCATGTTCCCTCAATGTCGTCATCCCATAGCTTGGGCATTGGCCGACACTGCCCCAAGATCGTTCCAAGTACTGCAATGTTGATCGCGGCGATGAGAACCCCGAGCACAATTAGCAACCACGGCTTCTTCTCGTGACGGCCCCGAATTTGCACTAGAAAAGCAAGAATTGCAAGTTTTCCCATCATGCTCGCTGCGATTGCGAGCAATTGAAACACCCATGACCATTTCAGCGCGGTGACTCTCTGCGGCTTGGAGATATCATTCATGTGGTGGCCCATGCCAGCATTGACCGACAGCTGGAGGAAGACCTGAGCGGTGGTCTCGGTCGCCTATAAAAGAATAGCCATCAGTCACAAAATCCAACTACTCTGCGCCTAGAGCCAGGGCATCGGCGGTAAGACACAACACTTACCACAGTCAGGCCAGCGATAGCAAAATCCCATCGGAAGCGCCTCACAAATTTCCAATTACTCAGAAATCGCAGTCCAAAAAAGATCAAGCCAATACATGTCTCCACCCAGGACACTGCAAGGATGACCGCGGAGTTGTCTCCAGCCATCTCTGGCATTCACTGAGGAACTGCCTTGGCGCGGTCTTGCAGATGATGCTGTACAGCGACAAGAGGAATGAAATGACTGAGTCGAAAAAATCTGGTTTATCATCACTGATATTACCTGCATATTGTATGTACATACCAGCCTTCACCGCTAGCTCCAGTAATAATGCGTGGCTTTAGGGGCCATGCCGTAAACAGGGGGTGAGCATCCCACCTCCGGAGAACATAGTTCATAGGAACCAGGAATGTATCACACACGGAGGCAATGTGCCAATGAGGGTGTCCAGCGAGAATTTGTCTGGCCATACTCAGAGTCAATTCCAGGTTCGCATGTTTGCCGAAGGAAGCGGCACAAGAAAATCTCGTACTTGATCCTAGATCCCTGTCGAAGCACAGGCGTCGACATACATATATAAGGCTATTGATTGGCTCTCAGGAAGCAGAAACTAGGCCCGCAGATCCTAGGGCTTGCGCCGTGTTAATTTAACCAGGATATTGTTGAACAAAAGTACCTTTACCTCGAAAGAATAGTAGTGGCCTTTTTTTCCCCTCCAAAGCGAGATGAAGGATTTCAAACAGCCAGTTCCGAGTCCATATTGAGAAAGAGACTACAAACGCAGGGCCAAGCAACTGGGGCATATAAAATTAATTAAACCAAAGAGACCCACCTAGAACAGCTAGAACACGACGATCGGTTGACAAATCGCAAACTTATCGAGATGGCAAACCATGATCGTCCATCAGCCAGCGCATAGACGTCAACGCCTGAAATGCCCTACTGTAAACTCTCATGTAGTTTTGTGGCCAATGTTACGAGCAGAAGTAAAGAATATGATCAAGTAAATGAATGGCTTTGAAAAACAAAGAAGCAAAAAGGATGACTAGGCGACAACCCCTGCGCAACTATGCCGTTGTAGCCACGGCCGAAGGTGCACGGCGCACTTGGCCCCCACTAAGGAAGGGCCCGAGACAGCCCCCGGGCCTTGGCGAAAAGACCCGGGATCGGCGCGGCCCCAGCGGGGAATTGGAAGCCACAATCAAAGCTAATGCCGACTAAAGCACGAGATATTAAGTGCACCGGGCTCCCTATACATTATGGAGCAATATCTCCGATCTCCGATCCTGGGCAATTGCGTGGCATATACGTACATTCCTTTAGAACTTATCGAAACTACGAATATCACCGGAACAAATACAGTAACCTTCGAATAATTTTCAAACTCAGGTACACGGTAAATCCCCACCGGAACTGGGCCTACATCAGCCCAGCAGCCTGGAGGAAATTCTTCCGGTGGAGCCAGATGCGGATTTCCTTGCCCTTTAGGTAGAAGGGAATATAGGCCAGGTAGATGGCGACATTGATGGCTGCCACCGTCATGAACACACTCAGAATTCCACTGGCTGTAATGAAATCATTGATCACCCAAGTCCAAATCCAAGCGATACAGCTCTTCAAAGCAGCAATGGTGACCATGACCTCAACAGAAAGCTAAAAATACCCGTTAGTTGCCCGGTCAAAAGAATTATGGAAGGAAAGCCTCAAAGCTAATACAAACTCACCTCTTTGTGGCAGTCCAGGGCATAATTCATGCCCAGTGTGGTGCCCATTTGACTCCCTACCGATAGAATTCCGGCCCCCACAACAGGCATCGCCCAATGCATTTGATGCTCATACGAAAGCCCGAACCAGAGTGCTCCAAAGAATGTGAAGAATGCCGCCAATAAGCATGTCGGTAGTCTCATCTCTGGCTCGCGAACTCCATGATTCTTCTTAGTGAAGAAAGTGGCGATCCAATCACCCCCTGGCCCTGAGAAAAAGACACCGAAAAGGGATCCAATAAATGGCGACAGGAAGAAGAGACCCTGTGCGTTGGAATTGAATCCATAAGGTGGAGGAGAGAAAAGCTGGGCCACGGAGGCACCCAGGATAACATTCCAACTCAGAGCCATTCCGTAAATGAAGCACGACCAAACCACGGTGGGATAGGCCAGGAGCACAAATGGGCGGAGGAAGACGTGGATGAGACTCACGTTTGGGTCTCCATTGTTCCAGAACTTGAGGTCCTCCACGAAGGTTTTCTTTGGGATAGCGCTTGATTCTTCGATCAGAACCTGTTCTTTCTGATCGGTGTCTTCAGCTGCTTGGTTTGCGATGAAAGGATCGGGTCGGGGCCCAGTGAACTTGGTCTCGGGCATGAAGAAGAACATGCAGACCAAATTGGCAGCAATAAAGATAGCCACGATCCAAAAGGCCCAGTTCATTCCCAATGCCTGCACAATGAAACCGGAAAACATGGGGCCCAATTCGTTACCACCGAGTACAGCCAAACCATAGATAGCGACGAGCTCACCGCGGTTATGTAGGAAAAACATGTCTGTGACGGTTGAGGGGACAATTGACTCAATAGGTGCCTGAAAAGCACCTAAGAAAGCGCGCCCGACCAGGAACACAGTGTATGTTTTGTTGGATGCAATGGCGAGCCAAATACAGGCGATACCCATGAGGAGGTTTGAGAAGATGTAGATTGGACGACGGCCATACTTGACCGCAAATGGCATCCAAACCACGTTCCATACACCTTGGTTGATCAGGCAGGCCCCGTTTGCGTATGTCAATGTTTGAAGGGACTTTCCGAAGGTCACGGACAGCTGGTTCATACCTTTACAGCAATTAGTATCTCCTCTTCGCAGGCCAGTGAATAGGCCAGTACTTACCAGCTGCCATAATAGGACCTGTTATGGCACCCATAAAGGCAAACCAACAGCCATTGAAGAAGGTCAAGCTTTTCTTCGTGGTCGACCAGCTCAGAGGATCGTTCGGGTCGTTCATCGAAGGCTGCGGGACTAACAACATACGCCCGTCACCAGATGTTCGATGCCTCAACTGATGAAGCTGAGCAGAGACACTGCCATCATTGTTGTCAAACAAAATCTCTGTGCCAGGCACATGAACCCGGCCTTCGACTTTATTGTCGAAGTCGCGCTGCGAATTCTGCGACATAGCGAATATGCCCACGGCGGACCCTCAAATATAGAATAAAGGAAATAAATATAAGTCCCAGGAGCGAAAAGAACGACTAGAGTACCGCGTAACTTCGCCTGGGTGGTGGCCTCCTTTTTAATAAAGAGGTATAAGTCTAGCCATTCCTCTTTCAGTGGCCAGACAGTTTCAAAGTCGGGAAATCCGGCATGGCGCCCTTTAATCTTTTTTGGCTCATCGTACAGCACAATCCTGGATGCTTTTTGGCCAATAATAAGTCCTGACAAGTCACCAATCCAGGGATATACAAGTGGCTGTCGTAATAACATGAGAAGTGCGTGTGGGAAGCTTATCCCCCTTCAAAACACAAGAGTTTCTCCATAGTGTCTCGGCTCCGGTCTATTTTCTTCTCATTGGCCTATTTGGTCGATTTAGTCGGTTATTGGGCCCGCATATACCCATAACTCCGTAGAGATCACGCCATGGCTCGGGTCTGTTTTCTTAGCCTCATTAGCCTGTTTAGTCTGTTTAGTCTGTTTACTCAATTTAGGTTATTGGGGCCCATATCCGTAACTCCGTAGACAACGCCAGCTGGGTCCGGTCAGACTGGGATCATATAACTATTTAGGAGACATCTCCCCAAGCCTTCACCATCACCCCGCGTGATAAAGACAGAGCAACTTGAGCACCTCGCATTTTGGCCAATCTCGGGATTGTCTCTCCACTCGGGATCTCCGAGCAAGAGAACTTAGAACGACCATCGAACCTTCCTTCATTTGAAAACATTCGATCTCAGCTCAATTGACAAAATGGCACCATCTCTAGACTTCGCATCTGGCCTGTCCGAGGGCTCTCACAGTCTGCCGACTGATGTCCCCGTATTAATTGTTGGCGGAGGGCCGACTGGCCTGTTGCAATCGCTCCTCTTGTCTCGACTCGGAGGTATGGCCCGTCAGGAACATTGAAATAAACTATTCGTTGACACATTCTTGACAGTGCAATCATTGGTCATTGAACGTTATCCTGAGAGGCTGGCTGCTCCGAAAGCTCACGCCATCAATCCGCGTTCCCTGGAGATCTTGCGTCAATACGGCCTGGGCGAGAAGCGAGTCCGCCAGATAGGCACATCGCGAGATGACAGCTATTGGGTCAATTTCCTCACGAACCTCAGCGGTGACACGGTTGGGAGATTGCCTTATGAGCGTATGGATCCCGCGGTCTTGGATGACACCCCAGAGGTATGTTTCATTTTAGTCAGATTTAAGAGTTTGTTGACCAATGTTGATAGATGATTCACAACATACCTCAGCCAGCCCTGGAGCAGGAGTTGACAAACTTCATTGAGCAAGATCCCAATATCACTCTGCTGAAGGGATTCAGTATTCACGGAGTAGAACAGGTAAAATCACTGATGGACTGCGAATGATACAAGCACAGTTATTAACCAAACGCCGGCAGACCGAAAATGAAGTCGTGGCAACCATCGAGGAACGAGCAACAGGACACCTGCACAAAACAAGATCACGACACCTCATCGCTTGCGACGGTCGCAGAAGCAAGGTCCGGGAGCTGCTCAACATTTCATCTGAAAGCGAAGACTCAGATCAGACTATGATGACCATCCATTTTAAGGCAAACCTTCGTCCGGTGGTCGGCGATCGTGTTGGTATGCTTTTCTGGATCATGGACCCAATAGCAGCCGGGTTCATTATCGGCTATAACTTGGACGGAAACCAGGTTCACATCAGTCAGGTAGATGTAAAGAAACATCCGGTTGAGACTTGGACTGAGGACATGTGCAATGCCAAGATCCGCGGAGCTATTGGGAGGGACGATGTTCCGTTTGACATCTTGAGCTTCCGGCCTTGGGTCTTCAAGCGGCAGGTTGCTGACACATTCCAAAAGGGGAATATTTTTCTGTGAGTCGTCCGTCAGTCGTTCCGACGTTGCATGCTAATACCTAATTCTCTCAGTGCCGGTGATGCTGCCCATTCATTCCCGCCAACTGGTGGCTTAGGATTGAACTGTGGGATTGCAGATGTGCACAACCTGGCTTACAAAATTGCTCTCGTTCATCAAGAAGTAGCAAGTCCAACTATACTTTTGAAGTATACAGCCGAGCGACGAAGTGTTGCAGATGCCTACTCCAAGCAGAGCGTCAAAAACGGCAAAGAAATATTTTCTTTGCTACAAAGCCTCAAAACCGCTGGCGTCGAGGACGTTACTCAAGCTCGCAAGAATATGATGGAAGCATTGGCAGATCCAGTGCAGCGTGCCAAGGTCAACAAAGGAATTGAAGCACAGCAAGAACATTTTGACAATGTAAGTGACGTATTATCAATAACGATGTGTTCTCAATATCCTAACCATCTCTTCGATAGCTGGAACTACATATTGGCTATGTCTATGGAGCCAGTAAGCCTCCCGCTCACGCTTCATTCTACTCCCCGAAGTTCGTGCCCGGGGCAAGATTGCCTCATGCTTGGATCAAATTCCCAGGTGCATCCTCTGAATCACAAGCAACCGTCGGGAGGCTTCCGCAAGATCCAATTGACGTTTCCTATGTAAAGGAACTCGACGAGGACCAAGTTCAGAGTCGCCAGTGGAGCACCTTGGATTTATGTGCACCTGACTCCTGGACTCTAATTCTTGGACAAGATAAGCCAAGCTTGCAAACTTCCCAGTTCCAAGAGCACTGCGATGCCATCAAGATAAAACTCAGTATTTGGCGCGCCGGTCTGGACTTTGATATAATAAAACAGAGCTGGTTTGCTGATGAGTTGAGCAACCAGGGTGGAATTTTAGTTCGCCCGGATCAGCACATCTTCATGGGGGTTAGTGACTGCACCACCGGGGAAGATCTAATTACAGGGCTGAACAGGCATCTTGGGCTGTAAGCCAATCGGAGGAGGTCTAGTTGGAATATAGAGAGCAAGCAGACTAGGATATTGAATTTATTAAGCGTGGTATACTAGCCCTCCGAAGAGTAATTTTCGGGATCTTTGACCATTAGCAAGTTACTGTTTATATTGCCTGTGCAACTCATGACTCGCTTATTGCTCGCATAGGTATCTAGGCAGTTGTAGCGTTGGAACACGCGGCAGGTTACTGGAATTGTCTAGACTTAAATTGACTACGCTTCATCTGTTGGACTATTAACCCCTACAGGAGTATTCCATATCTTTTATTTCATTGATATCATCCCTGTCAGACTTCTGTTACAGTTTGAGTGCACAGGCTAGCCCCTCTAGTGCGTTTGTTTTAAGGACTTTTTTGATCCGTTGTTAGAAGCCGCAATAAAAGCGATGTGGGTCGGCATCTATTTTCCAGTACATGTTCTATGCTGAGGTAGCATTGAAAACCCCCCACATGAGCGAGTCAAAGTCCGGTGCACCGGTAAAGTCCAGAAAGCCCCCGGGAACAGAGTCATGCAGCCAGCTCGTGGAATCAACATTGATGTCGTAATCGTCCATGAATGCATTCTCACTAGCCATATCAGGGCAAGGCGCTGGCGGCAGGAGACCTGCTTCATTTGTATTTTGTAATCGTTGCCCTCTCCCGGAAAGACGATGGCTCCTGTTTTGTGTGAGCGAGTTAGAGGGGGCTTCCAGGCTTCGCATTTTGATCAGTCTCTGGAATGTTGCTCCAGATAGCTCGTGGATACAATCCCTTGCTCGTTTAGCTTCAGTCCAGTATTCTCCGATGCTGCTGAGGATATTCAAGCTGATACTCGTATCGGCTACCACCTCATCAATCTGCACTTCAGAGGCAACAGTAGGGAGTCTCCACAAGCAGTGCAGCATAATGAGTGTGCTCAAGAAGATGGAGTGAACAATTAGCCTGCTATACAACAGTGCCTCCTGCCGGTATAGCTCGCCAAATCCACGAAGTAGCTCCACGGCATGCTGGAAACATTGCGTGAGCATATCGTCTGCTGGTTCTGGGATACCGGGACTAGGTCTCAGGATCAAGATCATCATTTCATGATACTTGGTTTCGCAAATCTTTGCGATTGCCCCCAGTCCAGATGCACTGGGAATTTCTGTACGCCATGACTGGAGACGGACAATCATCTCCTTTTGCCATAGGTGGATATCGGTGACCGGTGGGTAGGCATATCGAGGAGCATCTCTGCAGATGCTATGCATAACATATTTGATCTCGGAATTTATGCGTGCGAGTTTGAATAGATGAGTGGAAAACGTCATATGAGATGGCGATTCCTGTTGTAACCTTTCTTGAGTGATTTGCTCGCCGAGTTGCGAATCCGAGATATCTAAAGGAAGCTTGTGATATTATTAGCAGAATTCAGAAGGCGAGAAACAAGCGATGATTACGAACCCGAAGTTCGCAAGCTTCGTCTCGCACTCCGATCGGTCGACCCATCATTGTTCCCAGCGTGCGATCAAAGCTATACACCACCCAGAAGATTCGAGTCCTCATCTCCTGTTCCAGAAATGAGATAGGAAATGTGGACGATGCGCGGACGTCACGTTGAAGGCCCAAATCAATAAGTGCACCCAAGCATTGATAGTTCAAGCTCCAAACATTGATATCACAGGATGGATTGTGTAGTCCATATACCATCAGCAACAGCAGGCTCTGCAGTCCTTCTAGGGTGCCTTCAGCACATGCACGTTCGAAATGTTGTGTGGCTGCGGTGTAGTATCCTTCAGCAGGTAGGGGCAGTCTGAACCGCCTGGAAAGATCCGAGGCGGATATGGCGAGAACCATGAATACTTGAAATACATCCACTGGATCGGATTCTGTTGTTCCATTGTTGTACAGCTTCTCGAGTCGTGCCATGTGTGAGGGTTCATGAAGGAATGGGTATATCAGGTGCACGGAAGCAAAGTATTTCGAAGAAAGTTCAATGGCATCTTCCTTGCGGTGTGGTAAGGGAGCTGGACTGTTGAAAAGCTCGCTCGACAACGACATTGGCTGGGTCAAACTGCCATTGTTTCCTGATGGTGCGGTTCGCCGACCAGCACTCGAGAATACGAGATTCGCCAGAAAGTAGCCGCTAGAAGGACCGATGTATCTCGGTTCGCCTCCCGAAGAAAGGGATACAAGACCAATTTCGTGGGCCGGTCTTGATTGTGTGCCAGATGGCTGGAGATCGTTTGGTCTCGGAGGTTGCCCCTGGTGTGAAAGAGTTGTTGATCGTTGGCTGTGGACAGTCTCGTGAACAGCATGCTCAGGTTGTGTCGGTCCGTCTGTAGAGTCAAGTAGTGAGATATCTGTACTATCTACCTGTGGACCGTCTTCAAGGCGGATGCTAGAATCCTTTTCCTTGACCAACGATTCCAGCCACTGTATTCTTTTTTGTAGATTCGCGATGTAGCTAGCCAGGTGTTAGTGTCATTTATATCGACACTTGGGATACATTTCTCACGTGCGGTTGACCTCCTGCTTCCCATCATTGATACAGTCGACGCCGATCTTCCGACATGACGAACATTGTGGAAGTTCCCCGTCGCATCGGATTTTCCGTCTTTGGCAGCGGCGGCACGCGGCGCGGTTCCGGGACCTGCGTGGAGAGTCCATCCGGGTAAGATTTATTTTTGGCCAGTGATGAGTGGGTTGTGGATAGAGAATTCGAAGTGATACGGAGTGGTTCAAGTTCAAGACACGATTCTGTAGAGACGTAGAGTGTGTGAGAGGCAAAGTCGAGAGGCTCGGGTCGCTTCCGCCAAGGACGGAAGGAATCCGCCGCGTCATTTAAAGCGAACATTCCATTTCGACGAACTTCACTTTATTTGTAATTTTGAAGAATATAATGACTCTCGTTCACATTGGTATGTCTCATTCATCCGAGTCTATGTCTAATTAACACTTCTATAGTCCTGTTCAAGTTCCGCGCGGATGTCGGAGAGAAAGTCCGACAGGAATTCCTCTCACAAATCAAAACCCTCAAGACTTTGCCTTGTGTCAAGAGCCAAAGACTCATTGTCGGGGGACCCTCTATTACTACCCCGATCGAAAAGAGCAAGGGCTTTCAGTATGCTCTGGTGAGCTATCACGAGGACCGGGCAGCTTTGGCCGAGTACCAGGCGAGCAGTGAGCATGAGAGGTGAGAATCTATGGGTTTTGTATCTTGATCCGTTCTCACAGTATCATACAATATAGAGTGACAAGTACCTACTTCATCCCTTACAAGGAGGATCTGGTTCGGTTTGACTTCGAGACTGATCAAGAGGACGAGGCGCTGCTTGGATTTTGATCTACTTATTCGATGCTTGTACGTATTGGTTAACTGTGAAGTAATGAAGTTCACCATTCTCATTTATTTAAAATTCCAATATTGTAAAAATTTCCTTTTTTGTAGTAATGCATCGTTCCAACGACCTAGGAAACGGTATGTATAGTGACGTAGCATTAGTTTCAACACCCCTTTAAGTGCTTAGATTCTACCGGTTAAAAATTCGTTTTTAAACACCTCTAGACTGGTTTCCTAATAAAACACTTAACTATTGTGGATTAGGTTAAATCTTATCTTCTATAAAAAGCACTCACTAAAGCAAAAACGTTTAGGAAATGAGATGATATAGAATTGCTCTTCGGTTTACGGTAGGTGTTCTAAAAAGCGGTCTAAAAAACGGTCTCTCCAATGGTGTTAAAACATTTGCTGTGTCACTGTACATGGATGAATGCTCAAAGATCCGACACGGCTTCGAACATCACATTCACAGACCCAGTAACCTCAATTTCTTGAGGGGTCAGATCCAGCGAATCAACTTGATCGTCGTCAGGCCCACTGGCGTAGACCATCGCTCGCTTTTTCTTTGGAGTCGAGGCCATCGCGACATTTCTGTATCCACCCTGTGCATAGTCTGTGATTTCCACCGCAACAACTTTCCGCTGTACCACCTCAGCATAGTCATCAGCTTTCCGGATTGCGTCGCGCAATGCCATCTTCCGAGCTTTGGAAGCCAACTCGCTTCCGGTCTCATCAGTGAGGCGCCAATCAATTGAGTCGACCTCGACCTTGGGATAAGTGAAAAGCTTGCCGATCACTTCACTCATTTTGGGAAAGTCTCGAAACACGGCCTTGAACGAAATACTGGCGTAGTGTGGGTTGGGCACTGGCTTTCCATCTCTATCACTGGGTTGGGACCAGGTCTTGATATTTGTGGATGAAAAAGTTGTCACCGGGTGCTCGGCAGCAGCATGTTCCTCCTTTGTTTGAGGGCAGAGTAGTTTGAAGAATTGCTGTACATCGTTGGAAGTCGAAGTGACTTCCTTGGAGATTTCTTCTTGGCGCGAACCGTTCGCCCTCACTGAAAATGCGAGCGCGCCTCGTTCGGGATAGTGAGTGACGGCCGATTCGCCTGTGACGGTGATTTTGAGGGAGGGCATAGTGAGTAATGGAGGATAAAACTAGGCAGGGAACGCACTTAAATAGTAACAGCAGCGTAGGCAGCAGCCGAGTCAGTATCACAGCCCCACTACGGCAGCGTAAATGTATCATATGCGACAAACTTGTATGATTTCCATGATTGAACGTACTGAAGGTCCGCATAGTCAAGCTGGGATAGGACATTGGTTTCTCGCCGAGAACGTTCTCTTCTTGGATATATCGATAATCACCCTTTTATCTGTCTCATTCCCGTGGCTTTTGGTATACATCTAACATCCCCAATTATATAGATATTGAATAGCAAGTTGGAGTTCTCCTACCCAAAGATCTAGGTTTCTAGATATAAGTTATAAAATAAATCGATTGAAGTATTTGGGATAAATCCTCACTGGTCCTGCACAAAAAGAGCATTGTCATCGCCGTGATGAAGTCCAGCTTGTATATCAACCTCATGAGGTTCCATCCTTTTCAACAGTGGTCTCTAAAGAAATCTTCATACTGTATTGTCAAATTTAGTAAAATATATGCTTGTTAAGGGATGCAGAGGACAATTGTTGTAGAGGTATTGTGTGATTGATTGGATAGTCACTGCATATAGTGTGGATTTAGGATGAGCCCAGAGCAGACATCCCCTGCTACAAACGGACGAATCATAAATCATAAAACAAGTAGATTCGATAGGATATGGCCATATATACTCGTTGCATACTCATCATTGGACATCCCTAAATTCGAGATCTCTTCGCCTCCTGAATAGCGCCCATAGCACCCATGATAAGCGCACCAGTATTGTATCGGTCCGGATACAACTTCGTCATGGCTTCCACAATATCTCTAGTAGATTTTGGGTTCCTTTCCATTACCTTTGCAAAATCTCTTATGTATTGCTTCGTATTCGTCAGATGCCAGCGGCCCATGATCTCCCCTTCCTGGCAATGGCCCGGGACAACATACAAAGGATCCAGAGCCTCAATAATATTGACCGCCCGGATCCAGTCTTCACGTTTGGCGGCCGTATTGGCTTCAAACAGCATCTGGTGTACCTGTCCGTACACGATGTCTCCACAAACTGCCAGCCGGAGGTCGGGAACCCACAACGCTGTAGAATCATAGGTATCGGAGTGGCCCACCTCGATCGCCTGGAACAACCACTTATTTTGGAGTGTGAATTCATTGCTGGATGGTAGGGCCTGAGCCAAAACAAACGGTAGCTGGATCTCCCCGGGGAACCGAGACCCCCATTGCGCCTCAAAATTCTTCTCTTCGATCTGCTGCTCCATATGCCGCAGAGTGGCCGTTGTAGCAACGGGTTTGGCCTCAGGGAATCGCTGCACCAACAGTGGCAGCCCGAAAAAGTGGTCGCCGTGTCCGTGTGTGATGTAAATGTAGGATAGCTTTCGCTTTGGAGCGATGCGTTCGATCCATGCGATGAGTCCTTGGGTTTGCTGGATGGTGATAGGTGTGTCGACTAAAACTGCTTCCGTAGCGGAGTAGATGAGGGTACAGGAGATGGGTGACCAAAGACCTCCGCGGCTTCCTTTGTCTGGGCTTTTAAAAGAGACTGGAGGTGCGATGTAAACAGCAGAGCGGAGTTCGGACATGGTTAAATAGTGCTAAGGTAGGCAGCTTCAAGTAATATGTGCAACGGACAGTGGCGTTGAATGTTTCTTCCAATATACCAGGATCAACTTTTTTATTTATTTAGATGCGTTGATTGTGAGGGGAAGGTCACTCACTCTCAATCATCTACAGTATTTCCGGTAGAAAAACACCCGAGGTTAAGTTGATCAATAATCATAAAAATGTAGGAAGCGACACATTCAACCACCGAGCTACAAAAACTACCAAACAACCATTCCATGTCGCCCTTGAGATTAAATCTCAACTAGGAAGTAAGACTGAAAGTCTCAAGACTATTCCGTCTTTGCAGGGTCTCGCGTCGCTCATTTTCGAACACAAGCAGCTAGGATCGCAAGCACTATTCCTTGCTCTGTCTTCTTATAGGTGATACTGCTTCCTCCTGGTCATATTTACCCGGTCGGGGTGATATGAAAGATCGCTGAATCAACTATCAAATGTTTGCCCAGAAGGTAAATTTGGACATAGGTTTATCAACAGCCTGACATTTGTGACGGACATATATGCTATGTCCCAGCTTGATCGATCCTGAGGTTGTCAACATGTATGATGAAGGCTTTGCCTATTCAGTCATAGCGGCGATGTCTCTTAACCGGAACTATGGCATTTCGGGTATTGTTTAGCCGAATGGTAGTTTAAGTATTTCTCTTTTTTCTGCGTTCGTTTCGCTGACTCGAACCTCCGTCTTGGATTGAGCCTATACCATGTCAGGCTCGATAATCATCACAGGGGCGACTGGCTCACTCGCTATCGAGGCTGTGCAACAGTTCCTAGCGCATCCCTCCATAACCGTCGTCGGCACTGTACGAAATGCGACCAAATCCCCCAAAAGCGCACATCTACTTCGACTGGAACAGATCGCAGGTCAGTATCCTATGGGCAAGCTTCTGATCAAAAGCGTGGACTTGAATTCGCTTTCGGAAGTACGGGCTTTTGCGGACGAAATTGCTGGCCTGGTGGAATCAAAGCAACTTCCCCCAATTTCTGCGATCATATGCAACGCATTCACATGGTCTTTGGGTGGCCAGAACTTCTCAAACGATCACTATGAGTCTACATTCCAAGTCAACCACCTTGCACACTTTTCCCTCGTCCTCAAGATTCTCCGAAACATGGATCATGACTCGGGTCGAATTGTCATGCTTAGCTCTGAAGTTCACGATCCTGAAGTTCGCATCCCGCTATCCAAACTGGGTGCAGAGCTCCCTTCAGATGAAAACCTTGACCTGTTGGTCAAGCCTGGTCCAGATGAGGCTGGGACAGAACATGACATGGGCTGGCGCCGATACGCAAACAGCAAGCTGGCCAACGTCATGTTCATGCAGAGTTTGAATCGTCGACTCCAACAGGTACGAGCGGAACTCCATGACATGGGCATGCCCCTAACATTAGCTTTATCTAGAATCCGAAATTCAGCAAAGTCACAGTGACGGCCATGGACCCAGGTGGTCTTGTTGACTCCCGTGCCCATACGTCTCAACGTGCACTTGTTCGAATCGCATTCAAGCTGCTCGCAGTCTTGCTCCCAGTTATAAACATCTTCACCTACAGCCTTCGCTCTAATGCAGCCTCGGCGCGTGACCTCATAGCGCTGGCTATAGACCCGAAGTACTTCGCGGTGAGAGGCCACTTCAATGGACAAACGCCCAGTGCCGCCGCTCATATCAGTGAAGATGAGAAGAAACGCGAAGCTATATGGGATGCATGTTGGGAATGGACCGGAATGAATGAAGACGAGACCTGTGTTCCCAGGCGGTGCGCTTGAGCAAGCATCGATGTCCTTGTGCCTTACATACGAGCTCTACTGTATCGGCTTTTCCAGTAGATGCTGGACTATTTCTCTCGTTTTATCGCTGTCATTAACATGCTCTAAAATGCAGTATCCGCCATATTTTCGGCTACCTGTCCTCCGATATTGGCTTGAGATGAGAAACATATTATCATTGTTATATACCGCAAACAGATATTCTGGGGGTAGCTACACACAAAATGCAACTTAGCATAAAGTTACAACATCACTTTGGGTCACTGGGTAGGTAGACGACCCGCTCGGCAAGTAAGCGAGGTGTGTCGTTATCATGACTGGGCAAGACGACCACATCAGTCTCTCTGGCAAACTCTTTGATGGTCTTCAAAGTCTCTTGCGCACGTACGGGGTCATCGTTAATTCCATCCGGCTCTTCTTTATCCAAGAATTCCAAGCCATATGTTGCGTCGCCAGGTAGGAAATATGTGACTTTGGTTTGATTGGGGCCTTCGCCATAGACTACCAGACCAACATGCCCAGGGACATGACCTGAAGTATCCACGATCACAATTCTTCCATCCTCTGTCAGAGGGTATGACTGTTTCCAGGGCCCAAGCGGTTTGTCCTGAAGGTCAACAATCCTCGGGGAGAATTCTTTCGGCCAGTGATTCGGGGTAGCGCCCTCCATACTGGCAAAGACCGGGTGTTCTCCAAATGCCTTCCAATGTTCATGGCTGATGTAGATAGGCAAATCTGGTGCTTCCGCAACCAAGTCCTCCAGTCCACCCGCATGGTCATTGTGGAGGTGACTCATAATAACACCTTTGAGATCAGTCGCTTTTATTCCACGCCTGTGAAGCTGTTCCAGAATACCATCTCGACGCGTTATCGTGAATTGACTGAGAAGGCCGTTGAAGATAGCAAGTCGTGGGAAGTATCCTGCGTCGTTGCAACAAGGAGATTGCCCGGTATCGAAGAGGAAGATACCTTCAGGGTGGCGAATGAGAAAGACTCCGACAGGTAGCGACTCGGTCCATTCTCTGTCGAAGATTGATTTGAGGCGTCGAAGAATCGCAAAATTGCCGACAGGTTGTGAGCGCATTGATGGTCTGATGCGGACTGTTCCTGTGGTCAGGAACTCCAACTGTACAAGTCCATTCTGATTGTTGGCCATTGTAAGGAGACTGATGGTAAGATGTAGAGAGAATGATCGAGATTGAAAGGACTGGAGTGGGAAAGTACTTAAGCTTATAAAGGACCGAAACCTTCGGCAGTCCATGGATAACCGAAGGACGGGAGAACTCAGCGTGAAGCCATGTTTGCCGAGAACTAAACTCGACGATTATTCGGAGACTTAATATGAGACTAGATACTCAAGGAGGCGACGTTGAAAGGAGATTTGTAGAACTAGGGCTGGCGGTTGAAGCCAGAGCGATGCCTGTTGTTTGCCCAAAAACAACAAAGAGACACGGAATTGATTAATTTATGTACAGAGTTCAGGAATTTATACCTAATATTACCCCAATTCACGTCTGTTGGATGCAAGGCAGTGAATTCTTTCAGGCCGACTCATCGCGACTTCCTTTTCACGACCGAACGGTGTCGGCAAACTTAACCGAAACACCTCTCCTCTTTGCCGAACCCAAACCACCTCCCCAGATATGCCGCGTCGAGCCCGTACAGTATGCATCCGCTGCCACGGCAGCAAAGTAAGTACTGCTCGAAGACTACTATACACCTTTGCTAATTCGAAGTCTGAAGGTCCGTTGTGACATTGAAGATCGGACAAGCGGAATTTGCAGCGGGTGCGAGCAAAAGGGTCATCAATGCCAGTGAGTTGTGGCGCCATCTTTATAAATATTACAAATACTACAAGCTGACCTTTCAGGCCTCACATTGGACCTCGCAAGCAAAGGAAGGCTCTGCGCTCTTCACTAGCTGCCAATGCGACTCCTCCGACCCCAAGCCAGACATTGCCAACTCCAGCGCAAACACAAGCCTCGGATACCACACTATCATCGTCTTACAGTACCCTGGAACAACGCACAGTGCATTGCACAGATCTCGGAAATGCCAATTCAAAGCAGCCAAACTACATCGACGGGAGCGAGCTTATTCTCGACATAAGTCAGGCATGTCGCCTTCCACCTCCAGTCATCGCTCAAGCATTGTCTGATTTCTATTTCCGTGAGCTATTTCCATTTGCACCAGTGATTGATCGGGGAAAAGTTGGAGCCTCATCGTCGGTATTGGTCCAGCAGTGTCTGTCTTTTGCAGGTAGCACCATGCGTCAACCAGCAGGAGCAAGCGACTGGTCTCCTTTTTCCATCTACGGACGGATCAAGACACTACTTTTTGTGCGCCAAGATCCATGTCCATTCAACATGCTCAGCGCTCTTTCGATCCTGAGTACATGGCTCCCATATTCGCCCGAGGCAGTCGTACTGGACAGCCCATGGCAATGGACTGGCATGGCAATCCGAATGGGAATACAAATGCATCTGCACAAAGCTGACTCTTATAATCAACTGCAAAATCCTGGGTTGATCCGACGAACGTGGTGGTATCTTTTCGTCACCGACACGTTACAAATGGCTTGCTGTGGGCGTCCTGGGATGTTCCCTTTGAAAGACAATTCTGTGCCGTTACCTCAGATCACCGATTTCGAGAATCCTGACATGGGAGCACACGTATATTGTCAGATGACACGTCTCTGTCTCGACCTGAAGAAGATCCTTGACTCGGGTAGAGACAATGAAGGCACACGAGAGCAGGCATATCAAGCCATGGACAATCTCAAACAATGGCGAGAGATCTTACCTATCGAACTGCAACTGTTTGGCCTAGCCCAAGAAAGGCAGGTGTACAGCCGCCCTGTGGTTGAACTTCACATCTTTTATTTGGTGGCAGTTGTTCTGACCTGCTTCCTGGGACGTCGTGATAACACCCCGTTACTCAAATACCTCTCGATCGCCGCATCCTCTTGCATTTCTCGACTGTATGAGGAGATCCTTTGTCGTGAAGAGATTCAATACCTTCTGCCAATCCATTCCTGGACTATTCTTGTTGCCGCAATCCCACGCGTATTCTGCGACATGGACACTCTGAATTCACATCGGGCGGATGATGCCAGAATCAGCCAGCAAGTACTGGAGAAGATGAGCGAGAAGCATAGTTCAGCCGGTATGGTGCAAAGCAAGATTCAGGGCATCAGCAACCTTGGTACCAGCATGTTTCCTGTACAATTCGATGCTATGTGGAATAGTCTTCCGGCACCGACATTAGATGAGAAGACACACATCAATGCGATGTTACCTTTTCCCGGAAGTTTTTGTCCAATGCTTGATTCGGTTATGTCAATGGAGAGCAGTGGAAATGAGACACTTGATTCCCTACCCTCAGTACCCACAGACAGCGATGTGCAGGATTGGCCGCTGGATTGGTCTTTCTTTTTGTATGACGGTCCTATGAGCTTTTAGTCAGAAAGATGCTTCTGTGTGAAACTGGTCAGATTATAAAAAAGAGTCAATGGAAGAAGAATATTCATTATGTTCCCATAGTAAGTTGAGAAACCCAGTAGATAAAAGCCATACCTCCACACAAACTCTAGAGTATACCCCACACACTCGGCAACGTCCCGTCTCTCGGAGCACATCCGCCCACCCCATATAAGAACCTCAAGATCACCTAGTTATCCCTCAACCAACAATTCTCTCGGTGCAACTCCTTCACTCTCACCAAAATGTCAGAACCAGCCGACCAACCACAACAAATGCACCACATCCAACCTGCGCAACTCAAAAGCTTCGTGCAACAAATCCTCATCGCAAACGGCACATCACCCAGCGACGCAGAAATAGTCGCAAAATGCCTCGTAGCAGCCGATCTCCGAGGCGTAGACACACATGGAAGCAATCGCATTCCATCATACATGGAACGAATCCGCCAAAAAGCACTGGACCCGGCAGCGACACCCACAGTGCTCCAAGTGACACCAGCGGTAGCACAAGTGGACGCCCACAACGGCTTCGGCTTCGTAGCCGCACACGAAGGCATGAAACGAGCGATTGAAATGGCCCAAATCTTCGGCATAGGCATGGTCTCCGTCAAACACTCAAACCATTTCGGCATGTCAGCATGGCTAGTGCAGCAAGCACTAGAATCAGACATGATGTCACTCGTGTTCACGAACAGTTCCCCAGCACTACCGGTCTGGGGTGGGAAAGAGAAGTTAATGGGCGTTTCGCCTATTGCGTGTGGCGCGCCGTCCGGGAATGAGCGCCGGCCATTTATCCTCGATATGGCGCCTTCTATTGCGGCACGGGGCAAGATTTACAAGGCTCTTCGGCGGGGCGAGAAGATTCCTACGGATTGGGCGCTTGATGGGGAGGGCAGGCAGACCGATGATCCGGCGAGTGCGCTGGAGGGTGTTATGTTGCCCATGGGCGGACCGAAGGGGTCGGCACTATCTATAATGATGGACGTATTCTCGGGCGTGTTATCTGGATCGGCTTTTGCAGGAGGAGTCACTAATCCGTATGATCCATCCAAGCCGGCGGATGTGGGACATTTCCTGGTTGCTATTAAGCCCGATTTGTTCATGACAATTGAAGAGTTTAAGGGGAGGATGGATTATCTGTATCAGCGGGTTGTTGAGTCGGACAAGATGGCTGGTGTGGATCAGATTTACTTCCCTGGGGAGATTGAGATGATTACTGAAGAGCGCAGGTTGGTGGATGGGATTCCTTTTGCTGAGGCTGAGATTGCCAGTTTGAATAAGGAGGCGGATTTGGCAAATATTGAGCATTTGAAAATCCGATCTCCTATTCTTTAGATAAATATCAATTACATCTACAATGGGACACTATGCATATGTGGCATGAAGCTAATAGCTGGTAAAGTCTATGTGTTACATTCTATGAACAGGCATAGACTGTCAGATGTACAAGACAAAGCGCAAGGCTTGATGGACTGACGACACTACTAGTCTTTAAATGCCAACTAAAAACACACAAGGCAATCTTAAACAACTTGCCACGAAATGCCAGCCATGAAGCAGGAAGCCACACAAAATAATGCACAGGTAGAAATAGTGTCACAGTTCAATTATCGTCGACAGGACCTCCCATAGAAGGAAAGAAAAGCCAGAGAGAACCAGAATAAACATATTCAATGGGAAAATAATATGCTCGGAAAAAAGAACACGGGAAGGTCTCACTTTACAGCCAGAGATAATAGTAACAGGAGAAGGGAAGGCAAGTCACAGGGGATCTGGTAAGAACAGAGAACAAAAGCAAAAGACATTAGGAAAGGAAAATGTATTCAGACAAAGGAAATAATGAACATGCTAGATAATTAATCAAACATCCAAAAGGATGATGAGGAATCGCTCCATGCATAAGAAGAGAACAAAAGCAGGGTATCACGTAGTATCCAAACAACCTCGCTGCTCTTCCGAGCAACTCAAAGAGCATCAGAAAGATGGGGTTTGAATCTGCCTTGTGAGATCAAAGCACAAATTCGAGGTGCTTGATCTATCCGGTCTCACGTGCCGGGCCGAGTTGAGATGAGGCTCTTGTCTTTAGTTGACTAGCCAGGGCGAGATCAACGTTCATCACCGGCTCTAGACTTGGCACGTCTGCGGAAGAAATCCATGACTTTGCGTGCTGCACCAGAACTGCCAGAATGGTGAGATCCGTCCCGCTCATATTCGTAGGCATCGGCGAATTTGCGATGGCTCTTTTGCAAGACGTTCGGTCCACGTCCTGAGCGACCAGCCTGCATTGACTGGCGAGGCAAGCTGTCATAAGTGCCATTGTAGTCGTCGTAGTAGTTGGGCTTAGACTGGTAGCCATAATGATTGCCAGAGTATTGATCTCGAGAGTTTTGGTAAACCTGTTCCGCCGACGGCATACCGAAGGAATCCTGCTGCTGGTCGAATTGAGTGCCCAGGTCTGCGAATTGCCGATCGATTTGGGCTTCATAGCTGAGAGGCTCGTTTTTAACCTGGGCATCCTCTCCATGTCCCTCGCTAACCATGCCCATGGCATCTTGAGCGCCATAGCTTGTTGAACGAGCTCGACCTTCTCCAGGACCTGCAGGGCCTGTAGCTGGCCGTTGTTGACCACGAGACTCGACAGGGCGAGAATTGTCTGGTTGTTCATCGGGTGTCTGAGCTCGGCCGGTGGAGAAGCCTCGGAAGGAGAACGATTGTGGGAGAAGGGAGAACCGACGAGGCCGGTTCTCGAGACCCGATTCGCTTGCCTTGCGGTTATGGGGGTATTGCATGGAACGCCGAGAATCCATGGACATTCTGGAATTCTCTCTCGGTAGCGGTTCCTTCATGCTGACTGGAGGATAACGCTTGTCCTGCTTTGTACGAGGGGCGTTGGCCTGAGAGCCACGGCCACCCAAGATTGACCCAGAGCGTCCAAAAAGTTTCTCGCCAAGGCTAGAAACAGTGTTGGACCTCTTGTGGCCCTTGGGCGGCTCTTGCCGAGGCGTCGTGTTGAATGTTGAAGGCAATACCTGGGTGCTTGGACGGCCGATCGATGTAGTAGATGCCTCTGGTTCCTGGGGAAGGGTGAATTGTCTGCTCTTGGGCTGTGCCAGGCGGCCTTCGGTATTAGTTGCGGTAACAGTAGGAGCCACCGGCTGTCCGTAGGAACCGCGAGAAGGTAAACGACCAGCGTTGTTGAAGGAAGCCATGGAGCCACCAGTGGCGGGCCGTGCACCTGAAGGCAACGCAACAGTGTGCGATCCAGTGAGTGCTGCGTTGTCCGAGGTCGAGCGCGGGAAATATCCTGGAAGGGGCTTGTTGAGGTTGAGCGCCGGCGCGTCTCCGCCCTTCTTTTGGACTGGCTCTGCTGGCTGCTGCACCGGCGCCATTGGTGGATCTGATGGAGCTGGGGCTCGGCGTGAGGTAGACGGCTCTGCTGGAGGTTCTCCTCTCGTCGTTTGTGACTGAGGAGCGACGTACTCTACTTGGACCGTTCTTCGCTTGGCATCGCGAGTGGTTTTGGACTTTTCGGATGGCGAGTCTTGCGAAATGTCTCCAGCATGGTGGTTGAGACCACCAACAGCTGGAACATTGCTTTGGGACGTCTTAGGTGGTTCGCGTACAGAGGCACTTCGGGTGAGAGGGGGGGCTTCTTTTTGTGTTTCTATGAGTGTCAGTCTGAAATTAAGCATTTGAAAGCAATCGGTCTCACCGGAAGTAATTGTTGTGTTGGCAATGTCCGCAACATTTGTTGTGCTGCTTGTGATGTGAGACACAACGTGCGAGTATTCACTTAGCCAGCTGTGCCGGGCAACCTCAAACAGATCTGCACGCTTCCGCGGGTCGGGAACCAATATCCTCCTCAAAAGATCGCGCGCATGTGGTGTTACATATTCTGGGAATGTGAGAGGTGTGGTGACGATGTATTTGTACAGAAGATTAATGTTGTCGCCGTCGGGGTTTGCTGGATCGTCATCGAAGGGAAGGTATCCAGCCAACATGGCGTACTAGAGAATGTCAGTTGAGTCAAAGTCGAATGCAGCAAGATTCTTACCAAGATAACTCCGCAACTCCACACATCCACCTTCCGACCTGTATACAAGGAGTCGCTCACAACAAGCTCAGGAGCGGCGTAACAGGGACTGCCACAGCTGGTCTGCATCAAATCTCCTCGGCGCAACCCATTGCTGTTAACCTTGTCTAGGCGCTTTCGCTTGACATATTCCTTGTTGGTCAGGTTGTACTCGATCTCCTCGTCCAGCGGGTCTATTGGGTCGAATGTATTGGCGAATCCGAAATCCGTAATTATTATATTGCGGTTCCGGTCGAGAAGCAAGTTCTCCAGTTTCAAATCACGGTGAACGATTCCCTTTTTGTGTAGGTAGCCAACTCCCGAAACCAGCTGAGCAAACAGTCGGCGCGCGGAATTGTCCTTCAAGTACCGGTTGTTCAAGATGTAGTCGAACAGTTCACCTCCTGACGCGTACTCCATGATGATGCCAATGTGGCGGTCGGTTTCCACCATTTCATGGAGGCGCACAATGTTGGGATGTGCCAGATCGCGCAGAATGGAAATCTCACGGTAGATCTTCGGTAGTCTGCTGGGGTTGGTTCCCAGTGAGTCCCTCCGAATGAGCTTGATAGCTACTTGGATGCTACCATCTCGTTTCCAACCCAGCTTGACCTTTCCGAACTCACCCTCACCGAGGGTTTGCCCAAGAATGTAAGAGCCGAAAGTCGTCTCCTTGCGCTTCACGACATTTCCGTTGTTATAATCATGTCGACTGCGAGGGCCGCGAGCCTCTTCTACGCCATCGAACCCAGCTGCCAAGCCCGATGAGGGGGCATGCTCTGCAGATGCACCAACTTGTCGGACCTGCTCTCTTTCGTGATCCACGACAGGGTCGCTGACTTGAACAGAGTTGAGCACTGCACTGGACTCCTTCACTAGATTTCCCTCAGGCATCTCCATTGACTCGGCTTGGACCGGTGGCGCTGTTCTTGACTCCACTTCGCGAGATGTCTCCTCTCCCTGGTGTCTCCGTGATTTGCCGTTTCGGTCTTCACGTGGGCGCTCACGGTGTTCCTTTCGCTCGGACCTGCTCTTTCCTCGGGAACTTTGTTTTTCTCCCGATGCTCCGTTCGGACTCCGACGGCTGTGGTTTGTTGACGAGGTTCGCGGCGGAGGAACCGGTGGCGTACCTAACATGTCGGGATACGCTGTGCGAGCATTCTTTTGGGAGGGAGATGCGGTGCTGGTCGATCCTGGTGAAGCATGGGTGGGGAGCACAGCCGGCTGACGGGAAGTGCTCATAGCCGAAGAAGCTGTTCGGGACCGGCCTCAGAAGTGGCTGAAGATAGATTAGCAAGCCAGTCGCTGATGCGCGCACGGTCCTGCATCACGGCAACGTACCTTCTGATGGATGCGCAAAGCCTGAGGCTGTGAGACTCCCGAGGCAGCTTCAGGCAGAATTTGGTAACTGCGATTCGTAGAATTGGCGCGAGAGAGCACGGGTGAAAATCGAGGGGTTGGCGACCGGTCGCACTCAATTCAACGCGCAATCTGCGTCGGTCAGTCCCCAAGTTCTTATCAATCGCCAAAAATGTTGTCGAGGAATGGGGGGGTAGCTGCCAGATCGGAAGAATGGAGGGGACGCCACCAATCGCGCAGCTGTTGAATGGAGCTCGAATCACCCACCGATGTTGCCCAGGGGTAAAGACGCGTCGAACACCCAAAGCTCAAGATAGCTGCACTGCAGTTCTCAAGTCCCCAGATCCACGATATTCGGCACGTGAAAGATCGGAGAAACAAAACAAATGTCTCAGACGCGAAATCCCGACTCGAAGCGATTTCAATTGAACATCGTCGAATCCAGGAGGGGAGGGGGCGCGAGGGGACGGGAAACACCGGTCGGAGATCCCTTGAAAAAAGGGGAACACCCTCAAAGAACGAAAACTGAAAGGACAAAAAAGAAGAAGAAAAAGGAAGGGAGAAGGGAAGCCCAGAGAGTTGTGAAGGGAAAAGAGGAGGTGAGATACGAGGTTGGTACTGGGGGGGGCGGGAGAGGCCTGGGAGCTCAACTATACTCACTACGGTAATTGCGCTACACTTGATACTTGATACTTACTTACATGATTAACTTATATCTGCTAACTTATGTCGGTACAGAGTATATTCGCTATATCTTGTTATATTCTCTACCTGGCCTCTGTCTCCGTACTTTGTATAATGTATACTGCGTAGGAATCAGTTCAGTTTCCTGATAGTCAAGTCAATCTGACCAAATACGGAGTACTCCAGCATACAAATGACAATGATTGTAATTATTGCTCCCTTGCTCTACAAAGGGCCTCCTCGCAGGCCTAAACATCAAGTTTTAAGAAATAGGGGGTTAGAGTGGACACCGCCGATCGTCATTATTAGCCTCCGAGATTTGATCTCACATTTCCTTTGTGCTTTAACGTTATTTATAGATGCATTTCTTAGCTATATTCTTTACCAAGCGCTCAACGACTATACTCGACTAACATAAGTGCGTATATGTGTATATCTTGTGTATGTCTTGTGTATGTCTTGTGTATATCTGCGTATTGTAAACGAATCTATCCGGAATGCAACCATGGTTGATATCACTCGAACCACGGAATCAGTAAGATCTTAGCAGATCTCTGTTCGACTTCAAAGAGTCATGTATTCTGCACTGTCGTCTCTCTATACTGCAACTTCGCTCCACATATTAGTACTCTACACGTCATTTCAATCTCTGCAATTATTGCGCCTTCCAATTTTCTTCTCCCCTTTGCCTCAATCGTTATTGATAACCCTTATTGGAGGTGGACGATTGACAACTGTCAATTGATGCGTTGGCAATTTCGCCATCTGTACTCTCGTCCAATCGATAGCGCATAGATCGACCGTTAGCCAGAACAATTCTCAGCCAATGGCTATCACCGCCGTTGCATACTTCAAACGTCGCTTCTATCGAATGACCTTGCTATATATTTACAGTAATTATATGAAAAAGACGGTCTGAGTCGGATTTGGGCTCGGTGCTCGCGGCCGTGTCACCTAGTCAAACCCCCAAATTTTATCCAATCGTACCTGAAGTACAGTATCACATATTAATATAAGCATTTTGGGATGTAGTCGGAACTTAATTCTGGTGGTAACTATCTACGTATCAAATCTGCGAGCTTGAAAATCGCCTGCCTAACCCAAATTAAGAATAGAGATGGATCCCGAGGACCCTTACCCCGGAGTTTTACCGCTTACCCCCTGGCATGGGCGCTCCATCTAGCGAAATCGTCCCCGATGCACCATAGGCTGGAGGCGGTGTGGGGCCAGGCGACGGGCGGCGGACAACTGGGTCCTGAGCACCCAAGCGAGAAGGACCCGCGTCCACTCCAGCAGGAACCTGACCACCGTCACCTCCACCAACGACAACCTGCTGGCCGTCGCGCATTTTACCCACAACCATACCCTTGGCAACGGATTTCAGAAGCGCGCGGCGACTGACACCGGTGGCGTCAATGTACACCAACCCCACATTCTTGATTCCGCCTGTCAGATTGGTTGCGACAGTACCAGCCTCGGACCCATAACGGTGATCGATCATGGAGCTGGCTGCTGAAGCACCGGAGAAGAGCATGTTTCGGGCGCTCTGCTCGATGCCATCGGCGATGGTGGAGAATGCGATCATTGATTTGTTCAAGACACCAGGCTTGTAGTCTTGTGGTGGGTTGCTCTTGTCGAAGCCTTTGCGCCGGCCTGATTCTTGCTTACGCGCCAAAGACGCGCCCAGGTTTTGCGCAACTTTGCCAACCTGTCCCACGGTGCGAGCTGAAAAATCGGCAGCTCCGTTGGAGAAAGTGCCGACCTTGCGGATGCGAGCGTGGGTAGAGTCGGAGAAGGTCAGAGGCTTGGGGTTAGGCTTGGTCTTCTGTTGGAAGCTCTGCGCACCGCTGGCGATGGCACCTGCCAGATATGATGACCCAGTGACGATCAAGCGTGATGCTGTCGCAGATGTTTGGACGATGGTCGAGTTCTTGTATGCGGGGTGTCGAGCCATTGCCAGGTATTCTTCAGAGACATTGCTGACACTGACTTGATTACCTTCACCTTCTGCAGGGAGTTCAATTCCCACCGGTCCTATAAAACAGTTTAGCTTCTGGGGAAAGTAAAAAACACCGAATAACTTACGCTTGGAACCAGGCTTCACATCCGAATCCTCGACCACGTTATAACCATCTCCCAGCTCTCCGACAACGCTGCCGTCTTCCTCGTCAATCAGCACGATCCTTCCATGCGCATCTGCATTCTTCGAGTCCGACCCAACATATCCCTGGCCGGGTGCGTAGTCCGCGGGGTTATAAGCAGCCAAGTCTTGCGACTTGGGAGGAGGGGCTCGTTCGAGGAATGCGGTGCACTGTGCAAGAATGGTTTCAAATGTATCGATATCATCCTGGGTCACGTTGCTAGGTCCAGAGCCGATACTGGGGAATTGGATGCGAATAAAGGCACCGGCGTCGGGTCCCATGTCCCATCGGGGGATGAGATAACTCTCGGGGGGCTGGTGGAAGATCTGGGTAGTCGCCGGTAGTGCGAGGTCCAGCTCAGGTGGGAGATATAGGTGGAGGTAGAAGTCTTCTTCTGGCGACTCCGTGCCAGGTCCCGCACCTGCGGTGCTGGTTGGGACCATTAGCAAAGAGAGGGTCTGAGGGCCCGACGGCGTGAGATCCTGCTCCTCGCCATCTTGTAGGTGGAAAGCGCGAATATTGTTGACGCTGTAGAGCAACCGGGGGTCGTGTGCTGCGGACATGCTGATAGTATACAGGAGCCTGCGGTTCAGGGTTGCCCGCAATCGAGCTGATAACGGGGGTATGACGTCGTGTTACAATCGGCTCAGTGGCGAGTTACCGGGTCACTTTCGAATGTCAAGTAGGTCAAGCAGGATAGGCAAGTGAGGATGTAAAAGACAAGAGTTCAACTCAAGACGAAGGGGCTTCTTATGAGCACTTGGGCATGTCTGGGCGCTTAGATAAATGGAGGGCTGTGCTGCGCCGCGATTGCGCCACATTTGCGCCACATTTGCGCCACGCCACATTGTGGGGGTTCACTCTCTTCTATCCAACTCTTTGTACCCAATACTTGTACGTGGATTCGATGTCTATTCGATGGCCAAGTTTCAGATCTTGTCGGATCTGCATCTAGAGAATCCATCTGCCTACGATGTGTTCAAGATCTCCCCAACAGCACCCTATCTTGCTCTGTTGGGCGACATAGGAGTGGTCAAAGACGATGGTTTCTTTCCATTTGTTGAAACGCAATTACGCCAGTTCAAGATCGTCTTCTTTTTGTTGGGGAATCATGAGCCGTACTATTTGACTTGGGATAAAGCACGGCAGGAACTACAACAATTCTCCAACTCGGTCAGGCAACGCTCGAGGGCAGAAGCGATAGGAGAATTTGTGTTTCTGAACCAGACTCGATATGACCTCTCATCAGATGTAACTGTCCTTGGCTGCACACTTTTCTCGCGAATCGATGAAACCCAGAAGGAGCGGGTCAGCTTCGGTCTCAATGATTTCTACCACATAAACGACTGGACGGTGGAAGAACACACAGCTGCTCATGAAGCAGACCTGAGATGGCTTAATGAACAGATTTCCCAGATTGCTGCCAATGAGCCTCGGCGCAGGATTGTCGTCTTTACACACCATAGCCCAGTCACCCGGGATCCGCGAGCAGTTGATCCAAGGCATAAGAATAGTCCGTTGTCCTCGGGGTTTGCCACGGATTTATCCATGCAGGAATGTTGGACAAGTCCGCTGGTGCGATTATGGGCGTTTGGACATACACATTACAATGTTCACTTTGAAGACAATACTGGAAGAATGGTCGTGAGCAACCAGAGGGGGTATTATTTTTCTCAAGCACTGGCCTTTGATGATAGACTGGTAATTGCTATCTAATTCGTTTCGTACAAATACTTTGTCTGACTCTGTATCAAATTGGCAAACATAGTAGATGTGTGGTATAGAAACTTTATGTCCGAAATATATATTTGTGGGGGTGGGGGCGCGAAGGGCAAGGGCCGGAGTTTCCTCCAACAGCAAAGGAAAAAGAAAAAAGGTCGACCCGTTAAAAGAAACTACTAAGTGATAACACGACACACAGAATGCTTATACATCCTAGATTAATACTATATAGAATGCGCAAAGCTTGGTATGAGATATCGGTGATTAAACATATGCTTGTTAATGGTCGTTCTGAAATTAAGAGTGCTAGCAACTAAAATTTGATTGTATGATTACAGTGAACTAGATAGAAAACTTCCGGTATCATAATAGTAGTCTGCAGAGCAAAAAGTTAGACACATACAGCCATATGTAAAGGTGGGTGTAAAAATAAATTTAGTAGGTTAGCAAAAAGAAAGCAAAAAAAGAATGGACGGACGGTGGATCGAACACCGGACCTTCCGCATGCAAAGCGGATGTTATACCACTAAACTATGCGCCCAATTGTATGGTAATTGGATATGATCATGGATTATAAAGTGGGGCAAAATTTCGTAAGTTCCGAAAGCCGAAACTTTTTATGTACATCAGATATCCTAGCACAGACATCTCTGTTTCATACTTCAGGTAAGGGTATAATAATATACATTACCTTACTCATTTATAATATAAAACATGTAGACACTGGGGATGTATAGGCTGGAATACATGGCGTTGATGATATGTACCTTCGTCACAAGAGGCTGGGATTCAATCAGAGTCTACAGTTCCATGGTTGACATTAACCATGCTGAGTCATAACAAACAGTGCAAACAACCGGTGGGATGCAAAGTTTTGGTGGAGTACTTGCCTTGCTCTTGGTTTCAAGAATTTCTGATCGCCTGCTGGACCAAATGGAAGCCGAACCAGCCAGGATTAATTCCGTGCCTGACGTCGAGGCCCAGAAGCGTGACGCGAATGACAATTCCGCCGCTATGGAAGAGCCTCCGGCCAAGAAGGCACGATTGGAGAACCCCAACTCGGACAGGCAAGATATGCGCGATAGAGGGGTTGCGCCCATTAAAGCAGAGTATGTTTGTTTCACGTTTTAAACAACGGGATATTGACATTGCTATTCCAGGTATCGCATCGAAGTTGTGAGGCCCCAGCTGAAAGAACAGTCGAAAGACGAGATCGGTCCTGACGATGCTGCCGAAGCCACCCCTCGCGACGACCGTGATACCGATAAGATGTCCAAGAAGGAGAAGAAGAAGAAGTTCTCTGGTCAAAACACCAACCGAAGTTATGGAAAATCCCAAGACGAAAAGGGCCTTTGCGCTACGAGAATGACAGCCAATGAATTTTCGGCTGCCGAATGCAAGTTTGGCGACACTTGTCGATTTGAGCATGACTTGCGCCGTTACCTGAAGGAGCACAAGCGCGAGGATCTCACTACGTTCAAAGTCTGCCCTATCTACGAAGCGCAGGGAAGATGCTCCGCCGGCTGGAGATGTCGACTGGTTGGCTCTCACTCGACCGAGAGAGAAACCGAAGACGGGAGAAAGGAATTGATCTTACTGGAAGATGCAGAGCTTGTGGAGAAAGCTCGCCCTCGCGTGCCTGGTGCGACACCCGACGGAGTCGTCAACATCATTCCCACGGATGCCAGGGTCACCCTTACGAGAAAGAAGGAGAAAACCCCTCGCGCTGATGCTTATAACACATGGGTCAACAAGGTCTCCGCAGAGCTAGAAAAGACGCTCCACAAGCGAAACACTGTCCGAGAAAACGGAGAGCTTGTTGATCCAGCACAGGAGAATGAGAAGAAAGGGGATGACGTGAAGGAAAAGACCGTAGATGGGGGCGCGAAAGAGGAAGTGAAGGACAAAGTGGAGGAGAAAGCGGAGGAGAAAGCGGAGGAGAAAGCGGAGGAGAAGGAGGCACTGGAGGAGAACCGCGCTCAATTTACTGAACCTCCTTTCTTGCCTTCTGAGAAGAGACGCATTTACTTCGGCCCAGAGACACCAACGCTCGCACCTTTGACAACACAGGGTAACATGCCATTCCGAAGACTTTGTGAAGACCTAGGTGCGCAATTCACCTATTCGGAGATGGCCATGAGTATGCCTCTGATTCAGGGCGCAAAGTCTGAATGGACCCTTTTGAAGGCACACGAGTCAGAATTGGCACCACCAACAGTCATTCCTGGAGACAACATTGTCCAGGGCTATGATAACTCTAAGGATTCCAAGTTTGGTGCACAGATTGCGGCCAACAAGCCATGGCAAGCATACAAGGCCACAGAGGTGCTGTCAAAATTCACTCCCAACCTGCGCGTTATCGATTTGAACTGTGGATGCCCCATTGAGCTTGTGTTCCGTGACGGCGCTGGGTCTGCTCTGCTTGACCACGGCTCCAAGCTGGAGAAGATGATTCGCGGTATGAACACTGTGTCGCAGGAGATTCCAATTACCGTCAAGATCCGCACGGGAACTAAGGACAACCAGCCCAACGCTTTGAAGCTGGTTGAGCGTCTTGTCCTGGGTGGCTACGAGTCCAGTCTTTTGGACGTTGGCCCTCCAGGCGCCGCTGCTATCACTCTGCACGGACGGAGTAGACAGCAGCGCTACACCCGACAGGCGGATTGGGGATACATCTCTGAGACAGCAGCCCTTATCAAGCGCTTGAATGAAAAGAAGGACAGTCTCACTGACACCATCCGTGAACCGGATGCCCGTTTCATGCCTAACGGCGGAAAGACTTACTTCCTCGGCAACGGCGACTGCTACTCCCATGTCGACTACGACGATCACATCAACAATGCCGGCGTGGATAGTGTGATGGTGGCTCGTGGAGCTTTGATCAAACCTTGGGTTTTCGAGGAGATTCAGACTGGCCAGTACCTTGACAAGTCTGCGACTGAGCGTCTTGCTTATATTGAGCGCTTTGCCAAGTATGGTCTCCAGGCTTGGGGATCTGATGAGCATGGTGTTGGAACAACTCGTCGTTTCCTGCTTGAATGGTTGAGCTTTGCTTATCGCTATGTTCCAATCGGACTGCTGGAATACCTCCCTCCTAATATCCAGGATAGACCACCCGCTTGGCGCGGTCGTAATGAACTGGAAACCCTTATGGGCAGTGGGAACTACAAAGACTGGATTAAGATCACGTAAGGTCTTCTCGAAATACTTTCGGATTATTGGCTAACTCATATCACAGTGAAATGTTCCTGGGTCCTGCCCACAAGGACTTCAAGTTCGAACCTAAGCACAAATCTAACTCTTATGAGGCAGAGGGTTAAAGAGACCTATCCCTCACAATTGTCGACAATTGTACATATCACAAAATCATCACAGCTTTACCTGCATGTTTACAAGGCGTTGAATTAAATGCCGAAGAAAGTCTCGGTTAAAAATGCAGTTATGACAAATTACAATCAGTTGAAAGCTCTATGAATTTCGCTTCTTTATTAACCAGAAGCCTAATCAACTGTCAAGAGTTGCTCATAGAAACCCCCAAACCCGCGCTCTTTATCATGAAGATGAATCTCCAGAATCCAATGGCGCTTGAACCCATCACGACCAGACAACCCCATTGACTCCTTATTACGCTTGGTGATATAGAGCGACGTCCGATCCCGCGGAATCCGCTCATGAGGGAACGATCCAACCAGATGGCCGGCAATATCAGCACCGAAATCCCAGCCTTCCTGCTTGGCAATTTCGCAAGAAATGTCATACAACTCTTCTCCTGACATATCCGGGTTCTCGCGATACCGAGCCTTGACCGTGTTCCAGATCGGTTCCAGCGCATCGCGAAGTTTCTTCTTATAAGGATCATCTCCGAGGACAAAGGTACGCCCAAAGTCCGCCTCCCAAGCTTCAAAGACAGGCCCCAAGTCCACAACTAGTATGTCATCTGGCTGGATAACACGATCCGGTGGGTTCTCGGAGAACGGGCTGAGAGTGTTTGGTCCGCTGCGGATGACTCGTTTGTGCCAATGCGTCTTGATGCCATAGCGGTCGAGACCCAATTGGTAGATTTCCTCGTTCAATTTCTTTTCGGTGACGCCATGTCGGACTAGATCACGCTCGATCTCTTCGAAGAGTAGAACGGCTTTGTCTTGTGCATTTAGAAGCTGGGATGCTCGTTCGATTTCTTCGGTGGTAAGATTATTGCTTGCCATTGTATGAACGAACGTAGATAGCGAAGTATGACAAAATTGGAGCTGGTAATACAGTCGAGTGTAAGCACTTCGGGGGATTAGAACAATATACGGAGTACCCCTCGCGGATGTCATAGCCGAAATCTCCCCACTCAAGAGCAATCCCGGTGACTAACCGAATAAGCAGACATTGATTAGTGTAAGCCAAGTTGGAGAAGTTGGAGAAGAGAACTATAAGTGTATGCTATGGAGTAAGTCCATCTATGGATGTTGATATTCACCCGTGATATTTCACCCCGTTATCAGTCGGGTATCTAGATCTGGTATAAGGCAGAGTGTCAACGTACAGGACTAGGCCTTATACAGCGGGAAATGGTCCATATAAATACTACATGAACTAAGCTACATGAACTAAATATATCAATTGCAACTGACCCAACATGCAACTATATCTCCAAGCCCGTCAAAGCTTCGCCGGAATCCTTGATTGGTGACAACGTCACGTGTCCCATGACGTCTTCCTTCGAACCTGAAAATCTTCCCCCATAAGACCACCTCACTTCTCCAACAAACGCTCACCTCCCTCTGCAATTACTTCAAACCTCTCCAGGCAAAGGTTCTGTCTTGCTCGAGTTCTGTGTCTGTGCCTGTTCACCACCAGAACCACTACCTCTCGCTTTGTTTACTTTCACAAGCTATCTCCCAGCTCCCAACACCCAACACCCCGCCCCTTTTGATTAGACCGGAACATCAACTTCAAGTGTCGTTGTACTCCCAATACTCGACACAATGACACTCTATTACAGCCTTGTATGTCCGACTAGTTCGTTCCCAGCATTTCCCTTACTGTGCTGTCCAGCTTTTCAACCGAGGATCGCGGTAGCCTAGTTCCTGAAACTGCCCGCATAGCCCAAGATGTCAACAACACGTTGCTAGATGCGTTTTCGATGCGATTCCATGCTAATGTCTTTCCTTACAGGTTTTCCTCCTCTTGGTGTTCGAGATGGCGGTCTTCCTCGCCCTCGTCGTTCCTCTGCCGCACACCATCAAGCGGAAGCTCTTTGCCTTCGTCTCGGAGAGCCCGATTATCGCTAAGCTACAATATGGATTGAAGGTACAAAATTGCACCGAGCCTTTCTATTCACAATCAGACTGCTAACCGCGTTTTAGATTACATTCATCTTCATCCTTATTTTGTTCATTGACAGTGTCAACCGCGTGTACCGCGTGCAGCAGGAGCTGTCGGCTTTCACCAAGGATGGTCCCGCTGTCGGGTATGTAACCAAGTTCTCCGATTTTATGCCGCAGTCTAATCAAAAAGTGCTTACAGAGCTGCCCATCTCGGTACCGACCGCATGGAGGTCCAGGCCCGTAAATTCTACTCGCAACGCAACATGTACCTTTGCGGTTTTACCCTCTTCCTCTCCTTGATCCTCAACCGCACCTACACCATGATTCTCGAGGTCCTCCGCCTTGAGGACCGTGTCAGACTCCTCGAGGGCGACAAGAAAGCTGGCGGTAAGGACTCTGCCCGTATCGCCGAGGCTGGGTCCCTCGGCGAGATCGGCCGCCTGAAGGAGATCATCGAGGCCAAGGACCGCGACATCGCCACCCTCAAGAAGCAGTGCGAGGGCCTGACCCGCGAATATCACAGCCTGGGCGACAAGGTCTCCACCTCGAAGGGCGATGAGAACGAGAAGAAGGACCTGTAAACTGCTCCAAGTTGTGGGCCTACTCGGGTTATCTGCATTGTTTTGAACCCCGCCAGGCCCAGAATATCGTCCCTCAGCATTGAAAAGCTGCGGTCTGTGCCTGCCTCGCGTTTGCTTTGATTGAGGACCTCGTCCCTTACAATTGGAACCCTCCTGGCAACAAATAACTCACATTCTGGATTGAAAACTGTTCATTACTACCCTTTTCGGTGTATGGTCTGTGCTGCCAATGCAGTTGAAAGGGCTATTGCCCCCGCAGACCTTTCTAAGATTTCGAGGTCCATAGTGTTAACTCAGCAGGACTTATCATATTCAATTAAATCTATTAAATCTTTGCTTTTACCCTTTGCAACTTAATGGCCCCCTCTATCAATTGTATGGCATGGAGACCAACATACTCCAAATCCAATGGAAAAATAAGCGTCATTTCTAAAGATCATAGGGTATTCATAAATATACATATATGGCTCGGCGAGGCTTCAACAGCATATACCATTTAAACCAGGAACGTCCAGAAACTAGGATAAACCAGCTCCTCCTCGAAAATCCGGCGAACCTGCGCAAGCACAAATCGCTCCACCTTGCCAACATTCTTCAAGACCTGCTTACCATCCTCCTTGCGACCAATTTCACTTTCTACCCGAATCTCTTGCAGCAAGCCACCCTGCCTCTTCTGATCCTTTTCTTTTTGGTCAACCCCAGACCGCGGTCGCCCGTCATCACTGGGATTCTGGCTTCCCTGCGACTGTTCTGAGCCGAGAAGAGCATCAGCATCCTCTGCAGACAGGAAGCAGAAATGAACACGCTTGCGGATATATGCCACGACGGCAACGCCGTCAAACGTGATGCCCGTGACGTTCAACTTCAACGGTAGTCCCACGAAGCTAGGCATCGGGTAGTCGAGCAGAATCTCTGCGGTAAGGGACATGCGCACGTCGCCAGCATACTTGGCATGGCAGAGAATTTGGAAGTCCTCTGGGCGGCGCTCGCGCATGCGCGGAGGTATGGGGAAAGAACGGTCCCCTGAGGCTGGATCATCGGGATTCTCTATAGACAGCTGCGGTGCATCGGCGGGATCGCTGCTGTTAGGATTTGACCCGCCACTGCCTGCAGGGCCGTGTGAAGGATGCGAAGGGAGGGTATTTGCGGTTGAGGGTCGGGATGCGGAGTTGGTGGTGTCAAGATCTGCTTCTGCAAGACGTGACGCTGTGATAGGACGGGGTGCATGTGGCCGGTGTCCAGGGCCCATCCCTGAGTCTGACCAGCCACTCGCAAATGAGGTACCACCCGCCACCGCTGCAAGGGGGGTCTGGGTACCTGACAGACCGCCCAGGGACCTCATATGGTACCCGAGTGTTGAAGTACCGCCCGGGATTCCAGGCGTACCAGCGCGGGGCAAGAAATGCGGATTGAGGTGATCACCAAGAGGAGAACGAAGCGCAGACGGCTGGAATCCTTCACCAGGATAAGGATGGTGACTGAAATTGTGAGGGCTATGCGCAGCATTCATAGCCAATTCGTCCTCGTACGGAGATTCGTGAAGCTCGGGCCATTGCTCGGACATGAGCTCTTCGGAGGTAACAGAGGTATCGGCATCGTCATCGTCTTCTTCGTAGAAATCGGAGAATGGTTCACAGAAGTCTTTGATCTCGAGGTCTGGGCCAATGGTTCCGAAGTCAAAGGAGTGGACCTGGACCGAGCGAATAAAGCGTGGTAGGGTTACCTGCTGGAACTTGTCGTGCACGAATGACCGAATCCGCTCTGCCAGGGCTTCCCCATCCGGGCCAGAGGTGGCGGCTGCCCAGTCGACATTTATTGACATCACATGTGCACTGCAACAGCTGATGTTTGTAGAGGGGAGAAGTTGGAGGCGAGGAGTCCCGCGATAAGACCACGTGATTAGAATGATGACATCCTTATCGGTCAATGCGAACCACGGATGATCGCAACTCTAAAGGCAAGTAAGTTATCACTTGCACTTTTCTACATCGACGCCGAGTCAACAAGTCGCTCCTGTTTTAGTTTTTCAGTATGGCGTTTAGCCTGCACTCTGCGGCTGGATTTTCCATTTTCGGATCCCCCCGAAGCTATTGTTTAGTCTCAACTCTAGCGTCCGATGCAATGCCACAACGAATATTTGGGATCGTTTATTGAGATCAGTGTTTTGTGTCTATACAGTTTCACAATCTCTTGTTTGTTCATGTCGGTCAGATCAACAACACCGTGAGATTGAACCGCCCTCGCTTAAGCAAAGAGCTGTTATTTGAAATCGCCAAGAAACGGACTTCGATAGGATCTGCGCGCCGTGTGGAGTGAACTCCTGCCTAGCGGCCTGACCAAAAGATCTGGCTTGAAATCCTTCCACAAGTCTCAATATATTGCCGCTGACCAGCCAAAGTGCTGGTATAAACAGGATAACTCGACTTTCTGAGGCATGGACCACTCAACAGACGGATGGCATGAACCATAGACCCAGGAATCGTCAGAACGACTCACTACCTTGGTACCCCTTGATCCAAAGCCCAGATCAGCTGATACAACCCATATGCGGGTCTAATGCAACCGATGAGGTGCCTGCGCGCGGCTGGTAGCCTATCATCGACCCTAGGGACCACAATCGCGTCTATCTAACTGGCAATTATGTTTCACTGGGCTTAAATGGCTGTCAACGCCCCAATCCCCGAGCACGTTCACCAATGACTAGTGGTCTCCTTCGCCAGCCTTTCCTTTTGTGATTTGTGACTCAACAGGGATTTGGGTGCATCACCATCGTGGTCTAAGAGAAGACAGAGAGCCTCGTGCTCTTTCCCCTTTGATGGTATAATTAGCGGTGACTAATCTGTGAGAGGTCTCAATTCAGTCATATTGTACGCTATTCACACCACAGGGGTATGCAAATATACCAAACCTAGCCAACACAATTCTCGCCATTGCATGTACTGGTACGTACGTCCGACTTCGATCGACAGTCAACCAACGCCCCACTGGACTTCCAGAATGCCCTATTACCGAGCTCGACTTTGGGGAAAGCCACCAAGTGAAGTCCGCCTTGTAGCCGCCGGCTCCAAGTAAGATTTCCCGTCCTCCCGGATTAGCGTATGTTCTCGCAGAGATTTTCTCCCTCCTTGCGATAAACCTTCTTTGCTCGAGTGTTGGTTCCATGAACATGTGGTATGCAGAAGACCTCCTTCTAGATTAATCCTTTTGAACTAGGATAGTTTCTATCGTGTTGGCCGAAGAACCGAATCCCATTAGTTGGATTGATTGAACAAGACTAGTAAACCTTGCGACAAAGGAATTTGTGCATATTATGTAGGAACCATGTACATACGAGAGTGGCGATACTAGACAAGTAATGTGGCTTGATAGCAATAGCAAAGCGTGTTATCTCCCACATAACGATGTGTTAATTGTTAAAAACATAATACCTCGCCTTGTTCGCACGGGAAGTTACTAAAGAAAGATGGGCTCAAACTCGAAAATCAAAGCCAAATACAAGACCGCCCAGAACCCGGAATGCCCGATGATGCAAGGTAATGAGAAAAAGTGACTCAGAATAGAAGAGTGTAATAATGCAGCAGGAAGACCCTTAACAGAGCGGGGCAGTCAAGAACGAGAACATACGCGAGCGCATGGCAATCAAACTCGTGGTGAATAGCCACCTAACGTTGGGGTATCGTGTTCGGTGCCTGTGGTCTCCCATTAGCCGAACCCTATACAAGCGAGGTAATCTAGACCAAGTGAAGGCCGCTGACCTTCGAGGTAAACTTATGTATGCTGGGAGCACTTAAAGCCAGGTCGGTGACGGTCCTGCTCTTTCACACCAGGACAAGTGGGTGTGCCTTTCTTAGCACAAGGGACGACGCCACCTTCCTGCTTTTTACAACCGCAGTCGTAGTGGAAGATGTAGATCGAGCACATTTTGAAATTTGAGAGGACGAAGAACACTGAGGACAAAGATTGAAGACTGAGTTTAGATAGATCGTGATCTCGGATTGATCGATGTGATAGAAAACAAGAAAGGACCGGCGACCACCTTTATAACCGTCTGTGACTCCATCAAGAGAAGCACGATAGCTGCGCCGCTCACTATATGGTAGGCACCACCACTAGAAGATCAGGTCCTTCCACCTGTTGCCTAAGCGCTGTAACTCATTAGGATTTACTCACCCAGATACGCTGTATGCACGAAACGACTCTGTGATCACCTTTCGCGCAGTCAAATAAAGGGCAACTGAGGGCACGACCAAAGGTAGACATGCGCCATTGTGAGTACATCAGCATTTACCAACAGAAGACAGTGTTGGCCGCAGGGGGATCATTAGAGGGTAGCGGCATCCCCGGGAAGACATGCCGATGAACTGGGTTCGACGCCATGAGCAGGGGTTGGTCAGGGTGAGCACTTGATCGATCCCGAAAATCAGTAGCAGCAACGGGTCTTTGACATCATAATCAGGCACCACAGGCATTTAAGGGGCTCATCCTATGCACCATATGAGCACCAACAATAGCCCCACTTCGAATGGGTCCTCTTAGGGCCTGCGCCGCGGCATTTAGAGGCAGGGCGTGACTCTTGCAATTAAAGATCACAGTGAGTATCTGTCACAGTAATTCCGTAGTGGATGGATGCGACATCTCGCAGGCGGCGTTGGAGGTTGAGATGTAGCTGAGTCCCGGATGACCGTTTTGACATTTCAAACACTGAATATGTCAGTACTGAAAAGAATTAGGAACACCCTGTTCGGCCTCAGAGCCAAACAAATATTGGCTTCCATCGAAAACGTCAGAACCAATAAGTGGCGTTCGCATCACCACAGGATGAGACTGTGTTTGATTGAATAACTCGGGAACCAACACCGCTTCAACAGGCCAAATCCTCGCATCGAGGCTCTACAGCCTAAAATGGAAAGACATGTTTTTGTCGACATACGTCTCGATTCGAGTATGTAGACGAATAAGGCTCACAATCATGGCGCAGTTGGTGATAGTCGCAAGTAGTAAACTAGAAAATGCGTTGTGATGAGGCTTTTCCCTGTTTCTAGCCAAAAGGTTAAGCGATCAGGAAAGCAGATCGAGACATAAGCCAAGAAAAAAGCCCTTGAACTGGTATAGTGTCAGCGATATTAGCTGTGTGTGATATTGCCGGCGGTTTTGTCCGATTTAGCGCGATCGTGCGTCTGCGGGGCCCAGGGCGAGGGAATTCAATGAGGGCCTATCAAATTGTTCTAGGGCGAAAATGACTGGTGGAAAGGAAGCTCTTCAATTGCACAGTAGCGCTCTAGGGTAAGGCTTCTTGTTTTGCTCAGCCCAGGAGATCAACTCCGTGCGAGTAGACGCCCGAGGCTACGGGCGGCAAGGCAAAAAACACTGGTCGAGACCGGCCGCTGATCACTGAGCAGAGTAGTTTGGCGCTGTTGGAATGTACAAATGACAAATGGAAATGGAATTGAAGAAATGAATAATTGAAGAAGTTATACACAGCCGCATGTGTGGTACGACACGTGATGGTTCCAGAGATGCGATTCTTTAAATTCAACCTCAAAAAGCTCTCCATGTCCGATCCCCGACTACTACCGGCTTCGGGTAATTTCACGTTCTCGCGATTCCGGGGGATCTCCTCATGATGTCATCCCCGTGTCTTTTCCCTCCAAACAGCAGTCTATTCCGCCGGTTGCTGGAAAGCCGGGTTGATTGTATACCCAATAACTTATAACCGATGTCCCTAGCGCCCACACACCTGCCGGAATGATTGGCCACGAAACACAGACGAAACAAACCGGAACTCGTCTATGGGTGTGTACCGGAAACGATTATTCACGCCTGTGAAAGCCCTTTTCTTGGCCCCCCATCCTGGCCGCTGATCTTCCGAGGTTGGCTCTCGGCTGGCAACGGGCAAAGCATTATTGCGCGTTTACCAATTACGCTTATCTTGCCAAGTCCAAAAACATTCTGAGGAATGACTGTCAGCTGCCCAGACCGACTTGTGCAACCAAAATACCAGAGCCAAGAAAGGCGAATATGTCGAAGCATTTCGAGAGAAAGGGTGATATTCCAATAGCGGTGTCTTGGCTGTACCCCCTTTTTCGGCCAAGACATGTGAAGTTCACGTTTGAGCTTCTCCTTTATGACTTTATGGGCGATAATCGCGGGGAGTGGCTTGTCTGCATGACCGGTCCACTTCATCCCAGTCCTAGATATGATGCACTAGATCGGCATGATTCGGGCACATCATCGATAGCATGCCCCTCATTCCCAAGGTACCTCTTGGCTTATTTTGAGGATAACTATATAAGTGAGGTCCAATCTCCCTCTTTCTGACCCGTTCCAACACACTCTGCCTTCAGTTTACCTTCTACAAAAGATCCCGTCTTCAACCGCTCTACTCCACATACAGTTTTCACATACAAAAACCTCAAAAAATGTACACCTACACTCCCACCCACCGTTTCCTGGTCCTCTCTGCCACTGAGTCTGGGCCATACGACCCCAGCAACAAGTTCCTGGTGCTGTCCCCCACCGAGTCTGGCCCTGACCCTCGCGTCTGGGAGGACCAACCCCAGGTTGAGACTAGTTCAACCGAGCAGAGCCCTAATGTGACTCTCAACCGTGCTCGTACCAACAGCTCTCTTTCAACTTCCTCCTCATCCTCTCTCAATGACCTTGTTGCTACCCTCCCCAACGGGTTCCTCTACCTCGGTCATGGCAAGAAGCACTAGGCGATATCTCAACGACTCGCCTACTCTTCGGTCTTCCTTCCTCATCCATAATTTACGATATACCATTGCCACAGTGACCGATGCATCATTAAGCGCATTTGTTTTTCATTTTTCATTTTGTTTGTGCTTCAGTCAAAGCAGTGACTTGTACTCGGGATTTACGGGACCACCTAAATTGGGAAACAGGTCCGGAAAAGCAGGGGTGTTTCATGGCGCTTATTATTCCCAATCTGTTTTATTCGTTCTACAGATCGTCGCCCTTTCGCTGCAAGCTTACATAGGCCCCATACGGCAAGCTAGCGGTCAATGAACAAGATTTCCGATCTAAATAATTTCCAATCCACTCAATCCACTCGATCCGCTCCTGCCACATACTGTACATAGCATAGCCCACCTGATCAACGGCGGACATCCGGACGCAAGGGATGTCCCTGAATGCTTGGCGGAGCTTGCCAAGATGATGATTGCCCGCCAAGCCTTGTGCAATCTGATACTCCCGCCTTGGCCGGAGGGGGGCAGGGATTGACCGCGGATCATGTTCCACGCAGGCAGCAGTGCCCTTGTGCGCATAATCAGCACCACTTTTGGGGTGCCCACCCTGCCAAGGCCCCCTGTTACGAATCTTGCTTATCAGTCAAGTTTGTTTTCTTTTTCGCAATGCACGTTGATTTCTCCATGAATCAGATTGGTTCAGGTTTGAGGTTACATGACATCTTCTTGGCCTGGTAATGGTGCCAGGCCACTTGTTCGCTGTTCGGTGAAGCCGTCTCCTACCCCTCTATGGGTCTCGCCCATCCCTCTCCGCACGTTTCTTCGGTGAAGATCTGGGGCGATGATGTGCGCTGTCTCTCCTTACTCTATCTATCGTTTCGGTGTCTTCTGAACCAATAGGATCTGCCAGTCACGACACGCCAGATAGCAAACAAGGTCTCGGGTAAAAGGAGGAATTTGCCAAGTCGGTCATTGAATTTCCGAGTTGGCTTGCACGATGCCTTGGACTAGGACTAAGGTTCTCACCGGTCGATTGGAAACGTGAAGTGTTGGATCTGCAATAGATCCATGCTATGTTGCGTGTCGAAAGCCTCGTGGGCACCACAGTACAACTGTGCAATGCTATTTTAAACCGGACACGAAGTGTTTCTTGCTCCACATCTGTGTTAGCACAATATTACCCGTTCATAATACTGTACACAGTCCTAGACTGCTGCTTTAAGAAAAGGGATAGGCATTGAGTTTGAAGCCTTGGCAGTTTTAAGATATAGCCCGACATTCCATCCCTTTGGCAAGCCATCAGCCTCATCCTTTGCCTTTTAGATTCGTCTAGAACTATTCGGCTTATCACAGCCTTGTCCACGTGAGCAAGAATGATAGGCAGGTATGGAGTATACACCCGAGTCAAACCGCGCCTTACTGCTCGATTTTCGCCAGTCACAAAAATTTAGCAGATTCAGCGCGCCCTTAGGTTTCTGAGCTGCCTGTTTACTGGAAGTAAATGCTATTTCAAACAATTAAGTTCCATCGTTCAATAATATGCTTCAAAACTTGTCTTTGCTGGCTTTGACTGTCTTTTGTCCTCATGTTTCGTGACTTAGGAGACACGGTATACTATCCCAAAGCCAGAGACTCTATCAGAGTCACCGACATGCAGCAGATGATAACCCACAACCCCGAAGGCGCTCGGATCTCTAGAGATAGGTCCCGTTATCGATGTGCATTCGCTGTCTGGCCTGAATACCGTCCTTGGATAATGGTGCGTGTTTATTTTGACGGAACTCATACTGACATGCTCAAGTATGATAACTCCAAGGTCCGACGCGCTGTCCTCTCACTAAAGCCGAAATAATGTTAATCTCCCTGTTCGGTTTATGTCTTCAACGAGCCGGTTTTCCTCAGCTGTTCCATAGCTAGTCAGTGGCTATTAATAGTGCTGAGCATGACAATAAAGTGATGTAAAGGGGAATGAAGGACAAATAACTACATAGCTATGGTCCTAAATCAGTCTCCCTAACTGTTATCAAGTTGAAGAAGGTAGGAAACTGGTTAATAACTCGCGCTGGTTGCTTTTGACATCCCCTCCCTCCACCCCTCAGAAACCCCCCAAATTAATCGTCCCAAGGTTTCTCTGTAGATAAGAGTGGGAAATAACATAACTTTACGGTATTGTCAATTACAGGCCCTGTGTCGGGTTCCGAGTAAGCACCTTGACTGTCACTTCGGTGCTGTGGAAGGATGGAAAGTGACAGAGCCTATCGTGAAACACGCTAGTCTATATTAGATTTAGTCATACATCTCCCGTTTGCCAAGAAAGACGCCTGTTTTCATATAAAGTAAAATAATGTTAACCATCTTTTATAGGAAACTGTCGGAAATGGGGATTGACTGTTTGCACTGTTTGCCAGATTACTTAGAAACCCATAAATTGCCAGAACTCAGGGGTAACGTTATAGCAACTTAGAAAGCTTCATATTTATCTGAGGATCCCATAAGGTCGCCTGACTAGCTTTTTATCAGTTATGAGCCCGAGATCGCTTCTTCAACCCATGTTAAGAACGTATAAAACAGTGCAAACATTCAATCCTCTTTTCTTGACATCCCCCAGGTTTTGGGGCTTGGTGAAACCATCTGCTGGCATCTCACCATTTGGAACCCATGAGACGTTTACCCTGCCTGCGCTGACTCTTTGCTTCATCCAGCATCGAGATTGCTACTAAGGTATAGATCATCGTCATCGTGATGGAGCGACAGAGTCTGCTGATCCGCTGTTATGGTGAGGCATTGGGTACCGGATATCACTGCCAAATCAGAGTTCACTTGATTGTCTAGATCACTTACAATATGAGTCGATCTGACCGTATTCATCTATATCTACATTTCCATGGTTTTGCAATAATGCCACACCTTCGGTGACAGCAGTTGGTTGTAGCGCATGACATCATCTTGGAGCTTGGAGTCGTCACGGACCCCATCGATGGAGATGAAGGGGATTCCATGATGCAGAGTCATACTCGTGACCTCGTTTAGCGTTGCATAAAGGACAGGAGGCCTCGCAGGTCGATGGGAGATTATCAGCGATTAGTCTGCATAGTGCATGACCATCAACAGAGCTCTCTACTCGTATTTCTACCAGCCTCGCAGGACACGGATGTGGTCCTAACAAAATTGTATTTATCCTTATCACCATCCTGAAATACCGCTATTGCCTATAGCCTGTCGTGGCAAATTCTTGCTATTCGATGGTGTCTAACTATCTCTTAGTACTCCAAAATGCCATTTGGATCGCTCTCAGTATCCAACGCAGCCATTCCACAGTATGCTCCTCCGTATCCCGTGAACGGCAGCTACTATACAAGTGAAGCTTTTCTCACTGTTACCTATCAAACAACGGTGCAATGTGTGCGTCATCTTGTGCCGGACATGCTAGAGCTCGAGGACGAGCCACAGGTATCAGTAATGATTCTGAAGCACAATATGACCTCATTCGGTCCATACAATGAGTATGTCCACTCGGTCAAGGTCAAATACCACGGCGACACGTATGACTACTTTCTTTCCCTCATCCTAGACGACGACGCACCAGTATCACATGGCCGCGAGCAATACGGCTTTCCCAAGAAGTTGGGGAACGTGGTGTTAGAGTTGAAAACTGGATCGACGGTCGTCCACGGCTACGTTGAGAGACCTGCAGGTCAAAAGATTGTTGAAGTTGGTTTCCAGCCTGAACAGAAAGTGAAGGGCACGGCTGAGAGAACGATCCATGGGTTAAATTTGCGAGTCATCCCCGCGGTGGTTTCGGGTCAGAGTCCGTCGGTCAAGGAGCTAGTGCCAGTCGACATCAGTATGGAGGCAAGCGAGGTTTGGCAAGGATCTGGCTCTGTCTGCTTCCCAGAGCCATCAAGGTTCGATCCGATGCATGAAATCAAAGTCCTTCGCTACCAAACAGCGACTCTGTTGCGGAATGCATCCCTTACAATGCCTCTGCCGACAAAAGTGTTCCAGCTATAATCATACTATAGTTCGTGCTCAAATGGATGCGTGTCGACCATTAAACTCTAAAGCTGTTTCATTTACTCTCACTAATATAGGGACAAGAAGGGCTTTAAACGGTGCCCTAAGTATATCTTCTAGATTACCCCTAGCAGCTAGGGATGCGCATAAATAACAGAAGGGGAAAGGTCTCGAGTGCCAGGTATTATCTGGCACATATGAAAATCCGATACTGACTGATTAAAACAAATGCATTGCGGCCTGTTTGACCATACTTGGAACGATCTATGTGGACATCACAAATGAAGTAGGGAAAGAGATTCCGAGCGACCACTTCCCCGGTTACACTGGTTCATTACTGCTCTTTTATAGGAGCAACCAATGATTGCGGAATTGGCATGTTATACCTTTAGGAGGTAGAGTAGCCGTGCTTGTTGAGCGCTTCAGCTACCTGGACCCATTCGTCCTTGGTCAGATCGCTGTACTGAATAGCGTCAGATCCCATCGGGGTGGGAACAGGGCCGCCCTCCTGGGTAGGGTCACCGGTAAGCACGGTAGCGAGGTCCATGCAAGCAGGGGGAAGGCCATCCAGTCGCACTGTAATAATCAGTCGTGTTTCATCCAGTGCAGTTTGTGACTTACAGTTGTTGGTTCCGGAGAAATGGACATGCGCACCATCGAGCTGACCCTGGCATAAGTCCCAGGAGTTCTGCGAGACTCCGGCTGGCAGATTCACGGGAGAGCGGCGGGTGCTTGATGAGATTCCGTGGCCGACACTAGCAGCACCCGCACCGCCGAGGGCAGCACCTCCAAGTGCGCCATCGGCGGATGCAACGGTGGCTGCAGTCTCGACGCTGGCTTCGGCGATGAGAAGGAATGGGGCTGGGGCGTACTGCACCATCGAGAGGATGGCGGTAGCGGAGACGGCAGCTAAGCTGAGAAGGTGCATTGTAGCGTGTATGTGGTGGAAAAGGACTTTTAAAATAATAATTGAGATATTGAGACTTTGGATTCAAGGCTTTTGTTGTTTGGGGAAGTGGGTTGATGGATTTGAATTGAACGGAGGAAGGGAGCTTGCTTTATATGTGTTTGGCGACTCAGCAGTGACTCGAGGTTGACTGCCGACTCGATCGAGACAATCTTTGTCTTGGGGGCGGTTTGTCATGCCCGGTTGTCATTGAATCGCTCAATGAATCCTTTGAATCCCTTCGTATCCTATCATGGGTGGCCTATGAGGCTCAATCATAGACTGTGCCATTGTAATATCGCCCCCATCTCCAGGGGCCTGGTGGGTAGACCTGCAGATGAGCCACCGGTGGAGCTTGAGTCGACTCCAAGATAGTAACGCCTCACCAAACATGGAAGCTTCGGTGTCGGGTTCTCCATGTAACCCTTTTTGGCCCCATGATGTAGCACGTAACAATGAAGTCCGGTGGATGAAGAATGGCCCCTGAAGGATTCAAAGCAACATTTGATTATCAAAATCAAGCCCCATTTTAGCATGTTGCATTGCATCCAATATGCGTCACTAAAATAGTTGGACGAATTGCTGGTTGCTGTACAATATTGAAGTATACAAGGGCACATAATAATTTTCGAGACTACAATCTGCGATTACTTTTCAAGGGAAAATGAGCAACAAAAAGCCTCTCCCTAAATCAAGCCGAAACCAGTGGGAATCCTGCGATTATTGCGTGAATTACTCGGCTTGTTGAGGCCGCAAAGACACCAGAGCACGCTCCACACATCCATCTTCTCAACGCCTAACAGGCAACATTGCTCCATTCTTTGGCCCGTTTAGTTATTTTGGGACACTGTTTTCTAACTCGAGTTTGATACTATCAGCTCAAGGGTGAGTACGTCGTGGGGCAGCATTAAAATGCCTCATTTGGGGGCAGGTTGGATAATCTAGTGCCAATCTCATGTTTCTAGGTGTTTGTATGATAATGGTGGGTAAAGGATTCCCCATTGAAGATACAGGTTCGCCGACCTGCCATAGAGTATAGTGGGTATGGCCCCCTGAACCATGACATCCCGGCCCGAGAAGTTCAAAGCGTCGTGACAAGGCTTCGTCAACCAACCTTCTATGGTAATGGGGGCGGGAATATCATGAAGATGAAAGATTTGGGGGCTCCTACTAAATAGGAAATTGCAGCAGCACCCTCAGGGATAAATAGAGGCATCTTCCCGCCTAATATACTTCTTTTCTCATCGTCAACTACTCAATTATCTTTGACCTCAATCCAAAAAAGCTTCCCTCCAAATCACATCCTTTCGACTACTTTTTGCCAGAATGCACTTCTCCAAGGCTGTCTTTATGGGCTCTGCTGGCCTCCTTGCCTTCACCCAAGTCTGCCCCGCAGCAATCACCGAGGTTCTGATCGGTGTTCTGGGCGGTGTTGTGGCCGGCGGAGTCTCCGGTGGCGTCGGCGCTGCAGAGAGCAGCAAGCGCGATATCGAGCAGGCCCACGCTCGCGACTTCCTCGCTCCCTACTTGAACAACAATAATGTGAAGAAGATCCGCAGCTTGCCTCCTGGCGTCTCCCAGGAGTCGTTGGACCAGTGCACCCAGCAGATCAACGACCAGGGCAACCCCGTCCACGTCTACAGTATCAGTGACACTGGTAAGTTTCTCTTTCTTCACCTTCGCGTATAAAACCGTTAATGTGTATTTGCCCAGCTGCTCGGGCCGATAACGTGCCCGCTGCTTGCATGGACCTGGCTACCGTCATCCTCAGCGACCCTGCCCAGGCGGGCGGACCTGTCCCAACCCCGATGGGCAGTTCTAGTCTTCAATACAACGGTCTTAGTTCCAAGGATAAGACCGACCTGCAGAACGCCCTTTCCAAGACTGGTTCTCGCACTTAAGTGGGAGGTGTAACCGATCGAACTTCTTTGAAGTTTTCATTATCTGAAATTTGTTGAGTACATTAGAGAAGTCGCCTACAATTAGAATTCATTCGAGTATTTATCTATATTCGCGTGTAAGCCCTAAAGAGATAAGACTCCACATGGAATGAAATCAGGACATCTGGAATTTGCAGATGACACTACGTGACCCACAATGCTGGGGGCCGTCTCCACTTTCAGGGGAAAAGCTTAACTGGCTCATGCTTATGTCGTCATCGTCATCTATAGTTGATACGCTTTCCTGTTATGGATAGGGCCAAATGCTGCACAGCCTCGTACTTCCTACACATGATCTTTCCCTCTTGCAAATGAAATGCACACATTGATTTTCTATTTTGGTTGCGTATCTTGTTTTCTGACTAGCAATCGCCCTATGCTCTAGCTGCACAATATATCTTGCCATATTCCCACTTAGGCACGCTCCAAAACATGAATGCGAATACCCATAGAAAACCAATTGCTTTGTACACACCCCATCTCTCGGCCACGCGACTCCACTCCATTAACATTTTATTTCTCCCAAGATACGCTGTCCAACAATTGGTAGCCACCATCTCAATCATGGTAGCACCGCCATTCATAGAAAACCACAATGTATCCCTCCAAACTTCGCAACGCCCCGTTTGCCAGCTAACCAGGGAGTGCACGGCTCCAGATAAGAAAAAGGCTAAGCTCAGTACTACAATCTTTTCCCAGGTACCACCCGGCGGGAAACGAAACACTCTTCGAGACACCCATAGCCCGTAATTCTTGTATGGTCTATACACGAGACGATGCCAAAACCGGGACCAGAAATAGCGCAGTGTATACGCCTCCGCGGGATTACCGAAGAGCGGCGGCCACTCCCAAGGCTCGTCCCAGCGGAGGATGCAGGAGAATAAGATGGCAGCAAATGTCTGTGCAAGATGCAGAACTGCAGAGTTGGACCAGATCCAGTGTACGGCGAAGACACAGCGCAAAAGAGTCTCCCGGACTGTGATTGCTGAACCCATTAGTAGGCGACGAACATATGACTGCTTCGTTGCCGAGAAGTCAGCGACTGTCAGCGGTGCAAATGCACCCGGCAACAAAGGCACCATCATGTACCGAGCTACCAGGAATAAAATGAGCAACTCGGCTAGACGGCGAACGAGGAACGCTGTTCGAGATGGCCGGGTCCGCATCATTGGAGCGCCCGGGATTGCGCGAGGGGTATGCAGTAGTTGTGGGTTACTCCAAATTTTGTAAGCTGCGTGGAGATCCCATGGTTTTGGATGTATTGTGGGATGCAACACCCATTGCTCAATGTAAAGGACGGACATCATGTTTGCGACATGGATGAATCCAGCGTGGCCCCAAACAGAGCCCAGCCCAAGCCCGGGGAGAGCAACATTGATGTCTTTGATTGTGAAAAACGAAAGTGCCGCTGGGACGAGGATTGGGAGAAGGAAGTAGATTCGATATGGCTGGGAGACATTCAGGGCCACGCAAGAGATGAGAGATGAGAGTAAGCAGGCAATGACAGACGCTATACCACGGAGAAGCGACATGGCCATCTAGTTTACAGAAGCTTGAGGGTTGTGGTTTTTGCTGTGCCTCATCATATCATTTTATTTTCTTGTTATGTATATTCTATTTTAAGTGACCGCTCGGCTCACTTTGATGCCTCTTCCTATATTCGTGAACTTTTGGCCCCATTCATTCGAGGTGTTCCGCATTGAGGAAAATTTAGGAAATCAGAAGGATTGGAGTAGATCCAAGGCGAGTTGGCTAACTGGACAGAAAAGCGCCTCGTGTTGGGGGCTATTTTGGTTAAAGGCTTAATTCAACCTGCTGTGGGGTCCGAATCATTAAAGGATCGGCGTGCAAAGTCATCAAAGTCAGACATGGCCCCCGTTTGGGGGCCAATTGCACTTCCGCGGCTTTTCTCTTCTTTTCTGGTCTTTTCTTTACCCTTTTTCTTTTTTGGCTGATATTGGGGGCTAGAAAGCTTCTTGGGACGACATACGTGTACGTACTAACTTAGTCCGCGGGAAAGGTTACTCTTCCATTCCAATACATTAAAACCAACAGGGCTGTGGGGCTGAGTTTCAAGAAACCCCTCATTTTCCTTCTCCGAGTCAGTTTCTGATGTTTTCGGCCGTTGCAATATTTTAAGGAAACGAGCCTTGAAGTTATCGAACACATTGGCTGCAGTCAAGGATACTACCAGCCTTCGCATCCCAGAGACATGGCACCGAGTGTTTCCAACGTCAAACAGCCCATCGCTATTCGGACCGAGTATACAGTTTCCGATCCTACGTCTATCAGAGTCAAACAGCACAGTCTGAGCCTGTCCGGGGGAGAGTTCACAGTGTCCAAATGGGAACCCGATCAGTCTTCAAGGCTTGAAGATTCTCCCGATATTCTGTCTGTTACTGGGAAGGTCACGTCTTTCCATCAGAGACGCCATTTCCGAGACCCTTCTGGGCTTCCGTTATTTGAGCTTTCAAATAAATCCTTGGGCTCGACACGCTTCGTCAACTTGCCAGGTGGTGGCTCTGGATCAGAGCCAATTGCTATATTTGCGCCACGATTTGACTGGCACAAAGACAAATTTGATCTTTATGTCAAAAATGCCGTGGCAAATGGAGAAGAAACTCTTCTAGAAGTGCGGGGTCAGGACGTTTACAAATTGAGGACAAATGTCTGGGCCAATGGGGCCTTGGTGATGACTATCAAGAGGACAGACAGATATGCCCCGTACATTCCGTTGAAGAGACCTGAATGGCAAGTGGATGTTGGCGGGGGAATGGATTTGTCGCTGGTGAGTCTACTTTCCCTCATTGGGTCCGTGTTGAAAATTGAACTCGCATCTTAGGCCTCTTGCATTGTAGTCTATATGGCGGAGACGATGTACCATCCTAGCATGCCATCATCGCATGCATCCGCGGGTCAGAACGACCAGGGCTCATCACAGGAAGCAGAATTATCGGAAATGGGGAAGATGGAGTAGGGTTTAGAGTACGGGTGGAGACCTTTACTGGAGGAGTTTGATTATTCCATTGACAACATTTCAAGGCTAGTTCGTATTTCTATAAAGTAAGATAATATACGGATCTCAAGCGAGAAACAAAGATAAATTATAAGCTACACGCTTTCTTGGCGGGTCTTGGCCCCCATTTATCCTGCGTTACATTCAGCCCACAAATATAAAATAACCCAGGCGCCCCAGACCCTCCCTCAATCTACGCTGAACGCAAAGGATTTTGATTCTCAGACAAAGACACACCATGAAAATACATTGCCATTTTAAAAATGCCCTAACTTTTTTTCTATTTCTTTCTGTTCCATTGATGATATGGAAAGCCCTTTGTTTGACTACTGCGAGTCCCTACCCTATCGTGGTAGTCATCTCCGAATCTATGGCACCGGCATTTCACCGAGGGGATATTCTCTTTCTCTCGAATCGGCAATATGAGGTTTCCGTTGGCGATATACCGGTTGTATGGTTTCCGGGAAATCCATTACCCATGGTGCACCGTGCCATCCAAGTTCTAGTGAACAGCGACAGGTATTTACTTCTATAGATGCCATTCAGCGCAATCCAGCATGCTAACGTTAGAAGGCAATATATTCTCACGAAAGGAGATAACAATCCAACTCATGACATGTCATTATATCCGCTCGGTCAGGCATATGTGGCTCGAGAGGAAATTGTTGGGTTGGTAAGAGGGTATCTGCCTTGTGTGGGATGGGTAACAATAGCGCTCAGTGAATATCCATGGCTGAAAGGGGTAGGAATTGGTGTATTCGGAGCCATAGGGATGCTTACTTGATAGTCTGAAGTATTTGGCTGAATCTCCCTGGAGTTTTGCATCTAAGCAGCCATAAGATTTGACCTGGCCCCATCCCCTCTCAATTGTGATGCAGCCAGATTCTCAAAGTTCTATTCCTATTTATAGTGTATCCAGAGATCATGATAAAGACGACCCAACTATACGTGACATATTGGTATCCCGGACGGAGACCCATTCTGGCCCCCTGGCCCCCCTGCTCACCCCCTGCCCTGGCCCCCAAAAGTTACCCCACAAGGCCCGCACTGTCCTGAATTTCTAATTGAACGTGCCTACTTGAAACGACAATGTGTTATGCAGATCAATGGTACGAGGCAACGAAGCACCTCTCAAGCCCAAGGGGCCGAAGCTTAGCATGGGTCATCCAGTCTTGCCATGGGCGAAAATAGCTCACTACGTATAGGTATCCAATGACGATGTACACAAGTTCTGCTGTTGGATATTATGGCGACTAACTTATATAGACCCCATCTTTCGACTGCTTAACTCAGTCATTAAACCTTTTCACTAGCCTCTAGCAATCCTCGCCCAGATTCAGCAAGAGAGAAAAGCATTCGCTGTGTAGGTGAATTGCCGAGCGCCTGCTCTGTTATTTGGCATGTGGAATCGCTAATGGACAGAAACTGAAGCTCAAAAAGAACCCTCTTTCTCCTACGTCGCAACAGAGAACAGCACGTACAGATGCCTCAACCCAAAAACGCTTTTGCGGACGACGAGTCCTTGGAGATTGGCAAGCTACCCCAGAAGCCAAAACCTAACGTCTTCCTTCGCGTCTGCGGTGCTCCGTGGAAGGAGCTTTCTACACTGGAAATGTCTATGAGGGTCGTTGGCTGGTTGGTTTTTTGGGTCGTGATAGGCGCCATTATTGGTCTCATCATCCGGTTTACATGAAATGAATAGAGGGGTTAGAAGACTAGGGGAGGGGTTATTTCATAGCCAGCTTTATTGTCAATTATCAAGGATCTGTTTTAATTTCCAAGTATGATGAAGTTTGAAACTAAACAAGCAGCCTCATTTAGGCCAATAGTTCGAGAGAAGATCTCAGAAATTTCATGGTGTAGAAGTAGTGTGAGCTAGATGAGGCGCGAAGGCATTTGGTTCGAATGACGGTCAGGCCGCTAAGGATGCTGGAAAGAAGGGTGTCATGTTCCGCTATGATGCTGCTTCTTGTATAAATTGCTTTTGAAACCAGCGAAGGCCTATCTTATCGGACGTCCACCCGTTCGAACTTACCTCGAAGCGCTAGTCGAGTGGAAGGTCTCTAAATCATGCTTGATTGTAGTGCTTGCCCTTAAAAATAAGCGTCGATGGAAGGGCCTACCCTAAAGCGTTGACTAACTCGATTGCGGTTACCCACATGACCTTTCGTATGCCTTCTGCTGCCGCTTCATCTCCACCTGTATCCATAAATATGAAGTCAGCGCCCAAACAATAATATAGGCAAAGAGTATGCCTAAAGACGATCCAAACGCAAAGTGGAATTCTAAAGTCCATATGATAGCTGACAAACAGCCAAGATAGACACTTATCCCTAGAATCCACCAAATAGTGAGAAATAGGAACATGCGTCTAAAAGCTTTGGATGAATCATAACGCAAATTCAATCGTATTCGGAATTCCCGATCCTGGAGACCATCAACAGCGATAAAGTCTTCAGCTGCGTAGTATACAAACGGGCGTAGTGGCGTCCCTCGAGCTTGTGAATCAATGCCAATCGGTATATTGAACGGTACCAGCGTGACGAGTATGAGAATTCCGAGAAAGCCCATAAGGAAAGCTGGAGAATAGAGATAGAGAGTCGGGATCTCCTTGCTGCCGCCGATGACGAACGGGATTAATGCACAAATCATGGAGACACCGTAGACCCAGGACGTGGCATCAAGCTCCCATCGCGACCGTGACAAGAGTGGAGCACATTCCTTCTGGTGCCAAAGAAGACGACAGGTGCGGGCAGCTAAGACATAAAGCTCCCCTAAACCGAAAGAGATAATAGCATAGCCTAGAATATGCTTGTTGAATTCAGCTTCTGCGTAACAGCATCTTTCGTGGTTTTGACAGTCGCTCAGACACCGAGATCGACGTTTCTTGAACCAAGCGTAATATATTATGCAAGGGACTAGGAGATCAAAGATTACAATCATAGGAACTCCCAGAGTGATTGAAAGATGATCGCTGAGCTTTGGGTCCTTCTGAGCAAGCTTCCCACACAACGGATGTGGAGCGGATCTTCCTTGTATGTCTGGTAAGGAGTCTTCCATCGGAGCAGTCTTCCTCGTGTGTTGGGCTATCTATGTATGTATGTATTAAAGAAAGGGATGAGAGCAAAATTGATTATTTTCTTGAAGTCGAGCCTTTCTCTTTCTATTTCCCCAAAAGTAAAAGAGACGCCACAAATCTATGACAGCAGGTCAAATCAGACACGACGCACTATTAGTGAGGATTTTCATTCTACAAACAAGGTTTATTTCGCGTCATTGATGAGTGGTTAATGAACCATTCTTCCGAGTTCACCCACTCATAATGTTTGATTTAATCGTTTCCAGTAGCCGAAGCTTCCTATTGGTCCGTCGTATGATCGCAGATAGTATGGCATATGCTAGTTATTACTTAGCATTACTGTAACTCCATAGAAGATTATAATACATGCCACGAGCTTTCCACATCGTCCGCAGGCCATGTGTTACGGACAAGCTACTCACCAATTAATTGCGGTCCCGCAACTAACGTATTCGGCATGCGAGCTGGCCGGGTAAGCGAGCTGGCCACCCGCCCAGAAACACATCATTTAATTAGACCGTCTTTATTCAACCACCCACCATGCCACTAATTCGCACTCAAAGCTCTCAAAAACGTACTGAGCAAGAGGGTAGGACCTTATTAGCTATGAAGCTATTCAGAAATTCAACATTGTCAATGACAGCGGTGAACGAATATAGAAACCTATGCAGTTCGTTTTCGGCGCTTTAGGTGATACTACTAAGACGCGCCGGGAGCGTAGAGCGGAGGACATAAAAAAGCTCTGCAGCCTTGCGTAAGGAGCTAATGAGAGAATGCACTAATCTCGGTGAAACATCGTCCTATTGTAAACTTTAATAGGTTTCTTGTCCACTCCTATGGATTAATTCTACCCTCGTGTTTCTTACCATCTATTTATTTTGTTACTAAAGGGGAATAGATAGGTGGCCGGCAAGTCGTAATAGTTATATGGTTAAGTATTCTCATTACGATCATCACTATTCCTATACGCTTCTTGGAAATAATCGAGGAGTTCCTCTAATCTAACTTAGCATAGCAAGCAAATAAGTACTTAAGTAACTGTTAACCACTTCGGGATTATAGTCACTTTGCAACTTTCTTTTATTACCCTTAATACGCTCGCTAGCGTAGTTACTGTATCCCTAGCTTCTACCTTACACGTAAGACGCGCTAACCTCGAGACCTTTATCTAGCACGAGAAGTTAACTACCCTTTAAGGTGTCCTTAACAACCTCGGCCCTAATAGTAACCTCTCCCTGGGAGCGGCACTAGGTGTTACTATCGCCGGAAATTCCGAGACAAAACCCCCCTTATATGTTTTTTTTTCCTATTTTAGATACCTAAAGAACGGGTTATAGAGGCTAACATTATTAACTTTATTTTAAATATTGAAATGGGGATGGCACGATGGCAGTCTGACGCAGCAGACGGGTCGATATCCATGGAGACAGCACAACCAACCACTCCCATGTCCAGTACAGACGTAGAGAGCAGTCTCTGTAGGTGCCTATCGCACTAGAAATGAAGCTATATCATGAAAGAAGAATCTGGTGGAAAACTGTAGTCATATTGATGATGGTAGGATGATGCTGGTCTCCAAGAAAAGACTGCATGCAAGCTTCCTAAGGCATTTGCGATACCTCAGGCCACTAATACGCTTCTGTCACGGGTTCCACCACTACACTAGTTAATAGGCTCCATCCTATAAACACTAGAACCCAGGGGTACCTGATTGGAACGAAGCGGAGTATAAAACTAACCCTAAAAATTACGGCAGAGCGCTCCATTTTCTTGGCGAGTCCAGGCTTCACTACCAACACAATTATGACACCAAAGAAGTCCATCGGGGTCGTACTTTTGCTTAATTGCGTGAAGTCGTGGGTAGTTAGATCCCCAGAAAGACCACTGCCAGTTAGGCTCATACGAATTTGCCTGTCCATGTTAACATCTTTGTTTGAAGGAGCGAAATAGAGGAAGCGAAGGATTATCTTACCTCGTTGACATAGGCACCAGTATCAGGCGCCAATTGACGCAATGCATATCCTCGTTTAAAGGTCATGTCATGGATGGCTTTCTCCCTCAGATCATCTGGGAGTGTGTCATCCCATGTTTGCGTTATGATGATATGGACGCCTGACTCTCGCCAGGCCGGGTTTAGAGCATTGTGAACAGCAATTCTGCTCGCTGTCATGGTGCCGGAGACAGATGGATTGGAGACTCCTCTCTGGATGCTATATTAGCTCATTCTAGACTTTCGTAATATTCAAAGAAACGTTATACATACCCCTGAGAGGGAATCCGGATCCATAATTGACTCCAGAGTCCTTGCAAGTAATTGGGTGTCTTTCATTGCTCGCCTGGGGATGAATCGTGATGCCCGGGTACTATGCGCTGCTCCTGTGCTCCCGTAGAGCGGTATATTCTTCACAAGGTCGTACCAAGACGGTGTCCATTGTGCAGTAAACTGGGAGCTGACTGTCGTATTTGCTGCTCTCAGTATTTCCTGCATAGGCATCAAAAGTGTGTCTGATGACTTGTTCCCTCCATTATACTGCATCAAAGCGACACTAAATGAGATTGGGGAGCTAGACAAGGTATAATACCCATGGATTCCAGCAGCCTGTAAGCGGGGGAACTCGCTATGCATCTGTGCAACGAGGCTATACCATTCCTTCGTGGTTGTGTGGTTCTGAGGGGACACATTGATACCCATCAATAAAGTTGATGGCATCTTGTATGCTTTGACCGTGATACTGATGATGATACCAAACGTACCTCCACCCCCACCACGAATCGCCCAAAAGAGATCCTCATTTTGGCACGCATTCACTTTTAGGACGTCAAAGGTCGGTGTCACAACCACAGCCTCAATGATGTTATCGGCTCCCATACCATACACACCAGTTGCAAGACCATGGCCACCACCGGTAGCCCATCCAACGACTCCAACATCCTATAAACGTCATTAAGATCCTGCTATGTCAAAAGTAAGAAAGGAGAAAACAGAGCTTCACACACATTATTTTCACCGCCAACAGCAATAGCATTGTGCTTTGCCATCGCTGCAAACAACTCGCCGTCTTGCACACCAGCACCCAGAGTGGCCGCCATGCCTGTCTGGTTGCTCAAACAAGTCCGCGGAGTGAATCTTTCATGATACTGAATGTTCTTCATGTTATGTGTCCAGATTCTGTCTGTATTAGCCAGGTTTCTTTACCTTAAAGACGATTAGGTACATACGAAAGACTTCCCGGGTTGATGCTATATGTTTAGATTAGTCACTTAATCTTGACCAGCCTTAGATCGATCTGGGTGTAACACTAACCTTCTCTCGCCACTATGTCCTGTGTTCTTGATATTGAGCCGCAAGTTCCATTTCTTGGCAAAAGCAACTGCGTGTTGCACATCTTCGGCCCCTGTCGCATTGACAACATATGGAGGGTAATTGCCCAGCGAACATCCTTGCTTCCCGGCATTCGGGTTGCCCGAGATGCTGGTGCCATTAGGGAAGATAGGAGTGCAGGCATTATCTAGAGAAGGGTCTCCAACACTCGCGGGGTCTGCTGAATGAAATGGCCAAGTAGTCCAGTTGGATAAAACAGATTGACAAGCCTCAGGGTTGAAACCAGGTTCAGAACGGTAACAAACAGATGCCACAGGCAATGTCTTTATCAGACGACCCGAGATAGTGTTGTTGAGTGACGTCCATTCCGAAGTTGAAGGCCAACATGGCATGGAAGGGATCTTTAGTTGATCAGAACAAGTACTGGGAGCAAGATTTGGCGATAACTAACACATTTACAGTCAGTCGCGGCACCAACGCCACGTCCCAGAAGACATCCCAAAAGTAAGAATTTGAGTCGCATGACTGCAGGGGTGAAAATCGTAATCTGTATATTTCTCAATGGCGAAGGCAGGTTGGCAGCCTTATATACTTCGCTTTCTCATCGGATTTCCATTTAAGCGGAGCGGAGTCTCCAGTCTCAGGGGTCTATTACCAAGCCCAAATTCCTACACATAGAATTCGAACCCATAATCCTCGTTTTGCCGTGATGTCAGATCTCAATCTCTCATTCATCGATCTACGCAACATGGTGGGATTTTCTAACCCAATCTGGCAATTTTGTCGTATTCGCGACAGGTCAGAACCATAAACGGACCAGCTTGGCATTTGAAAAGATATTTATATACTTAGCCCGGACGATTCTGGTTCCATTTTCAGGAGTCTAGCGTATCGCATAGTTTTCGTTTCTTCAATCTTTCGCTTTTTGCTCACTTATTATAATCGATTTCGTCGAATCTTTCCTCGCGGAATTCGGGTTAATCGCGCGATATTGATCACGACTGCGAATAACTTGATATCGATGACGCCATTCCTTGTTCGAGGACTAATTCCGCTCAATGGGCGTAAGTCGCACACGAAGTCTCGGAATGGCTGTGTCGTATGTAAAGGTCGACGGATCAAGGTGCGCATTCCTTGTCTAGTCTCTGCTATGAACAAATGCACACAGGGGCAGAAAGCACCCATAGGATCACCAATGCTGATCAAGATATTAGTGTGATGAAACCAGGCCAAGTTGTCGAAACTGCATACGCTTCTCGGTGGATTGCCATTACTTACATGGTTCTCCAACTGGCTCTCAACTCCCGCCCACCATCTCTAGTAAGCCCAATGAGATATCGAACTCACCATCAATCCGGTTACGGTCCAAGAAGGCGTCTGGAAGACCGCGAAAGGTCTGGCGCTCTTCATTGCACTCATTACGACAACCAGACCATGGTTCTACGATCCAAGCAGAATCGGATAGTACCTCTCTCAACTTGACTCATCTCGAACTCCTTCATCACTATTCAACCTCAACGTGCAACACCTTCTCAGATGAACCATCTGCAAGACTTATGTTCCGTGTTCAGGTTCCGCAGATGGGCATCGAGCAACCATTTCTTATGCACTTGCTTTTAGCATTGGCAAGTCGGCACATTCAATTTCTGACCTCGGAAGAGAACAAGAGCACTCACTATGCTGATGCCGCCGAGCAGCATTTTGCTATCGCTCTGCCACAGGTGACACAAGCTTTAACTCGTCTGGACCATCAGAATTGTCGAGTCTTCCACATCTCTTCGCTTCTCATATGTTGGTATATGTTATCAAGAGGCCCTAGTCCAGGGGAATACCTGGTTTTTAGCGATCATGGTCCACCGATGTGGCTGCCTCTGCTTCGTGGCGTGCGCACACTCGGGGAAACAGAAGGATTTGAGGGGGTTTTCAATAACACTGCTTTATCAAAAAGTGCAGATAAGTTTCCAAATGCTGATGCACCGACAGCGGTCAGGTTAAATCTGCCAAGAATAAGTTGGCAGAAGCGCTTTCAGGAATTGGGGGGATTGATTTCCGCAACCGCGCCGACAGATTCTGTCGAGATCTACCTGGTTGCGCATGATAGACTAGCCCGGAACTATGAGGCAACCTACGGCGACGATGAAAACAGATCCTACAATGGCAATGCTATCCACCAGATGATCTTTCAATGGCTATATCTCATGGACGATGAATTTGTGGACCGAATGCAACAAAAGAAACCTCACGCGCTTCTCATTGTGGCAAACTTTGCCTTGCTTATCAACCTTTATGATTTGTACAATTGTTGGTTTCTTCGTGGTTGGGCTACACATATTCTGTGGGGGATTTATCATTCACTGGAGGATGATTATCGAGTCTGGATGCAGTGGCCCATGGAAGCGGCCGGTATTGAGTGGAATCCTTTTGTCTATGAGAAGCGGTGATCATGGAGAGGTTACGGCGTAAATATTTCGGGTGTCTAAAAGGGCCACCTTGCCAATTAATGCGGTTGAGTTTGGCTTTCTGTAGGCATGTGCAATATGTAACATTTAATGATTAGTTCATACGGTAACTCAACAAGATCATATATTAAGGGCGATGCTAAAAGGATCCCCTCTTCGGACCCCCTCTCCACCTGCCTAAGCCTAATTAGAGAAGGCGTAGTATGTGTATTTCACGGTGTCTTTTTTTAATACAGTGACAGCAAATGTTTTAACACTATTAGACAGACCGTTTTTGAGACCGTTTTTTAGACCATTTTTTAGACCGCTTTTTAGACCCCCTATCGTAAACCGAAGAGTAAGTCTATATCATCTTACTTTGTAAACATTTTTGCTTTAGTGAGTGCTTTTTATAGAAGATAAGATTCCACTGTCACGGCGTGGCATCTAGGGTGCGCACGCGTACAATTGTGCGTACTAAGTAGTATATGTATCGGTCCTGGGCATGTCAGCCGTCAGGCTGATATAGTGGTCTTTTTGGCCTAGTTAGTATACGTGTATTAAGCTGTGTGCAAGTCTTCACACACCCTACGAGGCCTATTGTCTCCCTCTACGCGCTTTTGTTCATTTTTACTAAGGAAATACACTATGAAATACACATACTAAGCCTTCCCTAATTAGGCTTAGACAGGTGGAGAGGGGGTTCCGAATATCAACAAGAGGGAGTCCTTTTAACGTTGCCCTATATTAATGAAGCAATTTCGAAATGTTTAATGACTACTTGAAAAGCCCGGAGGCAGCCAAATAAGAAACACTCACTCCACCGTGAAATCGCTGTCTGATTCAGGCATCTTAAGTGACACATACTATTACTCTATTCTGAAGGCGATGTTTGCGTTTAGGACTCTAGTGCCTAGAATGTGGGTAAATGGAGGTTTACATCAACCAATCGCTTGATTTTCGTTCCGCAATTATGGAGCGCAGTACGTGCTAATTGTGGTTGATCCCAAATAATAGTTAACATGCTCATGTTAGATGTTTGATGTCAAGCTGGGTTCCTAAAATATCTTAGCACCCCCTAAGTTAAGAGTATGCAATTGACTGAGATAAAAGCCACACTCCGGCAAAGTCTCTCCCTGAGCGTTGAGTACCCTTTCTCCTTGTCGTTTGGTATTGAACAATACTCAACAGATTCCGAAAGATCTATCCCTTAAGATCTGGTTTGCTTTCGGCGCTGAAAGCACAAAATGGTTTATACACACATTGTGACGCGTGGTACAGCAGACTTCGACCTATATCCGTACAACCCCTCTGCCACCGCTGGATGGATTTTTGTTGCTCTATTCGGCATCTGCGCAGCTTTACACCTCTTCTATATGATCAAGCTCCGAGCTTGGTTTTTCATCCCGTTTGTCCTCGGCTGCATTGGTACGTCATTCATCGAGCCGGAATCATCAGTTGAACCTCTTCATGACTAATTCGCAACATAACAGGCGAGCTTTTTGGGTATTACGGCCGCGCATGGTCCCACGACAATATTCGAGACGGCACTCCCTATCTGATACAAATGATGCTCATTCTTGGATCAGCTCCATTGCTAGCAGCCAGTATATACATGACACTCGGCCGCTACATCCGCGCCCTCGACGCCGAACACCATGCGATAATCCGTACTCGATGGCTCACAAAGATTTACGTTGCGATCGACGTTATCAGTTTCGTCTGTCAGATCATGGGATCTGCCGCCCAGGCAAGCGGAGATTCCGATGGCATGCAAAAGGGGATTCATTTAGTCCTCGGTGGTCTTGCATTTCAACTGGTTGCATTTGTATGTTTCATTGCTATGAGTGCAATTTATTAGGTTCGACTCAACAATTCTCCCAGTGAGATCTCGGCAAGGTTCTCTGTGAATTGGAAGAAGTACATGTGGGCCCTTTACTGTGTTAGTGTGCTTGTTTTCATTCGCAGCTTGTACCGATTTGTCGAGTTTGCGGCAGGAGCTGGTACAATAATGGTGACTGGAGAGGAGTGTCTTTATGTTTTCGATGCATCTCTGCTGTTTTTGGTTGCTGTCTGTCTAGCACTCGTTCACCCCGGAAATCTCATTAAATCCGTCGGTGTAAAGCAAGCTGAAAGACTGACCGGAGATGCGGAATCTTACATCCCATTGAATGGACGCGAATCATGAAACTGCTCTGGTTATTTAGGCGCTGGGTTCACAGGTGGGCGGCTCACTACTGAGTAATATGTACATACTACGAAAGAATTTGGGGAAGAGAGTCGTGTCAAGAGTATTTGGGCCTAGGGCTGACAGGTGAGCCTGGTGTCTTTTATCTCGGTATAGCTTAGTGAATGACTGCATCGGGATGGTTAGGTTATACAGCAAAAAAAAAACATGCGATGTTTTAGCGAGGAATTATAAGAAGAAAGATTTCTTTCGCGCTTAGCTAGGAGAATTGACTAGCAATTGTCTTTATACGGAAGAGTAATGTGTCCTCTCGGATCGAAGACTCATTCTATAGAGGATGGATTTTCGCTAATTGACATTAGAATTAGCGGGAGCTTCTTCATTCAGTTGAAGTATAGAGAGTTTCCTTTTCCGGGAAAGATCCGCAAACTAACTGCAGAAAATGCGCGCTAGTTAGATAGCCACCATTGCGATTATCACCTGCCGCGTTTTCCCCTTTCTCTCTCTCTCTCTCCCTCTTGTAGATATTGTCCCATCAAACAAGGTGCCGGATGGGACCACGCTCCGACGAGCGCTTGTACAGTGGTTTGATGGAACTGGTAATACCTTCTCGATGGAGGTGAGACGAACATCCTGAAGATTTTTTGGATGCTCGATCGACATCACGACGAGCAACACAACGGAGATCGACAGACTGAAGTCATCAAGGTATTGACTCCGAAGCTGTGCTCTTGATACTCTTACATGACGTTGTTCTCGCCCTCTGCTAATCGCACCTCCGCACCCCGCACGCGTGAAGTAATGCGGAGACGGTTGATCAGACGGAACCGGTTATCTAGGTATCTGGCCGGGCTAATTAGGCTGTCAATCTATCCTCATAGGTGACTTCACTGTGATGCAAAACATTGATTCTAGCAGGATCTGACTCGGCAGTGCTTTCGGCCTATGATATTTTGTTAGTCTGAACCGAAGGACAATAGGAAGGTTCTAAACTATACGATCTGTGAGGCTGAATTAACCGAGAGTACAGAATTCCTGATCGTGGAAAAGTGTGATGCATCACATCAAGGCAACAAACATACACATGTAATGTTAACTGATAATATGAGTCATGTAAAAATAGAAACTGAAATGCAGAAATAAAAAACACGTGTAAACCTCGGGAACCAACCTTGGTAGTGTATGATTGACCAGAGATGCTCCATTGCTCTTAGAGTAGGATCTGCCCGAGGTGCATACTGTACACGTACATGTACAATTAAGTTTAACTTAACGTTGTTAATGCAAAGGTGACTATATATCCATAGGCCTCTTACACTCCAGGGCCGAGTTAATCCCGCGCAGATGAAATGTACCCACAAATGCAAGCCAGTATTTCCCAAGTTACTCCGAACTTACCGAGGGACCTAGCGAAGGGCGGTGTGCTAGTTGGACGCTAAGTTGCCTAATTGCTTCCTAATGGCTTCTGCCGCGTTTCTAGCGCCAAAGCCAAGACTTTTCGCCTCCAACTGAAACTTAGGCACTTCGTTCTGGTGTACATTTGGTTTCATGGTAGTCTGCTTGCACGGTTTGACATTGAATTCCGATATTTTACAGGGTGATCACCGTATCCCCAATTATAGGGGCGATATATCCAACATTATGGGAGTCTTCTACACTCTATAGGTGGTTGCAATCCCGCCACCGGGATCTCCTATCGACCACACGCCCCCCTTGCAGATGACCCCGGATTTTACAGCGGATCTGAGTTCTTCACGATCTCGATATATCTACAGTGTACTCTGTGTACTCTGTATAGCTGCTACAGTATAGCCGTAGCCCGGCCGGAATGGGAGCAAGAGCCGATATTAGGAGGGACTCTCCACTGAGGCGACAGAGGAGTATAGTACTCCGTCATAGGAATGAATATCCTCCCCTATTTGGATGTCACACCATCCACCTCCTCGGATATGCTATGCCTCTCTGACTCGTCTATCGTTCAGGAAATGATACCCCCATCATCATCGACTGTCTTAGTCACATACTAGTCGTTTCCGGTAATTTATGACGTTGCCATCCGACTGCAAGCGGTGTAGCCATGTCTATAGTTATGTGCCATTGTCATTCCTCGATAGATCCGATCGTAAGTTCGCGCTATTTGCTTCAAGATCAGCTAAATCTGCAATTATAAAACTAACCCCTGGGGTCAAGATCTGTAGTGTAGGTCACGTGCGTATTACCGTAACGGCGCCTGTCCCAAACCGGAAGGGGTTGCCATCTCATACCCCCATCTCATACCCCCATCTTCCATTGCCCGGGATCTGCTGTTTCTCATCTTCCCCTTGGTCTCTCGTTCTATAACTCTCTTATTCTGTTCTGTTCTGTGTTGAAGACTCGATTACTTTCTGCCAGAGCGGGTCTTCATCCGAGTGGACTCCTGTGAACCCGCCCAAATACCGCCGCCCATCCACTCAGTCCACTCATCGAGGGGCACCTGTCTCAAAGTCGCATTCATAACTTCTTTTCCTCTGGGAATCGCGCTTCAAGCGAAAGAAACCCTGTCACTCTTAGAAACCCCTTGGTTTAGCGTGACACCGCGCAGGCCGGACAGGGAACCAGGATATCCATTCGTCAGACCTCGGAAATCTCATCGGATTGAATTTCTCCGGCACTTTTTCTTTAACCATAACAGCTGTTCATCATGACGGGCGCCGCTCCTATTGATATTTCCACCCGCCAGTCGACCTCGGTGTCGCCCCCCGGCCAACAAGCGTCCAACCTGACCTCGGCCCTACAGAGGGCGGGTACGGGTGATCGCACCGGGAGCTTCTCGCATCATGCCGGCGGAGGACTCGGAGTATTTAAAGCGCCACCGCCGCGCAAAGACTCGATCGGCGCCGCCACGGCACAATGGGGGAACGGGACGAAACCTATCTCCATGTCGGGATCTGCCCGCGATAAAGGTCGTCGGGAGTCCCTCGCAGGAAGCTTGGTGGGTGGCATGAGCTGGGGTGGTGTGTCCGTCGGGAGCTGGATACGTGATGAGTGAGTGCGCCCTAGCCGGAGCCGAAGCCGCGGAGAATGCCCCTCGTGTGCTGCTGCTTGTTGCACTGCAGAACTGACCAAGGAAATTTTACCGTGCAGCATCATTATGACTGGCACCTCGCCATTTACTTTCCAGTCGCCCTCTTTCCACTCCTCATCGTATCTCCCGAAGCTGGAAGCGAACTTTATGAAAGACTTTTCGTGCTGCGGTGTGACGTTACCGACGCTCCATGACCTATTACAACATTACGAAGAAGCCCATGCGACCAAGTCGCCCAACCAAGGCCACCGACCGAGCCAGGGTGAGAATCGAGCTGCCTTGGCCGCTGCGGCAATTGCACAGCAACAGAACCAACAGCATGGCAATCAAGGACGTGGCCTACAGCCCGATCGGACCCTGGACATGCAGCGCAAGTTGGGCCAGAACCCATCGCCATTACAGCATGCCGATCTAGACACAATCGATGATATGGAGATGGACGACGCCTTGGGTGACGGGGATGCTTCTACATCCCAGCTCTTCTCCCCTCAACTACATGACGGTGGCCAGGGCGGATTTGGCAACTCAAATCAGGGCTCGCAATTAAATCTGAATATGCTTCCAAGCCACCAAGCATTCAGCACCCCTTCGCAACCCGGCACTCCGATCGGATCTGGACGACCTCTTTCTCTGCAGAACAACCCAACGGTCTCTTCCGTCAACACCCCAACGTTGATGGCCAACCCGCTCCAGAATTCACAATTCCGCAATACTCCAGATTCTTCTGGGCCAGGAACCCCGGCCGAGATTGATGAGAGCATGATGGGTGGGTTCGGTGATCTCAGCATGCAAAATAACACCATGGGCCAGAATCAGAACCAGTTTGCACGGTTCAATGGGAACAATAATGATATGGTCGATCTCTGTATCGATGAACCGGCCAAGCGACTCTTCAGCCCCAGCGGTGGCTTAGGTTCGCCCAATGCGCACTTTAAGCTCAGCGGAGCTCAATACGGTCCCAACAGCGATATTGCACGACGGATCCGTGAACAGCAACTGCTGGCTGGGGTTCCCGACACTACCACGATACTCCCTAACGAAGAGCCTAAGCCATTCCGGTGTCCCGTCATCGGTTGCGAGAAAGCTTACAAGAACCAAAACGGTCTCAAGTATCACAAAGCTGTAAGTGTGACTTGAACTTTATCTGATTTTGACTCCTCTCTGACCTTCTATCTCTTTTAGCACGGTCATAACAACCAGCAACTTCATGATAACGCTGATGGCACCTTCTCAATTGTCAACCCAGAAACATCCGCACCATACCCAGGTACCCTGGGCATGGAGAAAGAAAAGCCATATCGCTGCGAGGTTTGTGGCAAGCGGTATAAGAACTTGAACGGACTCAAATATCACAAGTCACACTCACCACCCTGCAACCCGGATTTCCAGCTTGGAGGTCGCAACATGGCCCTAGGTGGCGGAGTCATGCAGGGGCAGAACATCAACGTTGCTGGAGCTGGCCTCCCCGGGATTGGCGAAGAAGGCCTTCTGTGAACAAATGAACACATAAACAAATATGTTTACATAATTCCCAGATAATTGACGCGAACGATTTCGACGGCTTTCTCTCGGGGGTCACAGCACTCCTGCACACACACGATGTCATGACTTTGAATTGGTTCCGGTGACTTTGGAGTTCTCTTTGCGATTCTCTCTTCTCTTTTTGAAATTGCTGCCATGGTATTCCACGGGATTGTTTTGCTTTTCGTCCCACCTGTTCGGGTATATTCTACTGGCATGATCTTTTTGCTTCGATATTCCTCATGCCATTTCCAGGTCTTATCTATATGGCCTGGTAATAGAGCTACCCTGAGCGATCAAACCACACCCAGCAAAAGTCTCTCTAGAAGAAAACTGAACTGCTGGCTTGGCTGATATTTTCTTCTGCTCTCGTCCTTCATATGGTATTCGCGCTTTCACGTAAGCCGAATCAAGGAATGGGATATCAAATCCATTCCCGGTCTACCATTGTTATGCGTTTATGCAAGGGTTGGCTTTCTGCTTTGTTTATGCGATTCACGCGTTCATGTTTCTGTTCACTCACCGTTTCCGCTCATGGTCCTGTGCCTCTCAGAAGAGCATCGACAACTGAGTCCGACTCACGTCCTACCTCGAGCACCTCGGAACAAACAAAAAAACTATTTGGCTTGGTTGGCTGGGTTATGATGGGAAACAATCACTCAAGAGGTTCTAAAGGGAGTCCATGATCATGGTCATGATCGTGATCACATGGCACTGTTTTCCTTAATGAACTCACCTTGCTCCTTTACACAGTCAGTGCTCGCTTTTCTTCCCTGCCTTGGTTCGGGATTGGAACTGGAAATGGAAATGGAATGGAAATCTTCAAAAAAGTGTGGTTTCTGGCGTCGGATATTTGTAGATATGGATTTTTGATACACTTTGGCTTCTCTATCTACTGTGATTTATCTTTCTTGCGATGTGTTTCGCTATTCATGCTTTATCATTTTTATTCTCTACTCGTTTATATATTTATGGTTTTGGGGTGCAGATCTAGTAGATTGATGTCGTAGGGCTGGCTAATATGGAGATATATATCAGGACCTCAACCCTATTTATTCTACAACAACCCAGTAGTCTTTATCGACGTATGATTGATTTGTTCTTCAAATATTTTATTGAACCCAGCAAGGTTGCCTTTCAATCTAGTACACAAGGTATGGGCAAAAAAAAAAGAGATAAAAAAAAAAGCAAAAACCCATCCTTAAGTGTAAGCGCCATAAGCCGTTGAAAGTTGAATAGAAACCCGCAAATTCAAAGCCCGGTAGGTGATGTCGGGAGCTGGGTCAGAACAGAGGTGGTAGAATCATGAGAGAATTCGCTTGCACAACCCATTTCGAGGCGTGACTGAGAGGACATGGAGATTTGTTTTCGTGTCATGAGAGCACATAATAAGAGATAAGAAAAGGCATGGTACAGAAAGGGAAATGAGGTCGTCAATAGTATGGAAAATGTGATGGAAGATGATCGCATGGCCTTGTCAAACTACCACTCGAACTCGCCTTGGCCCTTGTGGAAGACATATCTACTACAGTCAGTATATATATATAAATAGGATGAGATAACTTACTCCTTGCCACCAGTGGTTAGGATACCGTCCTTCAAGGTGCACTTCCACTTGTTCTTCACGCGCTGGACCTTGTCGTATGTGCAAAGCATGACCTGGCCTTCTGACTCATCTTGGTCGTGGTCATCGGCAACAAGGTCATCGGGATCATCCAGGTCTGAGTTGATTGCGTCCTCATCTTCTTCCTTAACTTCCCCGTCAGCACCATCATACTGGCCGTGCAGCTGAGTAACAGATGAGGATGACCCCGAAGCTTCGTTGAGAGGCGCAGTAAGAGCCTCTCGGTAAGCTATCTTGGCCGAAGACTCATGCTCATCCAGGGGCCGTAGGAGACCGCCTCCTTCGAACTGGCTCATGCGCTGCTTGAGGTGCTCGCGCAGGAGGCGATCACCCTCTCCATCTGCGGCAGCTGCCCGGCGACGAGCTACCTCTGCCTTCCAGTCGGTAAGAGAATCATCACCAGCACCATCGGTCTGCCCGGGACCCATGGGTGGGTAGCCGTGTTCAGTCTTAATTGGTGGCATCTGTCCGTGGGCAGCGGGGTGCATCTGAGGATACCCTTGTCCAGCCTGAGCTTGAGCCTGCATTTGGCTAACGGAGTTCGCAGCAGCAGTACCGTACTTCTGCTGAAGATGGCTTGCAGCACGGTCGCGAGCCGACTGAGGGTTGTTCATATGCGGGGGCATTTGGGGGTTCATGTGCGGCATGGACTGGCCATTTGAGCCTGGCTCAGTCTTGATACGAGGAGCAGTCATATGGGTTGGCATTTGGACAGGCATTGGAGCCGATTGGGGCATTGAAACAGGTGCAGGGACATATTGAGGCTGAGGTGGTCGAGGAGCATTGGAGGGAACAGTGGCCGATGGAGGAAGGACGTTCTGAGTAGGCTGTGGCGGGGCCGGATCCCAGGGGAAATGAGCGACATTGACAGAGGAGAGCTTCTTTTGCCAGGCCTATACAATGAATATTAGTATAGACACCAGTTAATGTCGCGATGGACGAATGAGATCAATGGGGAAGTCTTGGCGGTCTAAAAGCGCCTAAGCGGGTAACAGCGGCACATATAAAGGGGGGAACTCATAAGTCGGTGATCCCCCATAAGCACCGCCTCCCGCACCTCTTCGGCCTCCCCCGCTTTTGGCCGACCCCCAAGACTGTCCACTTCAGAACAGGAAGGGCATAGAGATATATGAAATGGAATAGTACTAACGTCACGCAGGTCATGCAGAGTCTGTTGGTCGACACCGCTTTCTTCAAAGTCGACCTGGGAGGCATCACAGACCTCCTGGATCACCTTCTCGAACACCGCACCCTATGAGACACACGTCAGCTCTTATTCAACTCAAAAGCTCTCTCCACAACATCAAAGTTGACAAGGTTTGTATTTCAATAAAGGTTGTGAATGTGACCGAGGATACACTGGGTGTTCGCCAGGCTGGAAACTCACCACTTGCTGGTTGGACATGGTTGCGGAGCAAGGGCAGGACGGGAAGCTGGCGGATGACTGATCGGAGAGGACTGAAGGTGGCAGAAGCTCAAGAGGATCTCTGGCGAGGTGTAGTGGGTATCAATAGCTCGACCGGACCGTAAAGCTTGCCGTCGCAACAGTGAAGTTGCCGAAGTGCTGGTCGATCACACCTAGAAATGACGCAATCTCAAGTGATCTCGAAGTTTGCAGTTCTCACGAGAAAGAAAGAAAGAAACAATGACTTCAGAGATGCGTAACGAGAGTGCAAATGTCACAAAAGCGATATGGTGAGTTTGCCGATGGGTTGGCAGAGGTGAAAGTCACGGCTCTGCGGTCGAAATCCCACTGTATCCCGCAAGATTAGTCATCAGATGTCCGCCCGCTCTATCAAGAAGAAATAATATTGATAGATCAGATTCAATTTTGTTCATAGAAGAGTAAAAAGTAAAATAAAGAATTAAAAGAAGCTGTAAGAATGGTATTTGTGCAACCAGCTTACGGCAAAATAGATACAAGAACACCAAACACCAAATCCTAGCCAGATATGAACCATTACACCAAATTAATGTCCCAGCCCATCAATGCTTTAGGTTATGAACCGGGGGTATCGAGCAGTAAAAGAAAAGAAAAGCAGCAGACGCTTAGCGGATGGTCATAGACTTGGTCATTTGGGCCTTGCTGCCCACACCGCCCTCACGAGCACTGGAGGCAGTGGTGCCGGCCTTACGCTCGAAGATCTTCCAGAACTTGAGGCTCTCGTCAGCGGCGGTGGTGGCCAGCATCTGACCGTCAGGGCTGATAGCGCTGTGGAGTACACGAGTCTCGTGAGCGGGGATCTCAACGTTGCGGACCAGAGTAGGATAGCTCCAGATGCTGAGAGAGTTGTCGGGGAAGCCACTGGAGCTGACGATCTCGCGGTAATGGTTGCTCCAGCGCAGGGACGTGACCTGGGAGCCAGTGTCGATGCTGTTGGTACGAGCACCAGTAGTGGTGTTCCAGAAGTGAATGTGACGATCGTAAGAACCACCGCCAGTGGCGAGAAGGTTTGATTGCCAGGGACACCAGCTGAGAGCCTTGACAGCAGCACGGTGGTTGGTCTTGGTGAACTTGGGAGCGCTCAGGGAACGGGCATCCCAGATGTTGACGAGGTTATCGTTTCCACCAGTGGCGAGCTGAGCGCCGTCGGCGCGCCACTCGAGACCACAGACCTCAGAGGTGTGAGAGACAAGCTCAGCGACCTTGTGGTCAGCGATGCGGACATCGTGGTTGTAGACGAGGCCACTACGAGCTCCAGTGGACAGGGTGTGCTTGTTCCAGCCCATGACACCAACACGGGAGTCGTGGCCGTACATGCTGCGAAGCTTGGTACCCTCCTCAACATCCCAGATCTGAACTTCACCAGTGCCCAAGCCAACACCAACGTAAGCACCATCACCACTCCACTTCACGCTGCTGATGTAAGTGTCGGGGGAGCTTTCCAAAAGACAGTTCACGGAGCCAGACTCAGCAGACCAAACATAGACATTGCGCTCGAGACCAATGGCGACCTGGTTACCAGAGCTCCAGTCGAGCAAGTTGAGGTAGTAGTCATCCAAAAGGCCAGGGGCATCGAGAACCCGCTCGGGGGCAGTTTGGACACGGCGGCGGAACTGGGCAGCGTTCGACTTGGCAGGACGAAGAGGACGGTTGTATTGAGCACGAAGATCAATAGGCTTCGACGACTCGGGGGGAGGAGGCTTGAAGGCCAGGATGCGAGTGTTCTGGCTCACACCGCAGGCATCAGCAAGCGATGACTTGTAGGCAACGGCATCGGGAGCCGGGCGAGTGTACGTGGAGGGCTCATTGTCTTCAAGACCCAAGTTCTCAAGAGCAGCTGTCAGGTCATCATCGGATCCACGGGCACCCATATCAAAAGCACTAGCAGCCGTAGCCAGAACTGATGATCCACCGCTACCGCTCTTGGGGCGCTGGCCCTCTTCGGGCTTTGCAGCACCACTTGTAGCCAGACCTTCACTGGCGGTCCGGTTTGGGATGAAACGGTCAGCAGCGTTGTGAGAAATGCGCACAGTTGTCTTGCTGGCCCGAGAACGCGTGGGGATCTCCCGACGAGGGCGTTCTTTTGATGAAGGAGATGAAGTTGATGCGACACTACCGCCGGTCAACGTCCAGTCGGACACACCGAGCTCGAGGTGCTTTGGCGACTTGCGAATGCGAGCAATGTTTGACTTGGGAGATTCACGGTATGTGGTACGGCTTGACTTCTGGACGGAGGACTTGGTGAAGTGTGCAGAGAGGTTGCCGCCGTAGACGGACTTGGTTTGGCCACGGCCAGCGTCGGCCTTTTGAGGAGGAGTGAAAGGTGACGAGGTACCGCTGGCCAGGTGGTTAGGCGAAGGGGTCAGAGGGATACGACCGCCAGCAGTCTTGGAGGAAAACAGCCCATGGTGGCTCTTCACCGGAGTGGACACTGTGACAGAAGCCATAGTGATATAGGAAGAAAATGCAATGGGGACCAGTCCCAATAGAAGATGCAAATACGAAATGCAGTAGAGGAGTAGTAAATAGGGAAGAGAAATGAGGAATTTCGATGGTGGAGAGAGAAGAGAAGGGGAGAAGTACAAGTAGCTCATACTTCCTTTTGTTTTCCTCGTTGGGTTGGCTCAGCAACGGTCGAGTCCACCTGACATTCCGCTTTGGCAGTATCGGCTGACTAAAGATCGCCCAGGTGACGCCTTCCCCTTTTGGGACATGACATCGGCGTTTTGTTCTTTTCCAGACAAAGACAAGATTCATGTCAGGTCCGTCTGTTCATTGTTTGCTTATGAGGCAATTGCCACTCGAGGTCTGTGAGCTTCATTTCGCACCTTGACCGCAGACACCTCCCCACGCTCTACAGTCCCACCAAGACCCACTCGCACGACCTCCTCTGGGATCTTCGAGCATCTCTAATCCGATCTCCTGCACTCTGGCACACATGCAGGACGCTTATTTGATGCCTGCCAGTCCGGCACCCCGCCAGACTGATTATCGTCCCAGCATCAAGAAGTCTCGCGGTCATGTCCCCGCCTGTCTGGTAAATGCCTCGGTGACGTATTGCAGCAATGACCGAATCTATGCCTTCGGCGGCTTTGATCAATACACCGATGAAGGTCGGCATTTTTCTTTGCAACACTGAATTGATGCTAATACTTCCCAGTCTACAACCACGTGCTCAAGCTGGACTTGGAGACCCTCGAATGGGAGCTTGTGGACAATTATGGCGATATCCCCGGAGTGCGCATGGGTATGTCTCTTTCCCCATTCGTCCATACACATTTTTAGCATTCTAATACGGTTTCTCGTGGATAGGCCACACTGCATCTTTGTACCAGGGTGATAAGTTGATCGTATTTGGGGGAGAAAACGAACACCGCGAGTATCTCGCTGACGTCGTGATTCTCGATTTGAATACCTTCACCTGGTCAATACCTGAAATCCGTGGCCCCATTCCGCGCGGCAGGGCACGACATGCTGCAGTGATTCATGAGGACAAACTGTTTATTGCAGGTGGACTGACAGGCGAGAAGAACCTCATACTGGACGACTTAACTTATTTGGATCTCCAAACCTGGACCTGGTCTCGAACCTGGAGCTTTACCGCGCGATTTGATCATATCGCTTGGGTTTGGGGAACACGGCTCTGGATTTTCGGTGGATTGGGACCCAATATGGAGCGAACAACCGACATTTGGTGGCTCGACCTCAAAGGATCCCCATCGCTGGCCGGAAACACCAATCTCCAAGGTAGTGTCAATTCCCTGGACTTTCATCTTCCGACTGCTCATTATCCAGACTCCATCCCGAACAGTCCTTCACATCAGATGTCTCCACGATCCTATGCTGCGAACTCAGGAAGTGTGCAGGTTCGCAACCTAGGCCGACGTAAGCCTCTTGCTCCGGGTGCTATCTCATGTCTTCGGTTTAACTCTGGCCCTCATGTCCCCTCCCTTTTCTCTGGAACCCATTTCCAATCGTTTGTATCTGGCGTTCTGCTCGACCTGATCACACCGTCAGAGACCGTCCGGTCTCATGACTGTAACCTGTCCGCCCTGGAGCTCAACTCGCTGCGTTGGCAACGACTGGCTGATGGGCAAGAGATTTTTCGGCCCGGCTACCGATGGCACTACTGCACGGTCAACGAGGCGGGAACAAAGGCATGGCTGCTAGGATGTAGTATTGAGGGCGTGCCAGGGAGTAGTGATGAAAACCAGATGAGTGAAGTCCTCACCATTGACCTGGAGAAGTATGGCTTGTTAGGCAACGGGTTGTCGGCGGATGCTCCCGAGCAAGATGGACCGTGGCCCTCTGATCCAATGGGCTCCCAAGTTTCCGGACTTGGGGCCGATCTTGCCGCTGTCTTCGATCATCCCCCCGAGTCAGGGAGTGGTACTGATTTTGTCATCACTGCAATCCGCGATGATTGGGACTGTGGAAACTCGGACTACATGGGCGACGAGCCGATCGTCTCACCAACTCAAGCCGCACCAACCTTTGTGGAAGTTGACCCATCGACTTCGGATCCCATCCATGTGCATCGAATCTTTCTACAACTACGGTGGCCACATTTCAAGCGGCTGTACTCTGCGCAGATGGCGGAGTACCACACCAAGCGAATGCATATTCCAGAGCCCTACTCAGTTGTACGCGCATTTCTTTACTATTTGTACACAGACAGCATTGCAGGCCATCCAGACTACTGCTCAACTCCTATCGATGTGGCAGGCATGCTTGTTATGGCAAACCTCTACGATATGCCCAAGCTTCGCCTGCTCTGTGTGAACCGGTTGAGCCGCGAGCTTGATGTCCACAATGCAGCTATTGTCTGGGAGCGTGCAGGGCGGACCAATGAACACTGGCTGAAGCGCCGAGCTGAGCAGTTCTGCCAGATCTACTGGGGTCGTGTGGTGCGGACGGATGGTTTCAAGTCCCTGAGCCACCGCAGTCTGATTGAGCTGTGCGAGGTAGTGGACGCCGATGCTAGTATCATCGCAGGGCCTGAGCTGGAAATGGTGAGCGCGTTTGGGGCGCATGGGGATGATTCCAAGAACTCTCAGTTGCGACTTGGCTCGACTGCCGATGAGTCTGAGATGGATGGAGATGACGAAGGAATGGAGATATTATGAGACACGAATGGGGCACGCACGCTTGTCCGGAGTGTGAAATATAGTCAACAGTCAATATCAAAAGTTTTACGGTGAACGGGCCGGCCCAACCGGGTGGAGCCTCCCGACGCTCTCGGCGCGGCGTCTCCTCCGGATCGCGGAGATCATTCCTGTCACGATAAGGAAGCCCTTAACTTGTCTTTCTTTTGTTTCAAATATGAGGCTACATAAATCTTGATGTGCGCTCTACTTTCATTGGCATTCGGCCTACCTTTACACTATGGGATCCGTTGAGCAATCCACTCTGCCCCCGGATTTTGTCTGGGGCTTTGCGACAGCCGCCTACCAAATTGAAGGAGCCGTGAACGAAGATGGTCGCGCTCCTTCGATTTGGGATACGTTCTGCAAGATACCCGGTAAGATCGCTGGCGGTGGATCTGGGGAGGTAGCATGCGACTCGTACCACCGAACACACGAGGACATTGCCTTGTTGAAGGAATGTGGTGCTTCGGCATACCGATTCTCCCTATCATGGTGCGCCCTATCTAAGCCTCTGTCTTTAACTCCGGTCAGCTAATATCGGCTGGACGCCACCATAGGTCCCGCATCATACCCCTCGGCGGTCGGAATGATCCCATCAACAAGAAAGGCTTGGAGTTCTACGTCAAATTCGTGGATGACCTCCACGCTGCGGGAATCACGCCCATGATCACTCTGTTTCACTGGGATCTTCCGGATGCGTTGGACAAACGCTACGGTGGACTTCTGAACAAGGAGGAATTTGTTGCCGACTTCGCAAACTATGCTCGCGTAGTGTTCGAAGCATTCGGATCCAAGGTCAAACAGTGGATTACCTTCAACGAGCCTTGGTGCAGCAGTGTTCTTGGATACAACAATGGTTCCTTCGCCCCGGGCCACACAAGCGATCGCACCAAAAGCCCGGTCGGAGATAGCTCAACCGAGCCGTGGATTGTTGGTCACAGTTTGTTGGTCGCTCATGGAGCTGCGGTGAAGATATACCGAGATGAGTACAAGGAGCGAGACGGCGGCGAGATTGGCATTACACTCAACGGTACACCTCTTCCCACCACAGCCCCTGTCATTGCTGACAATATAATCAAAGGTGACTGGGCCGAGCCCTGGGACCCCGAGAACCCTGCCGACGTCGAAGCCTGTGATCGCAAGATCGAATTCGCCATCTCATGGTTCGCCGACCCAATCTACCATGGCAAGTACCCCGACAGCATGATCAAGCAGCTCGGAGACCGCCTGCCAACCTGGACGACCGAAGACATTGCTCTAGTACACGGTAGCAACGATTTCTATGGTATGAACCACTACTGCGCGAATTATATCCGCGCCAAGACAGGCGAGCCGGAGTTGGACGACGTCGCTGGTAACCTAGAGCTGCTTCTCGAAGACAAGAACGGACAAAGCATCGGGCCCATCACTCAGTCCCCTTGGCTGCGACCGTGTGCGCTGGGATTCCGCAAGCTGCTCAAGTGGCTTAGTGAGCGGTATAGATACCCTAAGATCTACGTTACCGAGAACGGGACCAGTGTCCTCGGAGAGAACGACATGCCGCTGGAAGAGCTTCTCAACGATGAGTTCCGTGTGCAATATTTCAAGGACTACATCGGTGCCATGGCCGATGCTTATACCTACGACGGTGTCAATGTGCGAGCCTACATGGCTTGGAGTCTTATGGAGTATGCCAATCTCCTTATATAATATTGATTGTGGTGTAATGTGATGCTAATATCTATTTTACTTACAGCAACTTTGAGTGGGCCGAAGGCTACGAAACTCGCTTTGGTGTGACTTTTGTCGACTACGAGAATGATCAGAAGAGAATGCCGAAGAAAAGTGCTAAAGCTATTAGCCAGATCTTTGAGCGGTTGATTGAGAAAGCTTGAGATTGACAGGCGAATTCATTTAGGGGCTGTTTGGAATAGCTATGAAACTAGAACGGCAACGAAGGGTTTGAATCTATTTGATGTTTGATTTCTGTTCATTGAACTTCGTAGAGTGCGTGTCTGTCTTCGCGCGGTGCAAGTATTCTGGTCTTATGGGACCAATTGTAGCGACATTTACTGTCATCTTGGATTCTTTGTATAATTTTATATACACGTGGATTCTTGTTGGCACCACATCCTTTTGTTCCACAGTGACATGGAAGCATGTGGTTCGGCCCCAGTCCTCCGATCAAACTTTCATAGGTATACAATCACAATATACCTCCCAAGAGGTGGTAACAGGATCGCGCCGAAGCCTTCTGAGTGTCATGAACAGTTGCTCTGGGCCAGGATTCCACTTCATAACATCGTCCTCGGAGACATCATGCGGAAGGCCATCCCGGAGCCGAAAAACACCAGTGTCACAGATGCGAGCTTCCTCGGGAATAATAAGAGAGAGGGGCATTGTTTCGTCGATGTGATTCCCAGAGAATGGTCCTCGTTGAGACGCAACAATGGCAGCAATTTCAGCAGCAGCATCCCGACCAACTGCCTGGTTCAACACAACACTGTGGCCCTCCTCTACCTGCATGAGGTGCTCAGCCAAAGCAGTAACAGGCGGGCATTTATAAAAGCCTTGCACTGGCGGAGCCCTTCTCAACAATTGCAAGGCTCTTCGACGCAACCCCGGATGCCGACATTTGGTAGCAGCCACAAACAATGGGAGTCCGACACCCATCTCGAAGGTGAATGGTGGTTGCGCGCCATTTGGCTTCTCCGAGGCATCGAGGGTAAGACTGGATTGTTCGACGATTTCCCGGAAGTCGTCTAGATAATCATCATAGACGGTTTCATGTTTTGTCAGGCTTCCCGCAACATATACCGATGCAGCCGCGTGGTATGTGAGTAGGGTTGGCTCGGGATAAATAGGATACTCGAGCGGAATCGGTGATTTGTGACGAATGCTTTGGCAGAGGTCTGTATATGCCTTCTTCCAACGTGCTAGCCGAGCTTGCAATTCTTGTTGCTTGATGAACAGGTCCTGGCTCACACAGACATCACCGCCAAAGGCTTGGAGATGAGCTCCCGCATCTCGCTGGAAGAGGATACACTCTGCTCCCAAGGTGGTTATAGACTGCCGAGCAGATCCAAGTGATGAAAATCCGTCATACTTATTATTTTCAAAAGAGAAGAGCTCACTCGGCTGAGTCCCGGATATCGTGAGAGCAATGGTATTCAGCCGTAAAAACAGTGGGATGATCGTGTTCTCCAGGAGCGCAGCTTTGCTAGCAGAGACCGTCCCATGAAGAGCCTTCAGGCGAAGATCCAATATCAGACTCATGCCCTGTCTGAGGAGTTGTAAAGCCTCTTCCATACGCCCTTGAATGGTCTCCACACAGATGAATAGTACACAGCTGATAAGTGCAATATAGGGATCGGCGCAACCACGCTCAATCTGGGAATGGATGCTTGAAATCGAACGCGAGTACCACACCAGAGCTTCTTTCTGAGATTGCTTCAGCAGATGAGCATCCTTCTGCTTGTCTCTCAAAAAAGTAAAATCCAAGCACTGGTCCGGGTATTCAAACAAAGCACTGATGGCAATGATGGCATCCCACACAGCGGGCTCAGTGCGGCAAATCTGTGGGACAACGCCAGTCCAAAAATCAATGTCCATACCACCGGACAAATACTGGGCAGCATGCTGAAAGTAATACCCGAAAGCACGACGTTCCCGCCGTCCCGAATTCGGCGACGAGGAGAGCGTGTGGCTCGGACTGGGCAAGAGAGAAATCGGCGTCGACGGCGTTGGAGGCGAGGTGCCAATGGCATTATTCTCAAAGTCACATTTCCGGCCTGTACTTGTACACCGGAGACAGCTCGGCTTTTCTTCCCCGCATTTCACTCTTCGGATCCTGTCAAAGTGGTTAATTTGTGTCAGATACAGTTGTAGCAGAACTTACTTGCAGGTTTTACAGCCGGATCGGGACTTGGACGAGCCTATGCGGCCACTGGGTGGTGTTGTCCGATTGATTGCCATTGTCTGGCTCCATCTCAGCTTGAGTGTTGGGTCATGCTGGGTTTGATATCTGACAAGGCTGTGGATTCTTGAGATCCCCACCTTTTCCCTTTGGCGCCTTATAAGTAAGGCACTCGTCTAAAAATAACCACAAGTTAACTACAATTAACTTAAACTACAATTAAACTACATGTACATACAAGTTACAACGTCTAAATCAATTGAGCTTTGTGTTTATTTTGGGAGACTGTGTTGATCTTTCTGTTTTCTATGTTGCCACAAGCCGCTTTTCGCTTGGTCTATTCTTTTTCTTCTCCTTTTGCACATTTTATTCCTTCGACATGTCAAAAGAAAATAGCCCAGAATTTCTGTAGAACAGCACTGACTATGTGAGCCCAGCTTACCCCGATATCTAAGAACACAATAGCAAGCCTCGTCTTCGCTCTTCACTCCGGTCCATACTCCGGTGTTTAGTAAACCCGCTCCGAATATAAGTTCTTCTCCAAATTCAAGTTTCTTCAGTCACTCAACATGGATTTGTCTCATATATTAAACCAGCTTGGGCCAACACCAAAAAGATTCCCAGATTGCTGCCTGGGAATATCCAACACATTGATCACCCACCTGGCTTCAATCCTCCCCCAGAAACCCGATTTCACCATCTCCATCGGCAGCGGATCAGGTCTCCTCGAAGGCGTCATCACATACTCCAATAAACATGTTCCAGTGCAGGGAGTGGAAGTAGGTTCCTCAATCAACCGATATATTGCCGAAGAAGACATGAACGTCGTTGGTGGAGGGTGGGGCCTCTATCCCAGCGCTCAACAGGCCAAGGCGTGGATGTTTGTCTACCCACGCGACCCTAAGCTAATCACCAAATATATTGACTCATATGGTGATCAAGCCGTTGAAATGATTCTGTGGCTTGGGCCGCGGGTAGACTGGCCTGATTATGAACCTTGCTTTTGCAAATCTACATTCTCTGAGTTGAGTGTTTTGGATAACATTGGATTGACGCCTTATGAAACTGCGGTCGTTGCTCGAAGAGCATCTTGATATTGAATATATCTTGGTTTCTAGTACTGGAAGAAAGGGATATGTCTGCATATAGGATGATTCTACGACACTAGGAAAAATAAACTGAAAATGTACATAAACGCCTGCTCATTATGTATCAAAGGAATCCGTATCTATTTAAAGGAAGTGATCTGTTACATTCAAAGGGGCCAATACAATTCCTCAACCCCGGAACTTCAATTTTAGGCAGCAACTGTCCATACGATCCAACAACTCTTCTTGAGGGCGGCGCAGACGGGAGAGAAAAGGGAATACAAAGGAAAAAAGAAAAAGAAGGGATGAGCCGGATTCGGTCCTGGCTCCTCCAGCGCGCGACCTGAGGCTCCCTGAAAGACTCTAGAAGAACCCCAGCGCTGGGTTAGGCTTACAGTTTGTTTGCTCTTTCCATTGAGCCACCATCCCGTTATGTGGGTCTTTTTACCTTTTTCGGGTTAGGCACCCCACTATTTGCCATTTACCGTTAGCATCGGTGGATACTCATCTGATTTGGTCCGTTTATGTTGATTACTGTATATCTAACTTATAGCCTTCTAATTGCCATTCAAAGCGCATACCGGAAATGTTTCGACTCCATATCCGTCATATCTTTGAATCCATCCAAGATAGCCTGTGACGTAACATCGCCCTCACATGTAGCCGTATCGACCGCATCTCTTCGCGCATTCTCCCATCTCATAGACACGTACGCCACAACCGATAGCACAATAATACCTGCATAGCAGATGAGTAGCCCCGCAAGAGCTGAATAATAGCGGGGAGCCTCGCGAGCGAAGAAGATGTTAGCACCAGCGACATTTCCGGCAGCATAGAGCGTGAACCAGAGACCGTTAGCCACTGCACGCTTCGTGTGGCCAGCAACATTTGTGGCAAGAATGTTCCAGCACACAATAACCGGAGCACCAACGATGTACTGTAGCCAGGTGCATCCGACCAGAGTCCAGCGGTGGTCGAGGTCGGTAAACCGGATACCCAGCAGACCAGCGAAAGGAATAAGGGATACGACTGCGAGGACAATACACCGTGAGTCCTTGACGTATGTAGCGACAGTACCGCAGATCGGGACTATCAAAGCTTCAAAAGCACCAGTTGGCAGTTGGAGCAATGTAGCATAGATCCCATTAAACCCGAAGCCTTTAATAAGAGCAGAAGCAAAGTTCGAAACTCCACCGTTAATGACACCACACCCAATACCAATTCCGGCACAGCAGAGGACCTTTACATCATACAGATTCTCCAAAGCCTGTCGAGGCTTGATCTCTCTAGTCTTCACGCCAATCATATTCTCCGCGACACGCTGCACGGCTATCACGCGCTGACGGTGCGAAAGGAAGCGCGCCGAACTAGGCGAATCAGGCATGAGCCAGAGGAAGACACAAGCAGTGACAAAGTTCATCAGTCCAATAGTAAGGAAAATAAGTTGCCAGCTGTGCAGAGACGTATTGTGGGAATGACCCAGGCCAAATCCTAAAAGGGCACCAACCATCGTGGCCATTCCATTAGCACTGAGCCAGATAGCCATGCGCAATGGTTGTTCCGAGCGCTTGTAGAACATAGAAGTCAGATTCATCACTATGACAGTAGATTAGCACTGCCAGACTGTTAGTTTGTAACTGGCACGGGGCCACTTACTACAAGGGCTTACGCCGGCTTCTGCCATGCCCAGTAGGAATCTCAACACTAGGATTCCGGCATAGTTTTTCGCACCGATATGCGCGATGACGAGAATGCTCCATATTAGAAGCATGCCGCCCATATACTTTGCGATCGGCAGTCGCTGGATCAATAGGTTGGCCGGTAGAGCCCAGAATAGATAGCCGAAGTTGAAGATTGCAGCGACCCATGAATATCGCTGGCCTTCGAGTCCGAGATCTGGGATGAGGGAATAGGCAGAGGCATAGTTGAGTGATAGTTTGTCTAAATGAGTGTGTCAGAAGAGGAAATCGAGGTCTTCATTTAGTTGCACTTACCAAGAAATTGAATAACGTAGGTAACATAGAGCTAGAGCATTGATTCACGTTAGAAGGGATCAATATAGGCTCGGGGTATTACAGACAATTGGCATAATCCTCCAGTCGAGGATGCGAAGAACTTTGGCACCTTCGGTCTCCAGCTCCTCGGCGGAGAGCTGTTCGGCCTCGAGGAATAGATTGGCGCCAATATCGTGAGTCTCGCCGAGGGCAATATCTTTCTCCACAGTGGGGTAATCCACTTTGGGGTCTTTCTCCATCGTGAAGGATCAATTGGGGTCTGTTGGGTCAAGGTGTGAAGTCGTGAGAATCACATTCCGCATTCCCATGCCGGGCTTTTAAGCCCTGGCAGATGGCCTGGACTTGTGTTATCGCTGCCAAGTAGATAAGCATGAAGCTGCGGAATTGATGATAAACAGTTGATAGGGGATGCTGATCGGTGGGGGAATAGTTGAAGTTGTATGATTGGTTCACATGCAAGCGGACAACACTCCGCGATAAGTATCAAAGCGGTCGATGCGGGAATTCATAGACATACAAACTGAGATAACCTTCACTCTAACATTTACACTTCTTCGGGAAACACTTGAATAGATCCCCCAAACATAATATCCTCAACCATCCCCAAGACCGCTCTATGCAAGTATCCCTTCTTCAATTGCTCCAAATGCAATTCAGCCTCCTCCAACAAGACCATATTATCTGTTTCAGCTTCGCCTATACCAACATCCCACATAACCTTCTGTCTTAGGAACTCATAAACCCTCATATACGGCATGGCGTCCGTCCAACGGTCCACAAAGCCAGCCAAATTCATCGCACAGGCGTCAATGGCTTTGCGGGTATCAGTCATAGATTTTGTTGCCCAGGCAATATACAAAAGCATGGTTCCCGCGCGAAACTGGAAGACAAGCTATAAATGTAAATGTTAGCCAAGTCTTCCTATGGATAAGTATGAGTTGCCGGTTACATACCGCAGACCAGGTGTAACACATTACATGGCCCTCTTCCTGTAATATACGGAAATTGAGACAGACATCCACAATCGCGGCGAGGAACTCTTCCACTCCGTCCTCGACAAAGTTCCGCTTCCCTTCCATCAGGATCAAGAGACTGTAATCATACAGCTTTCGCATCCATATAGGGTGCAAATAGCCGTATTGAACATTATTGGATCCATATCGTGGGATTTCCTGCCGCCAGATATCAAGCGCCGATTTGAAAGAGGATGAAGAGTTGTGGCTTGTATCATGTTTGATGAGTGGGCTTCGACGCCAGTTCTCTTTCGATCTTCTGATGCTTGCTTGGATTTTGCGTAGGCGGAATAGATGACTTAAGGCGGGGTTTACATCTTGCGGTGGTTGGAGTGTGTCGCCTAATATGCACATCTATATTAAAGGTCAGTTATGTCAATCATTCGGGAAGGGGATGTAAAATAGATGCAAAGGTGACTCACATCATCGTCGACAACTCTATACGCAGCTGAAACAGGTCGATCCCACCCAGACACAATAATTTCATTCAGCATGTAACAAGTGATGAACATTTTCTCCGACAAAACCTCATCAGTCTCAGTCATCGACCCATTATCTCGGCAGATCGACGCATGCTTTCGGATCTCCGCCATCGCAGCCGTACAGAACGGTACGATGGAAGAAACACTAGTCGTAATCTCCTCCGAAGAAGGTGAATGCAAAGCGTAAAGAATCATAAGCAATGAAGCCTGGATCTGCAGAACCATAGACGAATGCCCCACGACGTGCGGGTAAAATCGCATTGCCGAGGCATAGAACTCTTTCGAACGTATTGAGTGTGAAGGATCTCGCTGTATTGTACTGCAAAGGGATGCCCCGATTGCATATACAATATTTAAAAAGAATTGTCGCCATTCATCTTGTCCGTCTATGATGACTTCGTTGTGCCAAGACTTCCAGGCTGTTTCGTTCAGGAAGGGCCATTCGCGGTGTGTGACAGAGAAATATAAGTTGGTGTATTGCTCTTTCAACCAGGATGATCCTTCGATCAATGGATATGATGGTGTTGTGTCCATCCAAGGAAAGTCAAAAGTTGCACTGGTCAAGAAAGACAATGTGTCCGGCGAGAAAGACAGAGGTGATCGTGTAAATCGTTGATTTGGAGACTGCAATCCAGACAACAGCATGAGGGATGCATCGTTATTGTGATACAAATCTTGGCCAGCCAAGAACTGACTCGAATCATTGCACGCTTCAAGGTCTCCAAAATCGGTCTGAACAGCAGCATCGCACATCTTCACGTGAGCTTCGATAGTGCTAGGCCGACGATCCATCTCAGCCACCCGCTCTTCAAGTTGTCTCAAGTAATCCAGCGGGATGGTGATGTTATCTCCCGACTTCCGCGATCTGGCCGGCAAGCACTCCGCGCCTTTGCGGCGACATTCGCCACAGGATGGCTTTGCATGGTCACATTTCCGCTTGAGGCGGAAACAGCGAGTGCAGGCGATATCTCTATGCTTCAGCGGGCGCGACATGCAGTAGTTAGATGCATTGACATGTAAATTAGTGATTTGCAGCTTGAAGGGAAGGCAATGCGGGGATTGGGTGGAGTCGATATCATCCCGAGTAGGAAAGTCTAAGCGGCACATAGTCAAGTTCAGCGATATAAATTTACAAGCAGAACAGTATAACATTGGGTATAGATGTCTCTTAATCATATCAAGTTCATTCAAAGTCCATGGATTCATTTCTCGTCTTGTCGCATCAACCCTTGATCCATTTCTGAGCTACCACATCATACCCGATCAACTTAGGATCAATATGCAGAGTCTTAAGCATATATCCCATAGAAAACTCCTAAAGAACATCAGCAATAGTCCAGCCAGCCTCAAAGCAAAGCAATAACCAAATACGCACCTCATCAGAACTCTCCTCCCGCCCCTGCTCATGGACAATCTTCCTACTCTGCAACATCTCCGACAACCCCCCGAGATCCCGATACTCCTCCTCTTCCTCATCAAGATGCTCAATCTCACGTTTCTCCTCATCCTCTTCCCACCGCGTAGCATCGCGTTTAGAACGCTCCTTCCAAGCCTTCATGCCTCCCATCTTATTAACACGCTCTTGAGCACCCACGAACGCTTCGTCCGCCGCGTCCTGGCTAATATGGCGCCATTTGACGATCAGAGCTTCGAGCTCGGTATCTTTGGTTGAGGATTCGAGCTGGAGGGCCTGGGTTGCTGCATCGAGGTCTGTGCGAAGTGAGACTATGCGCGATTGAATGGCGCGTTGTTGCTTTTGGAGGGCGAGGATGTCGGGGTCGGAGGAGCGGAAGCGGGTTGGGGTTGAGAGGGGGCGGGAGCTTGCTTTCTGTTCGGCGGGGAGGAGGTGTGTAGGTATATTAGAGACTGGTGTAGAAGCTAGTGCTGGGGCGTCATTGAGGGTCCTGGTCGTGACGGGTGTAGCTGGTGATGCGGCTGTGGTTGCCGGGACGGGCCTGCGCATTGGCGACTTGAACGGCTTGGATAGTGTGGCGGCTGCATCAACGCGACGACGCTTGCTTGGAGGCTGAGCCATATTGCATTAAATGGTTACAGACCTCCGATGATAGGGGTGTTGGGGAAGAGAAGTTGGGAGATGCGGAGAAAAGAAGCTTATCGATAACATGGAATTCTATCTACAAGAATAGACTAGACTCAATGCCCAACTCCTCCTGCCACCCACTGCCCAAATTCAGGGTCTCCGGGCTGTGGGAAAAAGCCGCGGTCCCCATTTCCTTGGGCGTTGGCGTTGGGATTGGCGTTGGCGTTGGCATTAGCATTGGCATTGGCATTGGCATTCTCGTTCTGCCGGTTACGCCGCTGCTGTTGTTGACGAACATAGACCAGCACCAAGAGCGTAGCGGCCAATCCAACAATCAGAAGACCCTCTAGCATTCCTTCGTCAATCTCGAGATCCAGGTCGTCATAGTAGCCGTCCTCGTGACTATCAGAATCGAGGCCACGGTATTCATCATCCTCCCCACGCTGTTCGTAAAGCTCATCGTAATAGCTTTCCTCGTCATTGTGGATAAAGGTCGTAATCCATTCCTTGAAAGTGCGAGCGGGTTTCGAGTCTAAGAAAGCTTAAGTAAGGCGCCAAAAGTATATGATCAAACGGGGCATGGTTCACTTACCTTCCTCGTCGCGGATGGGGTTGATATTTCCATTGGTGATGCGATTCCAATACCCTCGGACCCGGAGCTTGAGCAAACTGAGTTTGACTGGCAGATATGATTCAGGGCTGACGTCGAGGGCCAGATCATAGTATCGCTTGGCCATGTGGAAATCCTGGTCCACCGCTACGCCGTTCTCGTGCATCCAGCCCAGATTCCAGTAGCCCTGTGCGCTGTGGTGTGCTTCAGCGGCATTGTGATAGCAAGCCGAGGCTTTCTCTGCATCCATAACGGTACCTGTACCGGACAGGTAGTAGTCACCCATCTTGATCAACGAGTCGATGTTAGCCTGCTTCGAGGATCGTGTCCAGTATATCAAAGCCAGAGCCGCATTGCGCAGCAACGAAGACCGGCTCTTTTCAGCCCATGGGAGAATGGAACTGAGTGAAAGCAAGGACCGCTGCTCATCGAGAAGGTAAGCCACATTTGCCTGGGCACTTTCGTAGCCCTGTTCAGCGGCCATCATCGCTGGAATGAGAGCTCCCTCCTTGTCACCGGCCTCGTAAGCAGAATTCGACTCCGCAAAGGCCGAATGGATGATTTCCGCCTTTTCAGCAACTACCTTGTAATAGGCAGCAGCGACGCCGCAGTGCCGTTGTCTGCCGACGCCGAAGTTGGCCATCTCCGCCAGGTAGTAATACGCTTCCATCCACCCCCAGCGGGCAGCAAGCTCGAAGTAACGTGTGGCAGCGGCTACATCGCCTTGGTCTAGAAACAATGCGCCCAATCGCGATTCCGACGCCGGGAGATCCTGGTCTGCCGCAGCCTTGAAGTAGTTGGCGGCTTTGAAGCCATCTTGAGGCACCCCGTATCCGTTCAGATACACCAGGCCCATCCAATGCTGGCACAGTGAGTCGCCGTTCGCAACGCCGCGTCGGAACCATGTGAGAGCAGTGCCGTAGTTCTGCTCCACTCCCTCTCCACGGAGGTACATCAAACCGATATGTCCAGCCGCTTTAGAAGCCAGCTTGTCTAGCCCAGCCGGAGCATTCTGGTTGACAGTGCCATCCTTATTCCAATATTTCTTGGTAACAACCTTGAAATGCCTCATAGAGCGACGGAAATTGCGCGGCAAACCCCGAGCACCCTCATAGTTCATCTTGCCAAGGGTATAAGTAGCCTTCAGCTCGCCCTTCCTCGACATAAGATCCAAATACTCCAGAATATCCTCAACACTAGCCTCAGGACTAGCCTGAGCAGCGTCACGCGCGTTCTGCCCAGAACTCGACACACTAGCACCAGCACCATAAACACCACCCTCCTCCTCAGCCCAACGATAAGAGTCACGAATGAGAGCATTACCACCAGGCGGACCAGAGCGGTAGAACTCAACAGCCTTATCCGCAACGCGTTTATAGTAAACAAGCGCATGGTCACAATCCTTCGGCGTTCCAATACCATTATGATACCGGTACGCAAGGGTCATCTCGGAGCGCGTATTCCCCGTCTCGGCAGCAAACTCATGGTACATAAGCGCCTTAGCCTGGTTGCGTTCAACGGCACCTCCAATGCCTGTGGCATACATGAAGCCAACCATATTCTGGGCGGTATTATTCCCATCCAGCCAGGCGAGCTCATGATACCAGTGGAAAGCTTCTTTGAAGTCGCGGGGGTGGGAGAAGTTGCCGTAGAAGTTCATCTCTGCTAGTAGGAACATCGCATCTGGGTCTTGTTCTTTGTCTGCTGCGGCCCGCAGCTCCGCCACGGCATTTGCAACATTTGCGTCGAGTTTCCGCTGTGGTTTGTCGGTTGTAGGGCTGTTTAGGAAGAGGATTCGGAATGTTTGTCGGCCGTAGTATATGGCAGTTCCGAGGATGCCTGTTGACTTGTCTGTTTGGGGGACTGCGGGTTTTGCGGTACGGAGGGTATTCCACGCCGTCTCAACCCTTTCTATTAACAGGATAGATTGTCAGTCTCGGGCAGCCATTGATAGGATGCGGTGATAGTAGCTCCGAGGTAGGTACAGTACTCACGTGTCATAGGTCGCGGTTCTGGTTCCCCAGTAAAGAGCGGGGTTTCATGATTATCAGCATCGCCGCCGAGAGCAGTTTGGCCCGTCTCAGCGGAATGTTGACTTGGCCCAGCTGCGCAGGTCTGTAATAGCACTGGAAGGGGTCAGTCTTCGGTGTCGTCTGCGCGTGGGGGTAGCTTACGCAGGGCCGAAAGAAGAGATAGTGACCTCATCGTGACTTTGAGATACTGGTGTAATTACAGAGTGAGAGGCACATCGCGGCTCGAAAGCAAAGCAATGTGGAGGAGTCGAGTGCGGAGCTGTTGCGATATGATGTAGTTCGGGCCACGTTTGGCTTGACGGCGCTTCATTTTTCCGTACTTATCATACTTATTCTCTAGGCTAACCCCCAACATTATATTTACATGTACTACAGTTATTTACGATGCACGGAATAGACAAAAATGTCATTACCATTCTTTGGATCTACTCGTCCCCTCACGAGGTGCTGTGTACAAAGCAGGAAAAAGCAGAAAATACATCCCCGGGGCGCTCTCAATGCAATAGAATTTGGGCAGTCATAAACTCCCAGCGCAAACGGTGTCTGCCATTCCTCAACGTCTCCAGACCAAGCCTCGGGCGTTGAAAACAGCAACTCCGCGTTGTCGTGAGATATCATGACCACCTGCGAAACGGGGGGAACAAAAGCGTGTGCGATTGCGAAAACAAACGAAGACGGCTGAAACGGAGGGCACGTCTCTGGGTAAAGAAAAAGTAAAGAACAGATACAATTGAAAGGGTGACACGCCCCGATATCGTGGAAAAAATTATCAATCAGTTCTGAGATTTTAAACGCGTGGAAATCCTTTTGGGTTATTTGAATGTTGTAATGGTGATAGTACAGACGTAAGCACGAGCCTTAGACAGGCAAGCCATGTCCGTCCGAACTTTACTGGCGTGGCGATGAAGGGCTGAAAGCCGGGGAAGTCGGGCTGTAAGCCCCAGCACCGGGCGACGTTGGGGAGCCAGAGAAGTTAGGAGAGCTAGGCGAGTATGACTGCGGGCTCGTGGGAGAGAACTTCGGGGAGGTTGGTGAAGTAGGGGACAGGTGCCGACCAGCGCCTGCGATGGCAGGACTGGTGGGACTGTAGGTAGGAGAAGTTGGACTGAAGGCCGGCGACGCCGGGCTGAAGCTGGGCGATGTTGGACTGTAGCTTGGCGACGTAGGCGAGAACCCAGGCGATGTTGGAGAGTACGACGGCGAAGTCGGAGACACTTGACCATAGGCAGGCGAGGTAGGCGAGTAGGCCGGTGAAGTCGGGTTGATCGACGGGCTAGTAGGCGAGAAACCAGGCGAAAAGTTCATGCGCGGGCTGGTCATACCCATACTAGGCGATGTCGGGGAGTAACTCGAGCTGGGAGAGTAGCCAGGAGACGTGGGACTGGTGTTGAATGGACTGGTGGGGGAGTAACCACCGGGGCTGCGAGGACCAGGACTGAATCCACCATAGCCACCAGACGGCTGGTAGTCTGTGAAGCCTCCTGGAGCATCCTGGCCCAGCTGGTGCATGGGCGAGAAGGATGCATCGGGATCACTATCGGTCATGTATCCCGGGGAGCTTGCCATGGGAGATCCAGTGTCGTACTGAGTAGCAGCACCGTCCGGAATGATGGCATCCTTGGCGCCAACAGCGCCCATAAGGCCGAAGCGTGCATTGTTCGACACAACCGTGTTGAGCAAGGTCTGGTCCAGGTAGACGTCAAACTCTCCCGTTCCAGCGGGTGCCATCTGTCCGAGGATCAAGTTCTCCGAGACACCACGGCAGTCGTCAAGCTCTCCGAAGGCAGCAGCCTCCAACAGAATCTCGACGGTCTCTTCGAACGAACAACGCATGAGCGCACCGTTATCGGCACGGTTGATACCATGACGAGTGACAGGAGTCAGGTAACCACGCACAGTCATCACATCAACCAGGAGAGCCAAGTGACGGTGATTAACGTAGGAACCGTCAAAGGCAAGCACCTGAGTCAATTCACGAAGGACAGCGGTACGGGCAGCCTCGATACCGAATACCTCGAAAATCTCAATAAACTGGTTGGAGTATGTACGAGAAGCATCGACACCAGGAATTGAGAGAACTGCAGCCAGAGAAGAACCACTGGTCTCGAGAACCCATTCCTTGCAAAGGGGATCGGACTTGCTTGTGTAGAGCGAGCCATCTTCGATAACGCGGACCTTGCTCTTCTCGTTAATAAACGCACGCTCAACACCAGGAACACCACGCAGGGTCAGAGTGTCGAGCAAGTGCTGCTCAAGCTTCTTCAAAGTCACATCATATTCAACATCCTCATCATCGTCATCCTTGTAGTCCTGAACTTGACGGATACGGATAACTTGCTCATCAGCGTTGTTATCACTGAAGATGACTGCAATATCACGGGGGTAAGCCTGCTTGATCCTGGTGGCGACGTCCTGGACTGTGAGACCCTTATCGAGAAGCGAGGGACGGCTGAGCACGATACGGAGCAACCACTTGGACTGCGAGGCAGCATCATCGCCAACATCTTCGGGAATGATGAAGTAGGATTCGACCATATCCCGATCGTTCTCAATGACCGTGGATTGAATGTCAGGGTCGTAGTAGATCTCAGTGGACTCAGTAACGGAACGCAGACTAGTGTGCTCGACAAGACTGCGCAGGGTCTTGGCACCTTCCTTGTCGTGAGTCTTCATGCCCTGCTGGTACACAGTCATAGAGGGAGTCTTAATGTTGGTAGCAACGTTCAGAATTTCCTTCAGACGGGGCACACCAAGGGTGACGTTCTTAGATGACACACCAGCAAAGTGGAAGGTGTTCAGGGTCATCTGAGTAGCAGGCTCACCAATAGACTGGGCTGCAAGGACACCAACCATTTCACCAGGGTTGGCTGCCGCACGGGCAAAGCGACTTTCAATAGCACCAAGCACATGCTGGAATGCAAGCTTGTTAAGAGAATAGTCGGTAACGAGGCGGCGGAAAGCAAGACGACTGCGGAGCTGAGCCTTAAACAGCAATGTTGCGTTGTCTTGAGCCTCGCGCGAGATAACATCGTTACCACGAACGACCATCAGGCGATCCAGAAGGGCCTGGACCTGAGGAATGACCTCAGCAGGGTGCAGGTCACTGATGGTACCCTCGCGAATGCGGAAAGTGGTGCGAGCCATTTCAAGGATACGCTGAATGTTGATGGGAAGCTGCATCATTTCCTCGTCTTCCTTGGCCACGGTGCGCAGGAACTCCCGGTCCTTCAGGATTGCCTCCCACTCCTCATCGAAGTATCTTTGCACCTCCATATCACCGGCAATCTCATTAGCCTGCTCTAAGACCTCGGGGCCGAGAGTGCGCTCCGGATCCATGACATCTACACGGAAGCGTTCGCGGAGTTTCTCATCAGAGCACTTGATGATATCAACACGCTGGTTTTCAATGTGTGCACCATCAAGACCATCCTCTCCGTAAATGAACTGGATAATATCGCCGAGAGAGTTACGGACAGTACCATCGTACTTGACCATGACTTCTTCCAGAGCCTTGACCAGCTTACGCTGGATGTAACCAGTCTCGGCAGTCTTGACAGCGGTATCAATAAGACCCTCACGACCAGCCATAGCGTGGAAGAAGAATTCAGTGGGAGTCAAGCCTCGGAGGTACGAGTTCTCAACGAATCCACGCGACTCGGGAGAGTAATCGTCCTTGGTGAAGTGGGGCAAAGTACGGTACTTGAAGCCGAAGGGAATACGCTTTCCTTCCACGGATTGCTGTCCGACGAGGGCAGTCATCTGGGAAATGTTGATAGCGGAACCCTTGGAACCAGAGCGAGCCATTTGAATAGCGTTGTTCAGATCCTTCAAACTCTTCTCGGTGGCATCACCAGCTTCATCACGCGCGTTGTTCAGAGCACGAGAAACCTTGCTCTCGAATGTCTCACGGACGTTCATACCAGGCAGAGCTTCCAGAGTGTTTTCAGTAGCGCTAGCAGTGATAGTCTCGACCTCTTGCTTTCGGTTGCGGACGGCCTCCTCGATCTTCTGGATAGTCAGTTGATCGGGAATAGTGTCGCCGATACCGATACTGAAACCGTTATGAAGTAGCCAGTAGCCGACAATGGTTTGAGCACCGTTGAAGAAGTTGACAGCAGTGTCGGGACCGTACTCGTTGAAAATGGTGTGAATGACACCACCACCGCTGGCACCGACAGTCTTCTTAGAAAGCATACCATACATCAACTGTCCACCGTGGATCAGAAGACCGCCATCATTGAGAGGGCTGAACTTCTCCGTCATAGCAGCACCATCCTTGTCAACACGCAGCAGGTTGAGGCCAGAGGGGAAAGCCATGCTGATCATCTGCTTTCCAGTCCAACGGGGTCGGGGCTTCAGGATAGCAGGGGGAGGAATCACACCATCCCAGTCGGGAACCCACATCATGAGGTTCATAACCTGAGCCTTCGTAAGGAAAGTATCACGACGACAGATCTTGTAAATTCCGCAAAGAGTGTCCTGCACAATACCCATCAGGGGACCGTTACGCTGGGGAGAAACGATGTTCTTGGGAACCAGAGTCAATTCAGCAAGCTCAGCGCGTGCTTCTTCGCCCTGGGGGACGTGCAAGTTCATTTCGTCACCATCGAAATCGGCGTTGTAAGGACTGGTCACCGACAAGTTCATTCGGAATGTAGAGAAGGGCATGACACGGACACGGTGACCCATCATGGATTCCTTGTGAAGCGAAGGCTGACGGTTGAACAGAATGTAGTCACCGTTGTCAAGATGACGCTCGACCTTCCAGCCATAAAGCAGCTGCTGAGTACCAGCGCGCTTGGCGTGACGTAAGTCAATGCGCTCGCCGTTGTCGCGTACAATGTATCTGGCACCAGGGTGAATGTTGGGTCCGTTGGAGACCAGCTTCTGAAGCTTCTCAATGTTATATGGGGTGACAACTTCTGGGTAGGTCAGGATTCGGGCCGTCGAGTATGGTACACCCACTTCATCAAGCGACAAGTTGGGATCACCAGTAATGACAGTACGAGCAGAGAAGTCGACACGCTTTCCCATCAAGTTCTGACGCAGACGACCTTCCTTGCCCTTCAGACGACTGCGCAGAGCCTTCACAGGACGGTTGCCCTTTTGCATGGCCTTGGGTTGACCGGCAATATCGTTATCCATGTATGTAGCAATGTGGTACTGAAGCAGAGATTCGAACTCCCGAATAACGTGCTCGGGGGCACCTTCTTGCTCACAGCGTTGAACGTTCTGGTTGGCACGAACGATTTCAGCAAGCTTGTATGTCAAGTCATCCTCACCACGGGCGCCGCTGGTGGCTCCCATGACAACACTGGGGCGGACGGTAGGAGGTGGGACGGGAAGGACAGTAAGAATCATCCATTCGGGACGAGCGTAGTCATTGCTGAGACCCATGATGCGAACCTCTTCCTGGGAGATGTTCCGGAAGATGTTCAGCGCCATGGCAGGCGTAATGACCTTCTTCTCGGGCTGTGCCATCTCGTCTTCCATCATAGCCTTGCTGGGCTTCCATGTTCCAACAAGTGTAATTCCTTCCTTTCGGACAGTAGGCTGAGCGTTACCACAGCCACCGTGGGAGCGCTGCTGGGGGTCCTTCGAGAATTCTTCGTCATCAGCAGGAGGGTCAGCTTGACAGACCAGCACATCCTTGGAGAGTCGCCAAATATGATCGAATCGACGCTTGGGGTCACGGAATCGGAGAGCTTCGGCGAACTTAGAATCGGCCTGGTAGTCATGTCAGCAAAGTCTGCCATCAAGATTTGCCATCCCATAAGGGATGACTAACCTGGTTGGCCTTGATTTTTCCGCAGTTGTGGCACACGGTCTCCAAGAGCTTCTTAATCTTGGTCACGAAACCTAGAGGAAGTTAGCGGGCGGAAAGAGAAGAAATCGATCAGGTGCAACAAACCGATGTGAAATACTGGAGACGCAAGCTCGATATGACCGAAATGTCCAGGGCATTCCTTGGGACCTTCTTCACAAGTCTCGCAGTTGTATTGACGGTCGATTGTGCCGAGGCGCGGGTCGTTGATACCCTTGGTCCGAGGCCGTTGACGTTGTTCATCCTATCGCGTCATTAGCAATCATAAACACAAGCGCAAGTAGAGCCTATCACAAAGTATGCGACGAAAACTCAGAATTAAGCACTCACCAATGTCTCTGGGTACTCGATGTGGACCACACTCATGCGCTTGATCTCCTCGGGGGCGAAGAGACCAAACTGAATCTCCTTAATGGTGCGCAGAGGCGCCTTGGAGTATGGAAAGAAAACGTTCGACATGATGGCGATGTTTTCGTGGAAAAGCCGATGAAAAACGCGGAGTTAACCGGTCAGGCGGATGGATCGTGGACGGGCGAAAACGAAGGAACTCTTATCGCAGCGTCGCAAAATTTGAAGAGACAGACTTGTCCGACGGCTGGAAGTCTAATTTACACGTAGCGACGATGAAACGAAAGTCGGGTGGAAGCAGCTGGCCGGCTGAGGCCTTTGGCAGCCCTTGCCACGAGGGCGCCGGCGACCTGGGGGTCCCGGTTGTCACGAAGCCGAAAAGGAGGGAAAAAAGGTGCGCGCGGCGTGGAAGAGCGTGATGGAGGAGTCCAGAAGAAGGATCGCGATGCTAGACGCGATCTCCTGCGTGGTTGAAGGATGGGGGATGGCGTATCGGGAAGTTGAAAGGGAGACGGTTGGAGGTTGCCTCACTGTGATGGGGCTCGAGTTTTCCCTGCACTGCGGCCGCTGTCTAAAGAGGGCTCACCGCCTTGGCAGAACAGTGGGTACCTCCCCTATCAAGTTGAGACAGGCGAGTTGGAAGTACCGTTAGTTGTGGCAGGTGAGAGCGGTGAGTCTAGTCTGTGAGTGAGGCATCAGTTTCAGGCATTCACAATATTCACTTTTAGAGGGGTGGGCTCACCGCCTTGTGTTCCTCCAGATTCTAAGGATATCGACGGCAGAAGGAAGATTGTCCATGACAAGAACTGAGTTGCTTAAGCTGCATATGATCTGACATTGCCTGGCCTGACCTGCAGGCCTGGGTGGATTAAGGATAATCCAGCTATTCATGCCCTCGCAACAATGAACCTTTCACTCGTGGACCCATTTGTCCTGGCCCAGGAATACCCAGATACATTGACCGAGAAGCTGAGTATGTGCTATTGACATTCACTCAATAACAATACTAATGCATTCACTACCAGGTAGCGGCCATGCGACATGTCTCAGCTTCAATCACAAGGGCGACTACCTTGCCTCCGGACGAGTTCGTGGAGACAAATTGAGACATACAAGGAGGAAGGCTAAGACTTGATACAGGTGGACGGCACAGTAGTGATCTTCGACATTGAAACCAATGGCGTGGCGCGCAAACTGCAAGGCCACACGCGACAGATCCAGTCGCTCAGGCAAGTCCAGACAAGACTATAGTGAACCAGGACTAACTCAGATCCAGCTGGTCCCGCGATGGCCGATACCTCCTCACCTCCTCACAAGACTGGAAATGCATCCTTTGGGATCTCCAAGACGGCTCACGAGTCCGCACAGTACGGTTCGAAGCACCAGTATACATCGCCCAGCTACACCCATTCAACCAGTACGCCCTAGACACAATCCCACCATTCCACCATTCCACCACCACAAACTAACACCCTACAGCCTCCTCTTTGTCGCCTCCCTCTTCGAAGACCAACCCGTCCTAGTAGACGTCTCCTCCCCAAAGCCAATCAAGCGCATCCTCCCCAGCGCCCCGCTCCGAGCCCAACCAACAAACGGCGAAGAAGTCGACCCAGCAGTAGCAGCGAAGCAAGCAGCCCAAGACGCAAAGCACTCCACCTGCGTAACAATCTTCACAGCCTTCGGCAACCACATAATCGCAGGAACATCTAAAGGCTGGATCAACATAATCGAAACGCAAACCTGCACAACAATCCACTCAATGCGCCTCTGCAACGGCGTAGTAATCCTCCTCCGACTCGCCAGCAACGGGCGCGACCTGCTAGTCAACAGCTCAGACCGAGTAATCCGCACAGTACTCATGCCCGACCTATCACAACTAGGAATCGACCTCGAAGCATCCGCGATAAAACTCCACGTGGAACACAAATTCCAAGACGTGGTCAACCGCCTAAGCTGGAACCACGTAACCTTCTCCTCAACCGGCGAATTCGTCACCGCAACCACATTCATGAATCCAGACATCTACGTCTGGGAACGGAGCCACGGCTCGCTAGTCAAGATCCTGGAAGGGCCACGGGAAGAACTAGGTGTTGTGGAATGGCACCCGTCACGACCAATGGTCGTAGCCTGCGGGCTAGAAACGGGCTGCATATACACATGGTCGATTGTCTCACCGCAGAAATGGTCAGCGCTGGCACCGGATTTCGGCGAGGTAGAGGAGAACGTGGAATACATGGAAGCGGAGGATGAATTCGACGTTCATCCTGCTGAGCAGGTGCATCAGAGACGATTGGATCAGGAGGATGAAGAGCCGGATGTTGTTACTATTGATGCGGTCAAGGGGGTCGTCGAGGCTGATGGTATCGAACCGTTCAATGTGCCTATCTTGCTTGATGTTGAGGATAGTGATAGTGGGGAGGATGTTGTTGCCGTCGGGCCTGGGACTATGAGGAGGCGGACGCCTGGTGCTGGGCGGGAGGCTGTGAATGGGACTGGGAATGGGGATGTAGAGAAGGAGGGTGCGAGTGGGAGGGCAGCTAGGAGTCGGCGGCGATGAGTCTTCTCTCTTCTGTTCCTGTATCCTGCTCTTTTCTTTCTATTTTCTTTTGCCTTTGCATCTCCGAGGTTCTGGCTGGGGCTGTTCAAAACTATTTTGCATAGGCGGCGTTATTTAACCTCAGGTAGGATTCTGATTGCAGTCTGGCGTTGGAGGAAAAGATTTCTCTGCTTTATTTGATTCTAAATTTGAATGAAACGCTCAGTTTATGGCGTATATCTCTACCTGAATCGTGATACATACACTCAAGTGTTGAAATATTTGTGATCTTCAGATATTCGGACGCAACTGGGCCAGCGCATGGTAGATATATCATTGGTACGACGTCACAGTTGACCTTAGATGATGGACTCGCTCATCGTTTCACCACATGTAAATGCTGAAGGAGTGTGTATTGAGGAGGTCTTTGCTAACGTCTTTTCTTGACATACCCTACTCTAGAGGCAGGATATATAGACGCTGATGACTCCGTAGGGATATTCAAGCTTGTCCTACACAAAACTCCGCTCACCCTGGAAGTATTGCATAGCTGGATACTACGAGGAACAAAAGTCGTAAACTGCTGAAAGATTCGTCTTTAGGATTTATAGCATGCAAACCGAAAGAATAATACAAAGAAAGTTCGATTCCAAAAAGTGATGACGGCCCATCTGGCTAGCAAACAGAAACATCAGGAACTAAAAGGGTAATCTGGGTATATATCATAAGCCGAAAAAGCCTACCCAAGAGGTAGGGCATTCGGCATACAAGCACCAAACGCCAAGAGATGCAAAGTCCAGCATGCAGAGAAGTAAAGAAGAACAAAGCAAGTAGAGTGGAAGTTTATGCCCGAATCGACTGGAACCGTCGGGCGGTGGGTGTGGAAAGCAATCCCATACATCGTGTCGTCAATAAATCACCAATCCGAATATCAAATCGTCGTAGCCAGTTCTGTCGGCTCTGGGATCCATAACGCCAACAATTTTGACAGAGAATGTGTCTCTGTAACACACCAGGATCATACATCGAGTTGGCCTTTCGTACAATGAACATGAGTTTGCACACTCTGGGCCAGCCAAAGTTTGAGTGGCCGGTCTAATTGAGGCCACCAAGTGGGTTCAACGTGGTCGACAGTCGGGCTGTTGACTGTCATATGCAAATGCAGATATATCTGCAACGTGGAACACAGCTTAGGTTGCAACCGGTTTCCGAGCCTGGTAAATGTGCAAAATGTTATAACTGTGGATATTCTTGTCAAATGCATCCCGCTTGACATTGGCAGCAAGATGATCAATCTTTTCTTTTGAGTAACCCAAAACCCGACTGAAAGGAGCCAAGCTGAGAGGCTGGACACTTTCAGAGATGGCAAGATTATACCAACGCGCAACCTTCTTCTCATGTTCATCGTGATGCCATGGGTTCAACGGCAGGCCCACCTGCTGGTGGTCGATCTCGGTGAAACCAGCTTCCTGCAGATTGCGGATGGTCTCTTGCGAGCTATGTGCGAGCGGCCGCTGCGTGGCTTCCGTGGCCTCCTTCAACTTGTTGTACCAATGCGCCAGATGGGTGTCACTGATGGAAGGGCCGTCACAGCGGGGCTTGAAATCAATCTCCACTTGTTCAAACCAGGCCCCCGGTCGAAGGTGGTCGAATACTCTTCGATAGAGACTGGGCCAGCTCACGACACTCCCACATCCCATCTGCATGTGGATGATGTCCCATGAATCTTCTCCCATAGTCCAGGGTGCCTCGAAGTCGAACGGAGCATAGAAATCGCAATTCTTCGGGAAATTGGTTGGTTGAATTGGAGCTATGTCGACTCCAACAACAAAGGAATCCGGGTACTTGTTGGCGACATCGATGCTCCAGATGCCTGTACCACAACCCAGGTCAAGAACTTTAGACTTTTTCGGGTGTGGTGCATAGATCAAGCCATCTGAAGCTCGGGCCACCGTCACCACTTTGTGGACGATATCGAGACGGTCTTGTTCCTCCTCGTCGCATGGGAGCGGGTAGATTCCTTTGCGGTATCCATGGTAACTCCGGCCGTTCTCTTTATGGCAGGGGTACTTTTCGGGGATCCTGTAACAAGGTCAGTCACCGGGCATCACCATTGACGAAAATAACCTACGGGCGATTCGAAATTACCACAGGAGACGATCGGGACTGCTGCGACGTGTTGGATGCTACCGAAGCTTGCGTCGCAACCGAGCCGTTGCTGGTAAAACGGAAGTTCCTCCGCGGGTCATTGTCGACCGGGTCTCGATCCACCAACGTGTACAGGTCCATGGCTGTGGATGCTTGTCGTGACCGGGCTCGCTCACTGGCTCGCTCACTCGGGACGGAGTGCGAGTAATACCTGGAGTGACCCGTGTCGCTCGGGGTATCTGACTTGTATCTCTTGGGCGGAGGCGGCGAGGTCATCATGGGCGGCAGGTGTCGCATCTGGGCGTCCCCATTCATATACATGGTTTTGGGGTCGCGGTCGGGGGTGGGGAGCAATCGGGGGTCTCTTCTGTAGGCCATGGCTGATATCCGCGATCAACGATCGCGCACGATATCCGGGGAAGCTGCAAAGCAACGAGCGATCATCTCATGAAATGAGGTTGGGGAGTAGTCGAGACCAGAGGTCGCAGGACGAGGAATTCAGTTCAGGTCTTCAGTACGGTCGAAGCTCGAGATGCAATGGTCGCCAGGCAGGGATCGAAAGGAAGGTCCATACGGGTAATTGAGGGACAGGATCCAGGGAGGTGTCGAGAGAGGCTGGGGGCGGTCGAGATGAAGCTGTTCCCCGGGGGTTGGGGGGTGGAGGGGGAAGCCAACAACAAGGGAACAAAAGGAAGAAGAAAAGAGAGGAAGAGTAAAGAGGGAAAGAGGAGAAAGAGTAGGGGTCAGAAGAGCAAAAAGTACTTTCAGACTTTCAGAAAGTACCCAGTACAGTTGTATTATAAGTTACCTTACCAGCGTGCCGGGCCCCAGGGATGCCAATTCCCAGTTATGAGGTTAGCAGATTAACCATAGGCTCAAATCTTTTTCTCGGTTTTGGGCCAATTCCGGGTTTTGGGTCGGGCGCGGACCGCCTGGGCCTGTCAACTCCACGTCTTTAGCGTCCCCCTCACCGTAACCCAAGCCCCCGGGACTACCCTTTCACGCCAAGCATGGTATTATTATAACTAACTTATACTATCACTAGAGTATCAGTTGATAATATTATTAGTTTAACGCGTTAATTTAAGTGATTAGTATAACTTATCGGTATCGCTGAAACTATATGATTTCCCCTGCTGACACAAGCTAAAGCAAATCGGGACTGCCCTGTGCATGTAGCGCCCCAAGACACTGGTTCCACCCGAAGCCATCGGAAAATCATTGGTGTTTAGCTGCCTAAGTACTCGTTACTGGCGGACTATCATTCGTCCCAAAATGATGGGCTCAACCCTCGGACTCCGGCGCTCCCTTACTTTACGGCTTGTCTCCACTGAGGCCCGGGCTTCGCTGATCGTTTACTCGTCACTTACAGGAGCCATTTCTGCACACTAGTATTGTACACGGTAATATTTGACTTTCTTCCCCTTCTAAACCCTAACACGCCTAAGAGCGCCAAAAGCTAAAACACCGCCAAATAAACCTAAATACAAATCACACACATAGACCGAGGTGCATACATATGTATAGTCTGTCCGTATAAGGAAGTAGTCTCCAGCCCCATAATTTCTTGGCGCCCACAAACCCCCAAAACCTGCGCCTCGCATCAGCCACAGCCAAACCTGCCATAATGCATAACCTCCAAGCTGTCGCCTCATCGTCGCTATCCCTGCCGGCGGATAGTTACATCTACGGGATCACTGCTGCCGCACCAGGCACATTTGCAGCCATCTCCTCGGATGATTCGCTGCGCGTGTTTGACGCTGCCGATCTCAACCGCGGGGCTGTCGTCTCCTCGCATACCCACGATGGGGGCGTGACGTCGCTGCGGAGCTATGCGGGCGAGTCGCAGCTACTCACAGGTGGGCGAGATGGCAAGGTGAGGATTTGGGATGTCCGGGCTGGTGGACCAGTCGTGGAGATGGAGACGGGTGAGTCTATGTTTCTGTTCTATGTTTCCAGTCCTATGTTTCCCGTCCTACTGTTCTATTGTACATGTCTACTATTTCCGTTCGGGTATCTGCTCGGAGAATTCTGTAGCAAGGATATTGCCGTCTCGATTAAGTTTTGGCGTTCTATCAGATGCATCTTGACTAATGCATGTTTAGCGAGACATTCGCCTGTTTTGTCCGTGGCCTGCAATCCCGAGACCAATACCGTTGTTGCAGGGACCGAGCTCGTCTCTTCACAGGCTGTGGTTGCATTCTGGTATGTTTTCATACTCGTCCTATCCAAGTAGACATTGTCCACTAACTCCAACAGGGACATCCGATCTCCCAAGGAGTTCAGCTTGCAATACGTAGAAAGTCACAACGATGATATCACCGAGGTAAGTTCCACCCATATTACCATTCTTACCATTACAACTACTACATCACAAAATATTCAACCGGGACTAACGTTCCACAGCTCCAATACCACCCGACACGCAGCAACATCTTACTCTCCGGCAGCACAGACGGCCTAGTAAACATCTACAACACAACAATAACCGACGAAGATGAAGCCCTCGTGCAAGTCATCAACCACGGCTCCGTACATCATGCAGGCTTCCTCTCGGAACGCGAGATCTTCGCCCTGAGCCACGACGAGCTCTTCTCTGTGCACCCGGCTACTGACCCAGACGATGCCGTGCAGGTGCCCGACCCCGTGCATTTCGGTGACGTGCGCGAGAAGCTGGCTTGCGAGTATGTTGCGCAGCTATGCATCGGGGGTCAGGGGGCTTTTATTGCTGCTGGTAATAAGATGTATGTGTTGCATGATTCTGATTCTGAGTTCCGTCTGAGACCCAGACTCGCACTCGCACTCGCACAGCGGGTCGTGTTTGTGTTTCTTTGTCTCTTTTATTTCTTTTCTAATATTCTCTTCCTACAGGGACAACCGCCTCGATCTTGTCCCACTCGTTTCCGGTCCCGAGTGGAAACTCGACCAAGAGAATCTGTGGCGCTTACCCGGTGCTCATGGCGAGGAAGTTGTGCGCTCGGTGTGTCTGGATGAACAGGTATGTCTCACTCTCCATCCCAAACCCAATCCCAGGCCTCAGTTCAATTCCAATCTACATCCACATTCCATGTACTCCATTCGAGACAGTCACTAACCAACCCCGCCCATTCCAGAGCCAATCCGTCTTCACATGCGGCGAAGATGGGTTCGTGCGAGCATGGAAGCTCGCTGAAGAGGGTGCTCCAGTCCAGGCTGGGTCTGCGAGGGCTCGGCCGAAGAAGGAGAAGAAGGATCGCTTTAAGCCGTACTAGCTACCTGAGCGGGTGAATGCATCTGATTCTATTGTATATCTTGGTGTTTGGGGGGGGGTAAAAATAGTGATTTGAATAGATCATGTTTCCATACGTTGAAATACGTAGGATAAGTTATCTTGTAGTGAGTACTCAGTAGGTAGAGATATATTATCAGCTGAAGCCGAACAGTTTCCGCGACCAGCATTAGAAATTTACCCAGTCTAGTTAAAAGGCATAGCTAAGATATGCGTTCAATTGTAACTAAAAAGAAAAGAAAAAAAGGACAACCCGTTAAAGTAGCCTTGATAGAAATAAAAAACAAAAGTCGGCAATGTTAGCCTTGATGCCTGAACTCTTATCGCACTTTCCTTATCCGACTTTTTTTTTCTCCCATACACGTCCAACTTCTTCCACCATCTCCCTCTCCACACTATATACCCGGTTCTATCAAATAAAGACTCAAGATTAAACCTCAAACTCGACTCAACAAAAAGAGTCAGCGCAAGCTCTCCGCGCAAACTCCGACTCCAACCTCCCAACCACCTCACCTTACCTCACCGCACTCACACCCTCACTCCCCCGAAATCAAAACCAAAACCAAAATGGACGCCCAAGCCTACCTAATACGCCACGGCTGGTCCGGTCCAGGAAACCCCCTCCAACCAAACACACGACCAGGCCCCCACGGCGGGCTCGGCCTAACACGACCAATCCTAGTAGCGCGCAAAGCGAACAACCACGGCGTGGGCAAGAAAACAACCAAAGACCCAACAAACCAATGGTGGCTACGTGGCTTCGAAGACGCCCTCAAGGGCGTCGGAGATGAGAGTCACGAGGGTGTTTCTGCGCGCGCGGGGAATGCGCTTACCAGTGAGCTTTATCGAAATTTTGTTAGGGGGGATGGGTTAGCTGGGACTCTTGATTCCAAGGATCAGCAGAAGGGAGCCGGGGAGAAGAGGAAGAGGGAGGATGATGAGCCCAAGGCCAAAGAGACGAAGGAGGAGAGGAGGGTGAGGAGGGCTGCGAAGAAGGAGAAAAAGGAGAAGAGGAGTGTTGAACGGGCTGCTAGGAAAGAGAGGAAGGAGAAGAGGGCCATTGAGCGGGCTGCTAGGAGGAGTGAGAAGGAGAAGAAGAAGGCTGCTAAGAAGGCTAAGAAGGATGGGGCTGGGGAGGATTATCCTACGCCTATGTCTATTGATTCGGGAGCCGGATCTGGGGCTGGATCTGAGAACGTCGAGGCAGAGACGGCGATAAAGGAGAAGAAGAAGGAAAAGAAGACGAAGAGTGACGACGACTCGAAAAAGTCCAAAAAGGACAAGAAGGAGAAAAAGAAGTCGGAGTCCAAGGCATGATTTGATCATGCTGTATATCTCTGGCTATCATTTGATCTCAAGCGCGTCTTATCATGCATTCAAAGGCCATGTACAAAACATTCGCATGCTGTTTTTCCACGCCATATAGAAACCAAGATACCCTTTTTGTTTGGCGAGTGGCGAGTCATGACCAGAAACAAGCAACCTCTCTGCATTCAACCTTTGCATTAGAGCTACATAGTTATAACCTAAGCTGGCAATCTCCCAGGGTTACCAGAAATAATCCAAGGCCTCCTCTCCCAGAACTCATCCTTGATGATATCAACATGGTCAACGACAACTTGAGCCTTCCGACGCAATTTCTTGATCTTATCCTGCTGGGACCTCGACTGCTTTTGTTCTGTGAGGGGGGATACCTCATCCACGGATGTTTGAATAGGCGTAGGCTCTTCAAGTTCGAACTGTGGAATGACATGTTAGTAGGAACCATAGTGTATTGAATGTAGGGGGCTTCTACCTTGCGATAGACAACACTGCCCTTTTTATAGATCTCTTCTTCATTATTGTAGTTGATTCCGAAGCGCTTGAAGAGGATTTCGTTCTTGTCCCCTGATACAGTGCCCTGTAGCAAGTAAGTAAATGGCAGCACAGGAACTGTGAGAGTGATAATGATGACGAGGAAGGTACCTTTAACTCTTGCTCCGCGTCTGTGTTGCTCATTCCACCCTGTTGAACCATCGTCCAGAAGGTAGTATTGTAGAGGTTATTGATATGACCTAGATACGACTATTAGCAAGATGCACACCGAAAATGGAATCGAAGTCGAGCCACCCTCGATCGACGCAGGTATTCACTCACAATCAACCTGTCTCCAACTCATATAATCGCGCAAAATCCGACTATTCGGATAGATAACAGCACGACCATCAAAAGAAGGCAAATACGGAGGCTGCAGAGGCGTAGAAGGGAAAAACTCGCTCCACTTGAAGATGTAATGTGCAGTGAATGTAGAGACGATGGTTGTTACCAGTTTCCTGAGGAGATATCATTAATAGCTGTCCTGCCACCACTAGTCGATCATTCAAAGCAAAGGTGGACTACTTACCCGTTTCGCCGCTCGAATAGTTGGCAACTGGGATGGAAGACGAAGCTAAAGTGATTTAGTGAGCCAATTGAATACTTTGATGTCAGGTTGAACAAGGGTATAGCATACCTGAACTCGTCGCTGACTCCATAGCCAATACATAGATCCGGGAGTTCTTTCATGACCTCGACGGCTGCGGCATTCATCAAATCGAGTGCGCGGCGGTCATTTGGTTTCACGAAGGCATAGTGATCGGAAAGTCTGGTAAGGTTAGATTCTGCTCAGAGTAGACATATTGTTCGAGACGAGTAGACAGGACAAAACAGGTATATAAATAGATAGATATATGTACATATATATCTCACTTCTGTATATATAACATGGAATGCATAGCATACGAGTACCAGTGCGGGAGGGACTCACTTGTGAAATCCTCGTCCATCAATGCGGACCACAATCCACGTATTAGGAAGTAGCACGTCCGGCTGCTCGAAGGACTTGACGTATTCAAATCTGCATAATATTAGCATTTATATTTATCTGAAGGCTCTGTTTATTACTTACCTTGAGTTCGCCATGGTTGGTTGAGTGACGTCTGGGATAGAAGTTGAGTCATTTTGTGCGATTTCCGCCCGCCCGCACTGCCCAATTCAACCAGCGTCTTGAGATAACCCTACTTGACAATGAGATTGATATAAAACTACTACATTTTAAGATTGTAACTCACTACAGAATTGTCTACAGGTTCTAAGAACTGGAGAAATATTGTAGAAATGGTTATGAACCAAGGAAAACCGTTTGGGTGTATAATACTCAGAATCTAGGAAATAAACAGTGGACAGGACGCTTAGTCCATAGAACTTGAATCACGGTGCTTCAACCTCCTCCGGAATCTCTTCATCACCAGTCTCACTAGCGCGTTCGCTAGTCTCACTGGCCTTGTCGGATCTGCGGGACTTGCGAGAAAAGAAGCCCAGACTGCTGCGGGTCGAGCGGTCGGCAGAGGGCACACTGGAGGCAGTGCTATCAATGCTCTTGCCGAGCTGTGCCTCGCTAGCCGCGTCTCCGTCGATATCACCTTGCGCGGAGTCGGCCTTCTTGGAGAAGAGTCCCGAGCGATCTTTCCATGAGCTGAACTTGCTGGAGCTGCCCTTGCGCGTGATCTTGCGGATAAATGACTCCTTGGACCCGTTGTCGACGGAAGTTCCCGAATGCATGCGCTCCAGGGACTCATATGATTCTCCGGTGAAGTGAGAGAGGGAGCGAGATGTGCGAGGTTCGGAAGGAGAACGGTCAAACTCGTGCAAGCTGAATGGACTATCAGGGCCCTTGGGCTTGTCCTGGTCATTGGGGTTCTCGCCCGTGAACACTGCAGTGAACGCCGGTGCAGCGGGATTCAGCTTCGGTGTAAGTGGCCGATGGGAGGACGAAGGACGAGTGCCAATAGGTGCCTGCAGTGGTCGGTGAGGACGTTCGAATGTGTCTTCCATGAAATCAGGTTCACCGCTCAGGCCCAGTGGGAGATGACCTGATGATCCATATTGGATTGAAGGTCGCCGAGAAGGAGCACGAGACCACGTTGATGGTGAGGCCCAGTCAAATCCGAGGGGACTGTTGCGGTGTCCAGCATTCTCGGTTGACGGCCATCCGAAATGGCGGTTGTCCGTAGACGGATGAGGGAGGTGATTTTGGTTGTCGAACGAGACAGACGAAGGCCGTGGGGACAAAGATCCCCTTCGAACACCGCCAAGAAGCGAAGATGGATCGATAGGGTCATGACGAGGACTGAATTGGTTATAGCCAGTGCTGAGATCGGAGTTCCCACGGGCGCCAGCACCGCCGAAGCCAAACTTGCTGGATGAGAAGATACTTGAGAAAGCAGCTCGCCGGGAAGGTGCATGATCAGACGAACTGTCCATAGTAACCCCAGTGGTGTTGCTTCGAGGGAACAATGACATCGGGTTTGCCCAGTTTCCAGTATAGCTCGATCTGCGTCGCCGTGAACCGATTGGGTCCAGCTCGTCGATGTTGCGCGGGAAGGATTGACTCTGACCCGGTTTCAATGTGCCGAGCATGGGTGACTCGTCTGCCAAAGTCTTTCCACGAGGCCGGTGAAAGCCGAAGAGCCCGGAGAGTCTCCGGGATGCGCTTTTCGGAGCATCCCCAGCAGCAGACAAATGAACACCTTGGGACTCGGATTCCTGTCGTATTTGAGTTTCCATTGGACTGGCAAAGATACTACCCGCTCGACTGTCGGAAGAAACGGGCGATACTGGACCATGACCGAAGCCGTCCAAGGGAGGACCGGGAGTCTCCAGAGTTGAGAATCTTGGACGGGTAATAGATCGTGGGAATTCTGGTGATTCCTCATCACCAAGGAGATCAGATGGCAACAGCGCGTCTGCGCGGGGACTCATTTGCGGGTTATTGAAAGCAACCTCCGCATCTGAACGCATGATCTCCGGGGGATCAGACAGACCGGGAAGAGCCATGCCATTGTTGATGTTGAAGAATGCAGAGCTGGGAGCAAACGTAGGCGAGTGACTTGCGGGTGGGTTGTAGCCGAGGCCACCTGGGAACGACGCCTCAATGCCTGGGAAGTTCACAGGGGAAGATACGTTGCTGACAAGTGAGCTGCGATGGCGACGGGGCCGAATAGTGGCAGTATTCGACATATCAAGATCGAGGCTCGGCAAGGAAAAGGGCCCCGAGCTACCGGGTCGTTGGGCAGTGAGCCATTTCAAGCGCTCTTGGGCTTCCTGATATTGTTGTTGGGCTTGCGCGTGAAGATTCACCAGAGTCGTATAGCGTGCGTGTAGGTTGCCCAACTTGTGCTCCCATTGCCGAGCCCGCTCATTGTCGATGCGATCCAACTCCTTGCCATCCTCACTGTCGCCTTCTTGCAATCCCATTCTCTCTTCTTCAAGTTTTTTGATCCGTCCTCCTTTGTCTTGGATCTCATCATCGATCGTCTTCATCTCTCCTTGCTCTTTGGCGATCTTCTTTCGGACCTCCTCTGCGCGCGCAGCCATTTCCTCCTCAATCCGGGCTTTATCCTCCTTCGCCTGTGTAGCATCGTTTTCCATGCGCGCAATCTTCTCCTGCCACCGCAGGATGTCATTCTTGCGCTTCTTGCGCTCTGCCTCTTTCTGCTGAAGAAGTCTCAAGCGCTTTGACTTTTCGCCTTGCACTGTTCGATTGACGCTTTCCAGCTTGTAGACGTGTTTTTTCAGATCGCCGCTTGCCTCGTCCTTTTCTCGAACGCGCTTTCTTAGCTCACTGCGCTGCTTTTCTAGGTCTTTCAGTAATGCGATATGTTCATCCTCTTCCTCCGTCGCTTGCTTCTCCACATTCTCATTTTCCTGTTGAAGTGACTTCAAGCGGTCTGCTAGTTGTTCCAGAGTCTCCTCTTTGGCGCTCTTTGCTCTGCTCTTTTGGGTCTCATCGAGATGGCCGTGGGAAACGTCAATTCCAGCAGCGGGGGAGAGTTTCCGCCCAGCAGAGGGCCGCTTACCAGGCAGCTGGCCTGAACTGTGTTCGCGCGACATGACAGGGGCAGATGGCGTAGGCAGACCAACTGTTGACCTGGGAATGAAGGCGCGAATGATTGGAGCACCGACATTGCCATTTTGTTGGGCCTGGGACAGCGGAAGAGATTTCGTTCGGACATGGAGGATCGCACTGGGAGTTTGGAAGTTTGCGGCGCTGAGAGAAAGAACGCAAATGTGGTAAATGTTTCCAGGTATGAGATTCGAGATTTCCACCGCAGTTTCAGCACGCTTGGATTCTCCGACTAGGTGATGTTAGTACCTGGCTGATTGACAGGGATTAGTCTGCCCATACCTTTAACATTGTTCACCTGAATGATATGCTTGTGAATTGAGTTGTGAAAGTCTGGTTGTTTCCAGGCAAGGCGGATCTCACGGGCTGTGATCTCCTCGAGGGTCACCTCTGGCGGCGGAGGAATGTCGAGACCAAGCTTCTCCACCAGAACCTCATTGGAAGTCTGACAGACCTGCCATGCACGGTAGAGTAGCCTTCAAATAGTCAGCCAGGCACAGAGCGATCACGGGGCGTAACTTACCAGATCAATGCCCACAGGATTGAACCAGCCAGGAAGAGAGCCATGACACCTCGAACCCTCACTCGGGGGACCGCAGCAGGGTAGGCGTCAAAAGCAAAATATAGCGGCTCATACATCCCGTCAATGAACGGACGAGAGTCCAACGCAAAGAGACCTCAAGCGGGTGGGATAGCGGGTCCACGTGATGAAGATCGGCCGCTTACCACATAGAGCCTAGCGCCGTTCCCGGCAACGCACGTGATCTCGGGCCGGGGCCTCGGCATAGCTCAAAGCGTTGGGAAGTTGGAGGTTGAATTGTTGATGAACCCCAAAGTGGTTCGAAATTACCCATCTGCTCTGTTGCATCTACTCTTTTGATATTCGTTTTGGCTTCTTACTGATTTTGAGGGCATTCGGGGGCTGTTATTCATTGTTCACTGAAGTGTCACATGGGCCGGCCGTTTGGAAGCGGCGGGCTTTACAACACTTCCGGTTCTCTCCCACCTGTCTCACTCTTTTTTGATCACCCACTGCCTTCTGCCTTTGCATTTTCAATCGGTTCCTTGTATTGAATCTTCCTTACAATCACAGTCAAAGGTGCTCGACACCATTTGGCGGCATGCAGTACGTTCGGAGCATCAGCGGTTCCGTCTCCAAGACATGGAATTCAATCAACCCGGCCACCCTTAGCGGGGCTATCGACGTTATTGTCATAGAACAAGAAGATGGTACCTATGAATCAATGAGGTTATTCTTCAACCATACTAATTTCGCTTCTTGAAGGCACCCTCGCCTGTTCGCCCTTCCATGTCCGTTTCGGCAAGTTCTCGCTCTTGCGTCCCTTTGAGAAGAAAGTCGAGTTCAAAGTCAACGGAGTCAAACAAGATTACGCTATGAAGCTCGGGGAAGGGGGCGAGGCATTCTTTGTATTTGAAACGACCGACGACATCCCCGCATCGTTGCAAACTTCGCCGTTGGTCTCTCCAGCAGCGAGTCCTCGGGCTCAGAGTGAACCCGATATCCCGCCTTCGCTGCAGGAACCTGAGTTTCTCGACCTCGATAAATCAAATGCGGACGCATTGTCAGAAGGCGCGAAGACTCCGCCGACCATCCCCATATCGAACAAGGCGCGGGCCCACACAGATTTAGGTAGGACTTGTCTGCACTTCTCATAGATGACTCGTCGTTGACGCTTCACCAGGGACAATTACGCCTCTGTCGCGATCGCCCGACGAATCCGATATTCCCTCACGACATGGCTCGTTGAGTGGCAAACCACCACTTGACCACACTATCTCGGACAATGTGCTTATAAAAAGCTCCCCTCGGAATTCTCTGACCGCCCCACCTGAGACCGGTGGCCATGACGAGAACGAGAACGAGGGTGAAGCAATGGGCCGCTCTCGCAGCCCCCCTCCCATGTCTCCTCAGGAGGCGGTGTCTCGTGCCATCTCACTTTCAAAGAAACTGTCTGGCTCCAATATTCCATCGCATGTCACAGAAACAGGTGATTTGATGCTGGATATGACCGGCTACAAGAGCAATGAAGAAGATGCCCTTCGTGCAGAGGTTGTTGCGCGCAAGATTCTTGCCGAGGAGCTGGAAGGGAGCTATGACATTGGTGCTCTCATTGGAGCCGACGAACATGGCAATTTGTGGATCTACAGCAGCGAAGAAGCAAAGGATTTGGCTGACCGCAGAGCCACACTCAATTCGCTGCGGCCGGAGACGGCGTTGAGCGATGATGCACTATCTGACCCAGGATATCATAGCGAGGGCGACCACGCTATCTCGGAACCGTCTTTGACAGCACGCCACCACAGAACCAAATCGGATATTCAACCTGGATTCCCCACACCCCCAGACTCGCCATTGCATGATGGTTTCGCAGTCGAAACCCGGAACTACGCCAAAACTCTCCGGCTGACGAGCGATCAACTCAAAGCCTTGCAACTGAAGCCAGGCCCCAACACAATGTCTTTCAGCGTCAATAGAGCCATCTGCAGTGCAAACATGTATCTCTGGAATGGCAACACTCCAATCGTGATTTCGGATATTGATGGAACCATCACCAAATCTGACGCATTGGGCCATGTTCTTAACATGATTGGACGTGACTGGACACATGCGGGTGTCGCTAAACTATACACCGACATTGTCAACAACGGGTACAACATTATGTATCTTACCAGTCGATCGGTTGGCCAAACAGACACTACACGAGCCTATCTGCATGGCATCTGCCAAGATGGCTACAGGCTCCCAAGGGGACCAGTGATCTGCAGCCCTGATCGCACAATGGCGGCCTTGCGGCGAGAGATCTACTTGAGAAAACCCGAAGTTTTCAAGATGGCATGTTTGCGGGATATTCTCAACCTCTTTTGTGGCAAAGAGAACCCCTTCTACGCTGGATTTGGAAACCGATTGACAGATGCATTGAGTTACCGCTCTGTTAATATTCCGTCTACTCGGATTTTCACCATTAATTCTAATGCTGAGGTTTCGTTGGATTTACTGAGTCTCAACAAGTACAAGAGCAGCTACGTGACCATGCAAGAGCTGCTCGACCATTTCTTCCCGCCAGTCACTCTACTTGTGCATTCCGGAGGTGAAGAATACACGGACTTTACATACTGGAGAGATACGCCGCAAGAGCTTGAAGACTTCTCTTCGACCGACAGCGAAGACGAGGTAGATGCCGATGAGAATGTTGCTGAAGAAGATGAAGACGGGGATGATGAAGAATACGACGACGACCTGAGCGAGGGTGAAGGCAGCGAATACCTTGATGAGGCTGAAGCCGCTGAGGAAGATCTCGGTGCGAGCTACATGTCACAGGACTCAGCTGTCATGTCAAACCCGGCAGGTTCAATCCTGGAGTCTGTGGAAGGTGATTTGGACATTGAAGAAGAGGCAATCGGCGAAGAGGAGTTGACTCCTGTGGTTGAAAATACCCAGGACCGTACCGAAAGCCCTGCAATTTCTCTCCCCATCCGTTCCAAGTTGCCCCAGACCCCTTGAACATAATTCACCGCTATGCCTTGATACGAATTGATCGATTCTTGGGCATTGTTTCTGCGTCATTGATACCCGCCTTGCGAGTGCTTACCATGTCAGATTCTGCATTAGACTGCTCTGACAGCGATATACTATGTTCAACACTACTGCATGCACCTGGAGTTAGAGACTGCATTACACGGCCATATTTGGCGACTGTTCTAATCCATGGGCATTGATGGCGTTTCTGTTTTAGTTTTTGTACATTCATGGCGCATATAGTTGGGAAGAATTTGTGATGTATGGTTTGAAATGAAGAGAGTAACTGAATTTAATTCGAATAATTGAGACAATAGCTTCGATTCAATTAAGAATCTATTTAGGTCGAACGGGGAACTTGATTACCAAATGCGGTTAGCGCAATATCGGAGCTCCTACGCTTCTTTTCGGCCTCACCAAGCCGTCACTTTCCCCCTCCATCCTAACGCTCAACGCTGCTCGTCCATTTCTTGCTCCTAGCTTATGAGCAGCTAATTGTGCCAGGAATGGTTATTGCACAAGTGCTCCTCGCTTGATTGTCGCTCGACCCACCATTTCGACCTCACTTGCGCAACACCGCAGTACCCTCCTCCCTCGTGATCTGTGATCACCATCTCCAATCATAATGGCATCCCCAAGCCAGACACAAAGCTCAGCGCCTCCAACACAACCCGTCTCACCCCCCGCAGACTCCGCGACGAACGGGGTCTCCGCACCTGCCGCGACCCAAACCCAGGTCAACGTCCCATCGGCACCCCCTACAACCTCAACAAACCCACAACCCCCACAAGTGCCAGGCACATCCGCTCAAGACAGCGGCAAGTCACGACGACCACGCGACGTACGGCTGGTACACATGCTCCTAGCCTCCCTAGGCGTAACTTCCTACCAAGACCGCGTCCCCCTCCAACTCCTCGACTTCGCATACCGCTACACAGCCAATGTCCTGCAAGACTCCGTTCATCTCGCGACAGAAGGCTACGCCGCTGCAACGGACGGCAGCTCTGGCGCAAAGGGCAGCTCCGAAGTGAATAGTGTTACCTTGCCGGCATTGCGGCTGAGTATCGCCTCGCGCCTGCATTTCCAATTCCAGACCGGATTGCCGAAGGAGTTCTTGATGGATGTCGCGTCGGAACGGAACCGTATTGCTTTGCCTGGTGTTTCTAGGGGATTTGATCCTGCTGTTGGGGCTGCTAACGGGGCTACTGGCGCCGCGAACCAGAGTATTATGATGGCTGGTATGCGCTTGCCTCCTGAGCGGTTCTGCCTTACTGGTATGGGGTGGAATATGAAGGATGAGTGGGACAGTGAAGGCGAGGAAGAGGAGATGCCTGATGCGACGCAGCAGGGGTCTGGGAAGGGAGTTGGTGGTGGTGACGGGGCTGATGATGGTGAAGAGGGCGGCGAGGAAGATGAAGATGATGGCAAGATGGAGGACATATTCGGCGAGGATACGGCCATGGGCGAGGCGGATGACGAGGACCGCAAGATGACTGATGTTTAAGGGCATACTTTCCGGGACAAGTTTCATTTGCGTTGGCCGTGGGTGTGGTGTTTCTGGCGCTTGGAGTTGATTCTTTTTAATCCGAACCGAACGGGACGGCGTTCAGGGTTTACATGGAGAGGATTCAATCATGTCTTCTACAATCTGGGTATCTTACGGATGAACTGCTCTGTCCTTTCCTGTATATTGGGACAGGGTTAAAAGAAAGAATAGAAAAGACATCTTTCTGTGGTCAATTGAACCAAGATATGCAATGATCTGTGTATATTGTACATAATTCAAGTCCATCCCATCGCTCCGCATTCGGGATGGTCATGCAATGTAATCGAGATGCCCGGCAGAAACGCCTGCTTGTCTGCCCTGTGCGCCGTGAGGAGAGAAGATATAAGTTCGAGTCTACTTGAGTAGACAATATCAGAGACAGTCGTCCAGCAGGACGACACTGATATCCACCAGTGGAAGTGGGAGGGGAGGCTGTATCAGAATTGCTGATACGCGACCCAGTAGTCTGGCACTACCCGATCAGGAAGCCTGTTGAGTCCGAGTCGAAGAAGATCCCTCCTCTGTGACCACACCCCTATCCAAGAGGAAGCACTCACACCGCTGAGAAAGGCAAAAAGTGAAAGACCCAAAACGCCCAAACCCATATAGACAAGAAGTACAAGCACAGATGAAGAGAGGAACCAAGACGAGGAAGCAAACAAGCAATCATTTCGCCTCACCCTGTCTCCTCCGTGCTTCATCATTGCGCATCATGCTAATAACCTCAGCACGTCGCGTCTCAACACGAGCAAGCTCCTCATCACGCGCACGACGGCGTTCCTCAAACGAAGCGAACCACTCCTCGCGCGCGCGATCCTCCTCTTCTGGCTTAGCGTGGGCGACCATGCATGAATTCATAGCGAGACGCTGCTGGCGGCAGATCCATGTAGCAGTGACAGTGCGGTTGACGGCGCACTCGGCGAATGCTAAATCGGAGTGGGTTAGCGGACTGATTGATAAAGAGGTGGGAGGTGGGAAGGAAAGTGGATTGGGGTCACGAGGGCGGAACTGATCTTCCGTTTGACACCCAGACCCAGAACCATTTTTGGCAATTGGAGAGTGCAACATTGTCTATAAAGAGGTAGGCGCCTTGTAAAGGCTATGTAGATTACATACCCTTAATCTCGGGAGCGCAAAGGGCCCGTACTCGCTTGTAGTACAGCAGCTTGACTTCTTGTTCTTGGGGGGCTGAGAGCGGAAGTGGGTTGCGGAGGTTATATTTCTTCGGTGCCTGTGCTGAGGAGGTATCGGGGGATGTGGATGGCGTAGCCATTGGGACTGAGGAGCTCGGTCTTTGAGATCGAGGTTATTCGGAGCGAGGAGAGTATGGGATGATCGATGCGTCGGAGAGTTTGCTGTGGAGAGGGGTCGATCCCAGCAGTCCAGAGACAGTGGATGGGATTGCTAGATAAAGCAAGTCCCAGGGATGAGAATTAAGAAGAAAAACTAGAAATTCAACGCGGTGTCGTTGTTGAATCGTGGATTGCAAAGAAGATCAGCCGAGTGGGAGTGTTGATGGCGGACCGCGAGACCTCGGGCGGAGATGGCCTGCAGAAAAAAAAGTTCTCCAACTCTTTGGAGGATTGTTCTGTCTACATCACCTTGATCGGATCAGAGTCCTTGTATCTTTTACAAGGTTGACGACTTTATTTTTGTCTCCTTAAACTATCTTCTTTTCGAACCCCCAGAATTATCAACACAACAGCCCAGCATGTCGAGCATGCGTAACGCCGTTCAACGGCGGAACCACAAAGAGCGTGGTCAGGTCTCAGGCCGTGAGAAATGGGGTCTTCTTGAAAAGCACAAGGTCAGTTACCGCGGGACTTCTTTTGAAAGAGATTTTCAATGCTCCGACCTTGTCTCCAGTCAGTTTGAGGATTACATTCTAACTTCAACAGGATTACTCGCTTCGCGCAAAAGACTACAATGCCAAGAAGGCTAAGCTGAAGCGCCTCGAAGAGAAGGCACGCGATCGCAATGTCGACGAGTTCAACTTTGGTATGATGGGAGGCAAGAACCGGACCCAGGGCAAGCACGGAAGTGGAGTAGGAACTGCTCGCGACTCTGCCGCAGCACAGGGTCTCAGTCACGATGCGATCAAACTCCTCAAGACACAAGATAAGGGATATCTCCGGACAGTTGGAGAGCGAGTACGCCGCGAGATCCAGCGCCTCGAGCGGGAAGTGGAGTTGCAGGAAGGAATGGACAAGTCGCTGGGCAAGAAGGACGGGAAGGATGATGAGAGCATGGATGAAGACGAATTCGACGATGATGACTTCGATTTTGGTGCTCCTCCGTCTCAATCCAAGCCACGCAAGACAGTTTTTGCCAATGATCGACAGGAACAATTGGCTATGAAGAAGCGGAGGCTACAAAAGGATGAGTCTGAATCAGATGAAGAAGAGCAGACAACAACTAAAGGCCGCAAGACTCCCAAGCAGCTCGAGTCTGAGCGGCAAGCACTTGTGGAAGCTCGACGGGCTCGCAAGCTCCGCAAACGTGCCATAGAGGCCCGCCAGAACAAGTTGACGGCACTCCATAAGCAACACGCAGAGATCCAGACCGCAGAGAAAGAACTTGACTGGCAGCGGTCTAAGATGGACAACTCGGTTGGAGGCACCAACAAGGACGGCATCAAGTGGAAGATCCGTGAGCGCAAGCGCTGAATTTCATGTTTCGGAGTTATGAGTGATGACTCGCCATCTTTTTGTACATATTGATACCAAGGAAGTCTACAGTTAACAGTCAATACTGCCTAATCGAGCATAGTAACCCGCCGCATTAGCGTAGCAATGCGAACGCGGAGTCGGAACAAGGGCCGGTCAGGAGTCTCCAATAGTGTGCCATTCACAGAGCCACAATTGATAATCAACCCCTCTACAGAGTCATACTCTCCGAAATCGCAGACTAAAGCCACTACAGTAGTTCAAAGTAACTAAAAGTAGCGTAACAACCCGTCTCCGCGGATCTAATACATCGCCGCTGATAGGACCTGGAGAGAATCGCCGCTTATTAATGGTGGGATTACTAAAGTTATCTTTTCTATATCGCCACCCCTCCTCACCTCTCTTTTCCCTCTTCGTTCAGCTCCTCCAGTTCCATATCCCCTTCACAATGGCGCCTTCTTTTATGACCATTGACACCAACGACATGGACCTGACACCGGCAAAGCCAATGTCTAACACAAAGCGCACTCTCCTTCTCGCGCCCCCCTCCATTGCCACCCAAGAGGACAAACTCCGCGGCCTCTTCACGACCTTCGACCGCTCCACCACAGACCTTCAAATGCTCGACCGTCTCTCTGCCGGCTTCGTCTCTCTTCCCGCATCCACATACGACCTCGTCCTCATCCTCACCGACACAGACGGCACACGACGCTCCGAGGCCCTGAAACTTCTTACCCGCGATGTATACACCACCCTAGTCCCCGCCATGAAGCCAGGCGCCAAGCTCCAAACCCAAGATTCCGCACTTAATGCCTCAGACGCAATGGAAGCTGTCCTGGCGGGCCTAGTTCAGTCAGACAATGGATTCGAGAAGCCCAATTTCGAGCCCTCGGCGGCTGTCCCATTAAAGTTCGGCTTGAAAAAGAAGAATAAGACTCAGACCCCAGCCCCGGCTCCGGCTTCAGCACCCGCCCCAACTGGCATTTCAAATCTTCCCACTGGATTTGGATTCGACGGGCCAGGGATGGACCATGACCGCGATAGCGAAGACGAACTCATTAATGAAGATACACTCCTCACCGAGGAAGATTTAACAAGACCCACAATGCCTCGTACGCAACCCCCATATACAATTTCACACATACAATTTCAATTGCTAACATACTCCCAGCCCCAGAATGCCAACCCAAAACCGGCCGCCGCAGACGCGCCTGCAAGGACTGTACCTGCGGTCTAGCAGACCGACTGGAAGCGGAAGATAAAGAGCGCCGCGCAAACGCAGATAAAGAATTGAACGTGATGAAGCTGGACACGGGCGACCTGAACGAGCTAGACTTTACCGTGGAGGGCAAGACAGGCTCGTGTGGCAGCTGTGCACTTGGCGATGCATTCCGCTGTGACGGATGTCCTTACATGGGTCTTCCTGCCTTTAAGCCCGGCCAGGAGGTCCAGATCTTAAATGATATTGCCCAGTTCTAGGGGTATATGTGGGCTTGCATACGCGATCGTCGCGCCTGATATTATTTCGGTGTACCTTGCGATAACGGAAGAGGGGTTGCATTTGGAGTTTTGGGTTTTTATTCTTTTGGTTACTTTCTATAGTGGATGAGCAAAATTATACTGGGGGCGTGTGGCATTCATGTTTATGCAATGATATCATTTACTTCATTTTCATTCTGTGCTTCTCGCCTGTGACTCATATGTAAAGTGTCCATCAAATGTAGGCTTTGCGTGCTCAGGAAAAAAATCTCGAGTGGATCCAAACGTCATTGGGCACTCCGCTAGAGGGAATTGAGTCATGATCTTCGCTTGCCCTACGATATCGGCAGTGGGATATTGCCCCTCTATGTACCTGGCTACCATTATACAATATACTTCATAGATATAAACTCCAATATTTAGCCCCGAAAATGACGTAGTTACTTTTGGCTATGGTTCTTCATGGCACATCCCATCATGATAAAAACAAAAAAGCGCAGACAAGAAAATGTAAAATGTAAATGAAAATGTATGAGACAGGTCTATGACCGGTCCTTCTGCATCTGCGCAACACGAATGCTCACAGCACGCTTGTGAGCCTCAAGACCTTCCACGGCAGCGAGGGTCTCGACAGTTTTTGCGAGACCGAGAAGGCCGTCTGCGGTGAGGTTTGAGCTAGTGATGTGCTTCAAGAAGGAACCGAGGTTGACACCGGAGTACTGCTTGGCGTAGCCGTAGGTTGCTGGATATAATGTTAGCTGTAGGACGATCGAATTACGAGGAAGAAGGACTTACGCAAGGAGTGGTTGACACCGGCGGAGTAGTCGCCAACACTCTCCGGAGTCCAGGGACCGATGAAGACGCTACCGGCATTCTGGACCTGCTCGACAACAGACTCGGGGTTCTGGACTTGCAGGATCAGGTGCTCGGGCGCGTAATCGTTGCTGAGGACCATGGCCTCGTTGATGTCGCGCACGACGAAAGTGACAGAGTGCTCCAGGGAGCCACGGACAATATCCATGCGGGGGAGGGCCTTGGCCTGGGTATCGACCTCGTCCTCGATAGCGCGCAGCTCAGCCTCGGAGAGGTCGACGGCGATGAGGATGACTTGGGAGTCGACACCGTGCTCAGCCTGACTGAGCAGGTCAGAGGCAACAAATGCCGGGTTGGCGGTCTTGTCGGCAATGACGAGAACCTCACTGGGACCGGCGGGCATGTCGATGCTGACACCTGCGGAAGTGTCGTTGGACACAAACATCTTGGCGGCGGTCACGAACTGGTTACCAGGACCCAGGATCTTGTCAACCTTGGTGATGCTCTGGGTGCCGTAGGCCATGGCAGCGACAGCCTGAGCACCACCGGCGAGAACGATGCTCTCGGCGCCAACCTTGTGGGCGACGTAGACGATCTCGGGGGAGATGCTGCCGTCAGAGCGGGGAGGAGAAGCCAGGACGATCTTGTTGCAGCCTGCCACCATGGCGGGCACACCCAGCATCATGGCGGTGGAAGGCAGCACGGCAGTACCACCAGGGATGTACAGACCGACACGCTCGATGGCGCGAGAGAAGCGGGAGCAGACAACACCGGGCATAGTCTCCATCTGGAGAGCGTCATTGCTTCCCTTCTGGGCAGAGTGGAAGCGCTGGATGTTACCGATACTGACATCGATGGCTTCCCGGACGTCGGGGGTGAGCTTCATGAGTTCAGCAGGGAATGGTGCGTGGATGACGGGGGATGTGAGTGATGTAGCCTTCTCGAACTTGTGGGTGTACTTGAGGACAGCGTCATCGCCGCCGTCACGGACATCCTGGATGATGGGCTTAACCAGGTTGACAATGGCTTCGTTGGACTTTTGGGAGGGACGTTTGAGGTAGTCCGAAACAACCTGGGGAGTGGTAGAAGAGGTGATCACCCGCCTCATTTCAATGCGAGATTCGCGGTCCACAACTGGAGCAGGGGCAGGAGCAGGCTTCGACTCGGGCTGAGCAAGGCCAGCCTTCTCAGCCCAAGGTCCCTTGGCGTCACCCTTTCTCCGCTTGACCTTCAAGCTCTTCAGGTCAAGGTTGCGCTCAATATCCTCCAAGCTGACACCAGCAGCAGTGCACTTGGTCAGAGCGAAGTAGAAGAGATCGGCAGCCTCGAAAGCAATCTCCTCCTTGGTGTTCGCACGGCACAATTCATCAGCCTCCTCCATAATCTTGGCACCAACGAGCTTAGGGTCATTGAACAGACGCGCGGTGTACGATCCAGCGGGAGCATCGGCCTTGCGAGAATCCAGAGTCTTCTGAAGGCGTGATAGACCGGCCGATGCGCCGAAGCAGGTCTCAGTACCGAGGTGGCAGAAGCCTATCACTCGAATCAGCATTCATTTATCAATAAGTGTAGGGATAGTCCTTACCACGTCCAATTTGCTTGACCACAAAGACCAAACAGTCAGCATCGCAATCAAAGCCAATGCGGATCAACTCCTGGACATCACCACTCGACTGGCCCTTGTACCATAGCCCGCGCTTGCGGCTCTGGTAAACGCCGGTACCGGTGCGCAGGGCCTCGGCAATGCTCTCGTCGCTGCTCCACACAAAGCCAAGACAGGCACCACGCTCATCAGTGACAGCCGTAGCATAGAGACCATTGGCCTGGTCAGTGACAGCGTACGACGCAAGAAGGCTCGCAGCAGAGACCTGGCCAGCTACATCCCGCTCAACGGTCAATGCCGCGGAGGGGACGATGGAAATGGCGCCCTGCTTTGCAACCTGCTTGATCGCATCCTCTGTCACAGCCTGGCTACCAAAAGATGTGAAGAGACGTGGTGAGTCGGAGCTGATCTTCAACTTCTCGGCGGCGGCGGGGATGTTGGCGGGGTTGGTGCAGACGCTAGCCTCGCTGCGCTCGGCATTGGCGGCAACCCATTGTTGGAGGGTATCCAGCTGGGAGTCTGAAGAGGCAGAGACGAGTAGGCGGGACGAGGGAACGGATTGCTCTTCGGTGAGGGTGGTCAACTGGTCCAAGGTAATCAGGATCTTGGCGGCACCGGCGTTGAGGATATCGACGAGATCGCCGGCGGAGGAGACCTCGGTCGCGTCGACAAAGACATCGAGGGTGCGGAAGTTCTGGCGCAGGAATTGCTCTGCCTGGGCGAGAGTTGAGACCTTGACCAGCGCGCGGCCGAAGTAGGCGATCTGCTTGAGGGAAAGTCCGGAGGTGGGGGTGGAGGGGTCGAACGAGATGAGCAACGGAGTCGCCATGATGAATGGAGAGGTGCAAAGATGTAAAAGGGAGGAGAATTGTATCTCCAGAGAAGACCCGTTGGGGAGAGATGTGGAGGAGTATGACTCTTGTCCTACACAGAATACCCGCCTTTTTTTCTCCCGCTATCTCTCGGCGGGCACCCGCTGATTCATCGAATCGTCTCATGCAGGTTGCCCGGTTGCCTTCTCTCTCTCTCTCTCTCTCTCTTTTTTTTTTTTAATTGCACATAGATCAAGTACTTGCATCTCACCACTCTCTAAACCCTGGTCTATATGCATCTCTATGGACTTTATGTCCTACGGCTATACATACTTCCGACAGTTATACTCCACTCACGACTCATAAACAATTTTATAGACAGACAGAGATCTTACCATCCCGAACTACTGGAATTCCTCGACCCCAGAATCTAACCCATGCAATACGTTGGTTTTGTTTGGCCTGACCTGACCCTGTCCTAACCACAAAGGCAGTTTCTCGAACAGCTCTCTAGCCAAACCATGATCCTCCTGCGACGCTTGTTCAAATTAGTAGGGATTCAATACAGTAGTGCCAGTCTATTACCGCTAGTAGATATATATAAAAGCAAATTCCATTCCAATGAGACAAACTCCCGATTTTTAGGTAGATTATAACGAGCCTGTCTAGGTATAGTAAGCACTCAAGGTAACGGAGATCTGGTATGATTGATAACCACTTATTTATATTATACTCATTGTATAACTATGGGCGAATCCCCTTTGATTCCCGAATTGTAGAAGAATTAGTTCTTGTACGGAGTGTACTACAACTCTTACCTGATTGACAGGACATCCACCAAAGGGGAGGACGATGAGGAATATCTTTCCGAAAATCGTTGATTTAGGAGGTCCCACAAAACTGACCAGGACGAATGGGCGTATATCCTATCCAACCTGACCACTATCGTGCGCCGAGGTCGTTCGTGGTTGTGCCTGGAACATGAGCATTGATATCTGGTATCGGAGCATTCTTGTGCGTCTAGCGAGACACGTTCCCCTCAAATTGACCATATCGCTAACATCATGTCAGCTCTGGAACATCATCCAAGGAAAATAAAGGTTTCCCAGATTCACTATCGACAGGGTCACTATCAAGCAAAGGCGCATCTCGCAGATATGATCTCTCTACCCGGTCACCCTCCCCTTGAGTTAATCGCAAGATCTCAGTCGATGTTCGGGTGGTATCAATGGCCCGAATCTGTGATAAATGCAGACGGTGTGACCTGTGAGGATGCAGAGCAATCCTTCGACGGCCCATTTTTCGATCACAATGGTATTTGGAACATTTTCATACTAGTAAATCTGACTGTGGTCTTGCCATGTTGGCTAATACGCGATAATAGGCAAATTCCTGCTTGAGGATATAATTCTCGATCGAAATCTCGCGGATGTCCTTGCTCGAAGAACAGGAAAATCAGAACATTTTGTCCTTTGCGAGGATGATGCTGATGGAGGACCCATTTCTTCGACGAACGAAGAAAACCAGCGGGTGAGAGAGATCAGGTAAAAGAATTCATCACAGAGGTCGCTTTGCTTTGTCTACTAGGTCCTCATCCTTCCATACCGAGAGACTATTCCTTCACCTGTTACATCATCAATTCTGCAGCCCAATAGATCGGTTTCCTGCCAACAGTCGCCGACACTAGAATCACCCAACCGGGCGGAGTCTCTCCTAGAAATGCGATTAGCACATTGTAACGGAGAAAATATTAACTTATAGCTCATTTCCTAAAATTAAACCGGCCGTAATGTCACCCTGAGCCAGATGAGTGACTTCTCCTACGAAATCACACCCAAGGATGGCTCCATTGCCGAAGGCATTAGTATCAAAGTATTGGACTTACTAGTCCAGTGTAATGCGGGCATCCTGATATACCATCTTTTGAATTCTGTGCCACATGCGACACTGACTTGTACTTGGCGGGCACTGGGTGTGGGCAGGGGGTGTTCTTCTTTGACTAGTTTGGGCTGACATTTTTCTTTCGAACGACCAGAGATGTATTTGTTGTCATATTGCCAATGAATAGCAATAGATGGATCGTAAATGTGTTCGATCCGGTGGTATACTTTCGAATATTTCCCCACATGAGCTTCCAAATGACCTGGGGAAAGCGGCTAGGGACGTCGTTATCCCCACGTCTTGGCTTGAACACTGTGCTGTTTGCCAGAAATAATTTATTCTGTGAGAGTTGTCTATATCTCTTTGGAAAATGCGTGTAGGAATAGTATACAGGAAGCCAAGGGGAGGAAACATGCCGAAATAAGGTCCCAACCAGGGACAGGAACACAAGATCCAGGGACCGTCATACTTTGGCTTGAGTATGTTGCTAGCTAATATGGCTGTTGAACCCGAATGTTCCTATTCCTCCGAAATTAGAGATTAAACCCGAAATGTAGCGTCCAATTCGAACTTAGTATTGACCTTTGGGTTCGTAGTGAGTATTTTCGAGGTTTTCTGCGCTATCTGGGAAGTGCACTCGACCTTGCATTTGACACATGGCACGCGACGCGGCCACGAGTATATCCGGGTGTGTAGCGGAAAGGGGTCTGGGGTTGAGATCCCAGTCTACTAAAACATTGAATGTGATATTATTCCAAGTCAGTAAGTCTCATCCGGTGACATTATGAGGGGTATGTTGCATATCTAAGTCCAAGCGTGAGGCTAAGCCCAAACTACCGAACTAGACACATCCTCTATCGAACCCTGAATATATGAACATATGAATATGATGGCTCAGTCACGCCTGATAGTCGTCTGTCTTGATCATCTGGGGAATTATCCCGTGAAGATCGGGGAAGAGACATTTAGACTGTATGTGAGATCATCGATCATAGATCTGTTGATCGGTAAACAAGTTCCAGTTCAGGCCAGGGGCACATTCTCCGATCACATCCCTTGCCGATCACCCCTGAATGTCCGAGAATCCAACGTCAATATTAATTTCAATAAAGACAAGAAACATGCTGTACTCTGTAGAACGCGATGGGGTCGCGTGCGACTCGCCTTCCCCTTTCGTCCCTTCCCTCCAACTCCTGTCTCTTCTACTCTCTTCATTCCGCACATATTTAATCGCATTGACCCTCTGGGTGGCCCTTCGTTTGCGATTTCTCTAATCCTGGAGCCCTAAACACTGTATATTTGTATACGTCCATCGCGTAATCATGCGCATTTCCTCTCTTTCACTTCCTTTGGCCCTGGGCCTCGTGGGAACTGCTGCCGCCTATCCTCACCCTGAACAAGGGCCAGACTTGCGTCGCGGGCCGGACAATAAAGCCAAGGCTGATGCTGTCAAAGAAGCTTTCCAACATGCCTGGGATGGCTATGTAAAATATGCTTTCCCGCACGACGAGTTGCACCCAGTGAGCAATGGTTATGGTGACTCCAGGTGAGTGTTCTATGAGCATATCTCGCGGCATAACTGACACTCTCAGAAATGGATGGGGTGCATCGGCTGTCGACGCGCTCTCAACTGCTATTGTCATGGGCAACAAGGATGCCGTGAGCAAGATTTTGGATCATATTATGACCATCGACTTCTCAAAGACCAGTGACGAGGTCAGCTTATTTGAGACAACTATCCGGTACCTAGGTGGTATGCTGTCTGGGTATGACTTGCTTAAGGGCCCTGCAGCGAATCTCGCTCCCTCATCGGACCATGTGGATGCCTTGCTCTCCCAGTCCAAGAACCTGGGCGATGTCCTAAAGTACGCTTTTAACACTCCATCTGGTGTTCCATATAACAACCTCAACATTGGCTCCAAAAGCCACGACGGTTCAAGTACCAATGGCCTCGCCGTGACTGGAACTCTGGTTCTCGAGTGGACGCGCTTGTCCGACCTGACGGGCGACGACGAATATGCTAAGCTGAGCCAAAAAGCCGAGTCATATCTACTCAACCCTCAGCCGTCGAGCGGAGAGCCATTCCCTGGTCTGGTGGGAAGCAATATCAATATTTCTAACGGCCATTTCAGCGACGGTGCTGTCTCGTGGAATGGCGGTGATGACTCGTTCTACGAGTACCTGATCAAGATGTACGTCTATGATCCCAAGAGGTTCGAGTCATACAAGGACCGCTGGATCCTTGCAGCCGAGTCGACCATCAAGCACCTTACATCACACCCCAAGAACCGCCCGGAATTGACTTGGCTGGCTTCATACTACAACGGCCAATACGACCTCAGCTCGCAGCATCTGACCTGCTTTGACGGCGGCAGCTTCATCTTGGGCGGTACCGTTTTGGACCGACAAGACTTTATCGACTTTGGCCTGCAGCTCGTGAACGGTTGCGAGGCTACATACAACCAGACTCTGACAGGAATCGGACCTGACTCGTGGGGCTGGGACCCGAAGAAGGTACCAAACGACCAGAAGGAATTCTACGAGAAAGCCGGTTACTATATCAACAGTGGCTCATATGACCTGCGCCCTGAAGTCATTGAGAGCTTCTACTACGCGTACCGGGTCACTGGCAATGAGATCGTAAGTACTTTCGCCATGGTGGAGCCGCAGATATACTAATAAAGATACAGTACCGCGACTGGGCATGGAACGGTTTCAAGGCAATCAATGCCACCTGCCGCACCGACTCAGGCTTCGCTGCCGTGAGCAGCGTCAACACCTCTGGTGGCGGTTCAAAGTACGATAACCAAGAGAGTTTCCTTTATGCCGAGGTCATGAAGTATGCGTACCTTGTGCACGCAGAAGGTGAGTAATTTATCTTGCTATCACTTCTATAGCCACGTTAACCATCTTAGATTCTCCCTGGCAAGTTCAGAAGGGCAATAAGAATACCTTCGTGTTCAACACTGAGGCCCATCCCATCCGCGTCGCACACACCTAGTTATTTGCATACTTCTACCATCCGAGCACCTTGATAGATCGTATTGTATCAAGTCTACATTATTTCCTCGCTAGGTCCGACGTAGAAAGCCGTAGGAGAAGCGTAGATCTATACAACTTTTTGATCCTCACCCAACAGACTTTTACCACACCGAGACTAGTTGCATACGAAAAGGTCGCCAGTAAATATTTGTCATTAAACATTAAGATTATTTGACACAGTAAATATCAGAATTAAACATTAGCCTCAAGAGTCCATACTTCGTGAGCTCGTAACAGTGTTGGATCACCAGATAAAGCTCACAGTCTCGATAGAGTCAAGTCCCATAAACCCTATCCCTGAGCATAATGAACTCAGATTAAGCACCAAAAGAAGGCTTGAAATCCCTCCTCCCAGCCTTCCGCTCAACATGACAGGCCCTAGAAGCCCACACAACAAGAACAAGATAGATGAGCCTAGAGATAACACCCCGTCAGTGTCTCAAAATTAAGAACAAACCAAGGATTTTGGTACTCACACCCCAAACAACATAACCGAACACCCAAAACACTCAACCCCATATAACACATCATCATCATCAGTAGTACGAGAAAGTCCATAACCACCCCCATTCCAATAAGCAAGCTCATGCAAATCAAAACTAACACTGATAATCAGCGCAATAAACGCAATACAGTCGAATGTAATGCTCGCTGCGGGTGGAACGATGCAGTTGCAGAATATGACGATGAGGTAGGCGGTTGACCAGATGAAGCCGTAGGCAGACTTAACAGAAAGTTGAGGAATTAGCGAATATTCTCACGCAAGTTGAGAGAAAATAAAAGATATAGAGATACAAGGCGTATAAGTTACTCACGGTACCAATATTGACACTAGACCATGCAGACCCTAACCCATCCGTTGAAACAATTCCTTCGTCGTGTTGGACCATAGCCCAGGAAAAGCAGATAACGGCCGTCATGGTGCAGAGTACTGTTCCGAAGCGTAGGGATAGAAAGGAGAGCCATTTCTTTTGTTGTCGGGGTATTGCCTCAATACACCATGATGTGTTGGTTTGGTCGTAGGAGGTTGAAGACATAATTACCACCTGGTGTAATATTAGATATCAAGATAAGTAATGAATAAGGGACTTAGTCTAAAAGACCTCAACCATCTTTATAATCCCCTAGTAAAAGAAAACCAACTCTCGTATACCCATGTGTCGCGATAATCATTTCCGTTTATACTCGACACAGCCATCATTTCAACCGCAGTGGCAATGCCAAGGGCACGGCATACCCAACGATACACGAACACACCAATGAATCTGGCCAAAGTCTAGCGGAGAGTTTATGCAGGGTCGAATCTACTGGTGGCCCCCAAAAATGGAGTGTTTAGGATAGCTCTTCTGGGTAGCTTAGAAGTCGACCGTTGAAATGGATATGTCTTGGCGGTGATCGGCTTGGCATTTGTATTTTGGTTTGGGTTGGGGGCCTGAAGGTATGATGTCGATGATCTATTTATAAATTTGTTCGTATGTGCTGTGTGGAAGCTGGTAACATGTTGGAGTTTGAGGTTTGCATTGGCGACTTCAGTCAGACACTTGAATTGTATATATTGGGTGTTCTTTGTCCGAAACTAACGGAGCTTCGCGCCAACACATGCTGGCTGTGTAGAAAAGATATCAATGAAGCGAAACACGAAGCGCTGACCCCTGTCAATCCTTCTAGAGCCTCCATACCAACCAACACTCGTTGAGTAGGGTATATAAATTTCAGATATTAGATCTGTCTCAGCTGCCTCAACTTGCTTTGTTCATAATCTATTTACATAACTCATAGTGAGACTCGTTCCTAAGGCAGAATGACAAGGATATCTAATCTAGTGGACAACAGCACGCGAATCTGAACAGTATAATACTACACCACAACGCTAATTGACGGTAAATCGGCTGCCGAAAATGGCTACCTTGGACGCCGGTTTAAGCTCCCTTTTTACCGAAATCTTAGTCATCTCAACATCACGTGCGAATGATATTCTAATGATCACTGAGCAATGCTTCGGTGCTCAGTGAGCACTCAGTGTTGCTCAGTGATCGGCTCACCCTTCACCCAGTATGCTCAGGTCAAAGGATCAGTGATGACGTGTGGTCACCATCCTTCAGTCCGTTTGTAGCCGTTCCAGATAAATAACAAACCACCGTGTTGTTGAGGCTATCAAGACCGGTTCCCAATATTTAAATGGCCCCCGTTCCCGTCAACTCATAGCCTTCCTACAGTCCACTTCGTCTGCTACAATTGTTTCTGCTTTGCTACTCTCCAACATTTTTCCAGCTAACTGTCATTACTGTTGTACCAACCAATTTCCTTACCATCCGTTTTCCAAGGCCAAACCATTATTTTCTCCTTGTCTCTGCTGGCCTTATTCCCACCTGAAGCTATGACAGTTCCAAGCTCTTGCGCTCCCCACATCAAGTCGAAAAAAGTACATAGCCCTGAGTATTATCGCCAGCGTCGTCGGCAATTGGAGAAAAGCATTATTCAAAAGCGACATGCTGTATCCACGAAAAACAATATTGAATACATCAAGAGAAAGTGGATCAAGTAGGCACTCATACTAATATCATACTCATGAGTACTACGCTGAATATGACTTAGGCATTGTGACTATCTAGGGAAGAAAGAACATTTGCAGTTTCTCTGCGCAGCAAAGAAAGAGGACGTGATGATATTTCTTGAATGGATGCTGGATAACTCCAACATAAAAAAGTTTAGCAGCCTGCACGAAAACTGGAGGCTGTGGTGCCAGCTTTATCGCAAAGCTGTAGGACGTAGCCTCCATGCGAGAAGTTGCCAGGATATAAATGATGTGGGTTTTCCTTGCTCTCTCCTCTCTTCGGCTTCTAACAGAAGGGTAATAGTACATGAGCAACGACCTAGCTGAACAATTCAACTTAGATAGGTCTGTTGGAGAAAAGCCTGTCATGAACGTCGATGATCTGTACATTGTACTTCATCATCACTGGACAAAAGATACTACGCCCTATACGGATGGTCGGCAAATCATCCAGCTCGCTTTCCTTTTGCTCGTATCGGCTTATACTGCAAGTAGGCCGGGAGCATTGGTTTATGTTGAAAAGAATGAGCGTACCAATATCCAGCACTTCTTTGGATGTGTGAATGATGCTGAAGTTACCGAAGCTGATATGATGGACCAGTGGGATCTTAGAGACGAGGATCTAAAAACCCTTTGTTATGGCCAAATAAGCTTGATCCTTTTACCGAATCCTGGTAGTATCCGCGATCATCTCGTGATGGAAATTGATTTGAAACATACCAAGGGCCATAATAAAAAACCAAAAAGGTGAGTGCAACTACTTTGGTACTCTACTATTCCTATGCCAGGCTGACTGAGATGCCAAGTAAAATTTTCTTGATGTCTGAAGTTAAACAACCATTCTTCGACGTTGTCATGCTTGTTGTCTCGATGGCCTTTCGTGATGGAGTGTTTGAAAGCAATATCCGCTCACTTGAAGACATTTTTGCCACTCGTGTGCAACCACCGCGTCATTCCTTGCAGCTGAAATTTGTCAAAGAAAAACTCAATGTGCCTGTCTGCCGTCAGCCTGTTTCGACCTCTTGCGGTATCAGTACACATGAGATGAAACCTCTTAGATATCACACATATTTGTTTTATCTCAAGCGGTTGAGCCTCGCAGTGGGGATGCCTCGCGCTATGAGACCTTATGACCAACGGCGTGGTACTGGTGAGGCAGTCGAAAGTAAGTTTTGGCACACTTCAAATAGTAATCGCTTCAGCTGACGTATGCACTGTGTTCAGAAACAGCACCTCTTCCTTTGCTCCAGCAGGTGATGGGTCATGTATATGCCAGTACTTTTCAGACATATATGAATCAACGAGTCCAGTCTCATGTTCAAGCCGCATTCCTTGGAATACCTTCGGAGGATGCATTGATGAACATTCTTAGTCACCAAAGCCGCTATATCGACCCTCGGGCTCCTGCTCATTACGACGATTTGCCTGCTAGTACACGAGCTTCACTTTCGACTCACCCCGAAATAGTTGGCCTCCAAGAAATGCGTAATGCCATTGCCAGAGAAGCCAAAGAGATGTATGGATCGATGAAGAACGCGGTTGGCACCAAAATTGGAGAGCTCAAAGCCAAGACGGAGGCTGCATTGCGATGCGCCAAGGCAAAATTGAAGAAAGATACATTCAATGGAGCACGCGGTGAATTCTTTGCCACGATCGATACTCTTGAGATTAATAGACAGCTCGATCCGTCGCTCTTGGATATTGACAAGCAGGCTTATGAGCCCGAGAAGATTGTTCATCGTTTGAACGAACGTCGCCAGGTAGCGGAATTGATGCAAATCTCCATGCAAGGACTTTCGGAGAAGGATGATATGGCACAGCGAGTCAATCTGGTCAATGCACTGATTGAGCTCGGCCGTGTTGGGAAAGTACCATCCGAAAGGATTATCCCTGAGAAACAAATCAAGTGTACCATCAGCAGCGACCTAATGTCGCCGCCAAAAGAGCTGCCTCAAGGGAAAACAGAGCCTCCTTCATCTCCGGAACCTCGAGATTGTCCCATCTCGCTCACCAATCGACATTGCCTTTTCTGCATTTTTGAACCGCATTACCAGTGCTACTTTGCTTCGCCCCGAAAAGCTCGAGAACATTTCGAAAAACATCTTCGGAATTATAAGCCAACTGAGCCCATACCCTGTCCTGACGAATATTGCCAGCTTGTGTTGATTGGACACAAAGCGCTCAAACGCCATGCGGAAAATGTTCACCTTGTTCGTTATTTTACAGAGGCCCAACGTATACAGGCGGGTTTTTAGGATTTCTTGGGTTTGGAGAAAAAGGCTTTTGAGTATGCTTTACTGGGAAATGGCACCATAGTATAATTGCTTCATATATATTTCCTGTTCATTTCACAACGTACATCCGATAATATCTGTATAGACCAGTGCGAAGAAGATGATTAAGTGGCAGTATTACAGTATTCATGGGGATTAGCACATTTGTTCAGTTCTACCCAATCGAAACGCTCGCGTAGTAAAGACATTCTAGGTTGTCCTTTTCTTGCTCTTCAGTCGACAATCTCCCCCTCTAAGAGCCCAAACCCTTCAATCAGAAAATTCATGACAAGAACTAAGGGTCTACAGTATGTTCAATATTCCTCAGAGATGATACCACTTAAAAGTAAAATGATACATACTGTATGTAATCACTCTTGGTTTTTTGCGGAAACTCTAATACAGCAAACCAAGTATAACTTACGATACTTTTTACAGGTCGGATGCAACTTTGCACCGCCACAGCCACGATTATATAACAGTAAAGAAAATAACCCCGAAAGTAAGGTAATGTACACATTGAGATCAATACCGTATCATACGTCATTTCAAAGGCTTTGTGTAGCCAAGCATTTAGAATCCAGCATTTTGGACCGCTTTTTTTTTGGTTTGTTGGCACAATACCAATTCTCTAAGAAACCCACCGAACAAATGACTTTTGATTAGCTGATCTCAACACTCAATAAGACGATTTGAAATATCACCTGCCCATGATATCTACGAAAATCTAGCATATACGCACTAGTTGATGTAAAAAACCATTGTGCAAAGTAAAGTGATGATGGGAGCTTTAAACGGGCAATGATACAGGCCAAGAACGCAATAGTCATTCCTTGAGGTCAACAGGCTTGTCATGAAAGATGGGAGTTAATCATGGTCAGTACACCGAGAACAGTCGGTATCCAAGCCATCTCAGTTATTCACACACCATGCCACCCAACCAACGCAGTTAGATAAATTTTGACCGCTCTATAAACCCATGCACAACCCTTGCACAACCTTATCGTCAGGGACTCTCTTCGAAGAGTGCCTCGTGTCAGAATATACCATGGCTCCTGGGCTTCGTAAAAATACCACAATCAATTCACTTAGTGTCAAACACTCGTGGAAGAAAGGGTAAACGGTATGCATAAACAAGGGGTGCATAAACAAGGGGTGCATAAACAGGGGGTGCATAAACAGGGGGTGCATAAATAGGGGGTGCATAAACAGGGGG